TGATCAAGGCGTTATTTCAAGTGAGGCTGTTTTGTTCATGGAACAAATGATGGCGATCATTACTGCTATGACTGCTATCAAAAATGACGGTTCATTTGTGTTGTGTTCATTATTGCCGGGTGTGTGCGAGTTCCTCCACAAGTTTATTGGAATGGTGACAAACCCTGTGGATATTGTCAAGCTCAAATTGCGTTTCTGCAAAGTATGTTCGGCGATCGAAGCAGATAGAGAAAGAAATGGTATTGCCGGTGCTTACAAATTGAGAAGTCACTATGCAAAGATTTCGCTCGAATGGCTTGAACAAGCTGTCTTTTTTGATGCCGATAGCGAGGAAGCAGACGTGGATGATTCGGTTTTGGCAACTCCGAACACAAGTCAAAGTAACCAGACTAAGAGCTCGGAGCTTGAGTTCTTGTACATTGAGCTAGCAAGTGAATGTGCAAAGTGTCTTGAAATGCAATTACAAGACTCTATTTTTGAAGTTCCTGAAGGCGTGAGTGAGAAGAACTTGAAACACAGCAAAGATTTGGTTTTCTCGAATCATTTTTCACTCTTCTTCAAGATATTGCAGAAGTACACTTCACCTACACCATCTCCCACAATGCTACGCTCAAAGTACAAAATTCAAGGAATCACAGACGTTGTCCTCAAATCCATCTCCAACATTCTTCAGTCTGATACGGAGCATGGCATGCACTTTGTCCTCCCCTTAGGCTATCACCAGAATTCAAAAATCAGGTCCATCTTTTTAAATATCTTTGGTGATATGTTATCTACCAAAAAGCTCAAAAGCGCCAAAGAGGAATTTTCTGATGAAATAGTGTTTGAAATGGCTGAGATATATGAAGTATACGGAGCAGCTGCCGAAGTCGCTTCACCAGCAGAGCACAATCTTTTAGCAACATCGCTTCATGGCCTTTTTGGTTATACTCGCAAGCTCGACAAGTTATTCGTTACTTTGTTGACAGACGAAATCAGCAGTGTTGCGAGATCCACCGACATCTTCAGAAGGAACAGTACATTGACTAGATTGATGTCAATCTTTGCAAAGGAAGATGGATTGCCCTACTTGACAGTTGTTTTGAAACCTGTTATCCAGGAAATCATCCAGAGTTCTGTTGTTTTCGAGGTTGAAAAGAGCCACGAGCTTGAGGATGTTGATCTATTCGTCCAGTTCTTGGCAAAGATTGTTGATAAGATCGTGGGATCTGCCAAGTGGTTTCCCGATTCGTTTCGTTTCATCTGTTCGGAGATTTACAAGTCTGTCGGGGCAAAGTTTGAGGATGCAGCCCTCATCGCAGTTGGCTCGTTTGTCTTTTTGAGATTTTTCTGTCCTGCTATCGTCAGCCCCGAAACTTTCTTTGATCTTTCTACTTCGAACGTGAAGGTGAAGCGCTCACTTATTCAGTTGGTGAAGGTCATTCAGTACATGGCGAACGGCACCCTTTCCTCACTTAAGTGGGAAGGTTTGCTTCAAAGATCCGAACAGCTTGGTGAACTCAATAGGAAGATATTCGTTTTCCTAGAGGACATGTCAGTGAGCCCTATAGAGGGATATCCATTCCACAGCTTGACTGTCAAACCTTACACTGGATTGCGATACATTCACAAGTTCTTTTACACTTATTTCGTCTACATTAAGCACCAATTGACACTCGGCGACCCTCTTGTCAATGCCGGTAATCTCCATGAACGTGTGTTGCTATGGAGACGATTAGACCAGATCATGAAAGAGCTCGGAAGGCCTCGACCATCTATTTCACTTCAAGGGACCACATCCTATAAAGCTGTTGACCCATCTGCGAATCTCGGTAACTCACAATACGCAGAGTTTATGGCAAAAATGTCAGTAAAGAATATGGAGCTTGCAGTTGATAGCGAGGTGATCCATAGCGCTGTGTTTCCCGACGGAACACCTGCTGTTGTTGTCAACTTCCGCCACATTAAAGACATCGGCTACGATATGAGCACTTTCGTTTTTCTCATATTGGAGGCCGCTAGTCAGGTGTGGGATAACAAGTTTTACATTGTGAATGACTTCACTCAGTTCTTCTACATGGGCATCATTGGGAGAAATTACGTCAGTCTTATGAGAAACTATGCACCATCCGTTTTCTTCAAAAACTGTGCAAGAATCTATTACTTTAACTTGCCTCGATTCAAGCATGTCAGCATCATTGAGGATATGGTGCAATTAAGAGTTAACGTCAACCCACTATCGAAGGGATACTTCTATTCACAAACTGACAAACCAGAGGTTATTAACAGTTTGTGTTTAAGCGAGACCACTACTTCTATTGACAAAGATGTTCGTGTCATTTTCAATGATTGTCTTGTTTACGAAAATTCCATACAAAAGTTTGTTCCAGCCACACTTAAGCTTGGCCGCAAGTTTATGCAATTGTGTTTCGAGAAGACAGATTTTAGCCCCGACTTCATTCAGACTGACACTCTCACACCGGTCGAAGTCCACCAGTTGTCGGATATTACTCGCTGTGAAATTTCCAACACGTTTGATACTCCAAATGAGTTCACATTGTCTCTCAACAGATACAATTATGAGGTTATTATTTCATCCGACCAGCGTCTGGCTATTTTACGCTTCCTTTACTTCGCCATGTTGAGGACAACTAGAGAAACATCTGGTCACAAGAAGGATGAGGATGATTTGAGAGAGCTGCATTGGTTTGGGAAACTTTATAATATTGTGTTTCACGCCTTGCTTGAAAGAGACCCGGAGGTGAGATCATCTGCATCTTACCTCTTTTCGTCGATGTCTGCGTACTACGATGTGGACTTTGGGGTTTCTCCATCTCATGCCTCCAGTATCGCATATCCGACAGATACTACGGATTTCGTTGTCAGCGTCTCGACATACCTCGCACAAAAACGACCCGAGAATACCTATCGCTTCATAAAAGCTTTTTTCAACAACTTCGAGAGACTCCCTGAGGCCCATCGTGTGAGTGCCGTAATGTACATTTCTCCATGGATGGAGAACGTCGGAAACGAGATTTTCATGGAACTTGAAAATGGATCAGAGAGAGTGGCAGAAATCGCTAGACAATTCTGTCGCATCACTTCGCAAACTATGAACCTGCTTCCATTCCTCAACAAGTATGTCTGGAAAAAGCTCTTCGCAGACTTGCGCCTAACGTCAGTGCTTTTGGATGAGATCATTGCTTTTGCCATTGACAATAAGTCAGACGAATCTGAATGGGAGCAAATTATATCAGTGTTAAGTCCAAGTGTTGAACTTTGTGGTGAATTGATGTCCAGGCTTGTGGCATGCATCCATAAGACCAGAAGCGATGATTCTGACATCGCCTTGCAGAGCAAACTCCTTGAGATCACTGTCCTCATCAAGATTTGCGCGGCGATGTTCTTTAATTCTTACGTTTTTGGCTCGCTCTACTTGCTGCATGTCTTCTTCTTCTGTTCCTTGTTCATTGATAGCCCCAAGCTCGAGTTTGGACCGGATTTGCAGAAACTTACGATCAATACTGTCCAGTCATTTGTTCACAAGCTCGATCTCACAGATCCTCAAAGAGAGCTTATTGAATCTTCAATCGAGTACTTCACTAGTCAGCGTGCAAGAATGCTATTTGGGTTTTCTTCAGGCGATAGAAGCAAAGGATCAGATGCTACACACCTTTTTAATAGGGCCACAGCTTTCGATCTCTTGTGCGACAAGTTGAAGAGCTTCATGCTTCTGGTTGGGTCCTCAGACGACAAAATCAGATGGACAGCTAGATGGTCATCTCTCGCAATGGAAATTGCGTTCAGCTCTGGTTCACTTTTCCAACGTCGTGCTATTACATTGGTCGGTACTCTTGCCAGAGCAGGTATAAGTGATTCAGCCGGTGGCCGTATGATGAAGATGCTCGTCGACAACAAATATCACGAGCCTAATACGTACGTGCATTCAGGGATCTGCTATTCCAGGTTGGAAGAAGGTTTGGCCAGAGACTCGAAATATCTTCCAATCCTCATTTGGACCATTATCTGCCACAGTTTGCTGAGCTTTCCACCTTTATACCAGACAGCTATCACCACTACTACTAGTATCCTCACCAAAATGGAGTACAAGGAGGACTTCATGAAGCCTATAATGAGCACTCGCCCCTTACTCGAACCCCTTCTATCAGAATACGAGGCCGAGGTTAATCACACGGTGAGTGAGGCCAACTTCCAGCTCCATATCATGCTTTTCCTTTGTTTTGGTCTCACCACATCACAATTCAGGCACACATCTGTTCACTGCTTGAAGAGGATGTTGAAACATAAGCTCCTGCTGGAGGACGGCTATCCCAACAAGGCCTACAGGTATGAGTACCTTTTGATTGCTTTCTTGTCGACATCAGATAGTACCTACAACGAATTTCTCAAGGAGAATTTTGCGGACGCTGAGGGTCTCCAATGTGTGACGAAAAACTCTCTACCAAAGGCTGTGATTGAGAGCTTGGACAACATCAGTGGAGAGACAAAAATTGCAATTATCATTGCTGCTTACACGTTTGATAGCGATTGTGACTCTAACTTCAAGTTAAAGTTCATTCGTTTGTACAATCATATTTTCGCAACTCAAAGAGACTTTGCATTGGTCATCTTTCACCTTGTCAAGCGTGGTCTTGAAAACAATATGGTCAGCAGCACCTCTTTTGATCTTATCACATCAATTTCCAACATCATGGTGGATGTTGTACAAGATGAAAGGTACTCTGAAGCCAATGCGGAGTCGCAATTGAACGATATCTTGAACTCATTCGAATTCCAGAGAGTACGTCAAGTGAAGGAGTTCAGAAATGAAGTCACAGAGAACATATGTGACATGAAAAGAATGAAATTGGTGCAACAACTTATGCACAGAAGCATCAGCAGCGTCAACGAAGGTGAACGTCTAGAAAAATCATAAACCCATTCCGTTCATTACTGTTATGTACCGAAGATGCATTATATATGAATAACGTTTCACGATCATGATAATTCACGCCGTAGAACTATTTGTACTTCGCTATCGCCTCTTGATCAATCTCCGGTTTGAATTTTCGAAAAAGCGCCATGGTAGCTCTAGCGTCCTCGACAGAGGAATGCAGACCGTTTTGAATATCGTACTTGAAGTGTTGCGAGATTAGCTTTTTCAAGCTGGGCGGGTGGCCCTTTGTATCGACTCGAAAACCAGAATATTTCGAAGTGTCTCTAATCTTGTTTCTAGGATGCTTGAGTTCTAGACATTTGAGGTCACCACCTAGCGCGTGTCCCACAAGGAACTTCCCTTTTATGACACTTTCAACTTTTTCTTGTGCCTCGGCAAAAGTGATTGCCTCGGCCATGTGATGAGGCGCTACTCCCGAGACCCATGTCCTCCAATTGGTCACTCTTCCTTGTGGCTTGACGAATGTGTCTAGTAGTAGTACACCATAGTAGTTCACAATGGAAACACGAGCAAGTGCTGACTCGTCGTTATCGCCAATACCAACAAATTCGCAATCTATGGCAACGAATTTACCAACGGCCTTTTTCGCAGGATTATTGTTGTCCTTTCCCCAAAGGTATACTTCTAGTGGAGTCTTTTGCTGATTGAGCCTCTTCACAGGTTTCTCTCGTTCCTTTGGGGTAGCCTTGGCGATCGACTTCTTTCGTATCTTCAGGAGATTTTTATCGCTTTTGGGATTGGATGCATTTTGCTTAGCACTTAAACGCTTCCAGTTCTCAGATAAGCCCATAGATACCATTCTCCATATTTGGCGATGCCCTCATATTGGATGCACACCGCTGATTTTGGCTGCAAAAAGAAGGGCCTCACTTATCAATCATATTGTTGTAAACGTGAAGAGACCATTTAATTTTTTCGATAATCTCTTCGCACTGGGCGCCGTTCTCGGCCTCGAGATCGTACTTTTTCTTCACAGCTGCATCCTTACCTGTCTCACTTGCGGGTTTCTGAATCACAATCTTGAAGTGATTCGGATTTTTGGACTGAGTGTACTGCTTGAGCTTGACAATCTGTGTAATATGGAAGGAGCTTGTTTTCATCATGGTCTCTTTATAAAATTTGGAGTAGTTATAGTGATGAAGGTAATGGTGGTGGCTTAGGTTGTTGCTTGTGGCTAATGGATTATCAGCAGGGTTATTCCGCCAGTTGACGTCATCTGTGGGGCCAAGTGTATGTAGTCGCCGTCTATAATAAGCGCCTTCTCGATTCTGTTGATAATTGGTGGCTTCTTTCGATACACTGTCCATTTGAAGTAAATGGTGTTCAAACTGACCGGTAAACTTGGGCGATTTTGGTTCAAGATATCACCAAAAGAGAGCTTGTTAGCTCTATTGGTAATAGCGGACATATCTGGGTCTACCTTATGGGGTTTCTTTGCAGCTGGCTTCTCTATTTCAGCAGTCATTCTGTCTTTCTCGTCGGTAACACTGGCTGAAACATCTTCTGCTCTATTCTCAAGTTGACTAGTAGGAGGTGTGATTCCATTTGGTATGAATGTAGCAGACGAGGGCGTGATATTGTTATCCCTAAAGCTATCAACTTTGACGTCTGTTAGTGGCCGAATGGTCTGTGACAAATTAGGCACAAACTTAAACTTGTTGGTCGGAAGGGTAGAAAGCAAGGCTGCATTATCCAAAGGCTGTTGCCAGCTGTTTTTGGACAGTTTTATGTCATCTCCCAACAAGTTGGTCTGTATATCAGGGAAATCTGCCTGTGCTAGACGGTATCGTAGTGGGTCGATCTGATATTGCAGACATATGAGATCAAGAAGATGACCTACGGTCATATGTGAGCTAATGAAGAAGCTCACGATGTTTGTATGACTATCCGGAATATTCCCAACCTTTACCTCAATTGTGTCAACACCCATTTGACCAGGCTTAGTGTCAAACTGAGGCGTCATTGGCTCGTTAGACTTCTTCTGGCCCGGATGCTTGTCAAAAGTATCTAAGTTTTGTTTGAAATCAGGTGGAAGAGGGGATTGCTTTTCGTTGTTTTTCAATTCGGCCGGTTTGGTCACCCGACATAACGCTAGAGTGTTGGGACTGTTGTACGATGATAACTGCCTTGTTCTGTCGAGAACACCAAAATTACCATCATACAATTCGCCATCCTCATCAATGAGCTCCATCCTCCAGTTGTTGGGATTGATGAATTCCTTATCCAAAGACTCCTTGTATTCGGTCAAGTTCGATAATTGCAAAAGCACGTAGCCAATACAGTCATGAACTGGCGTTGTATTCCAGATTGCAACCTTCTGAAGTGTTGGTGTATCTTTTGGTGGCATAAAGAAGTCAATAAAAACTCTATGGGCGTTAGGAACCGGAGCGTCTGATGCAACGAAACCATAGTAGTTCAACGGGTTCACGAACGTCGACCTGAACTTTGACAGAATCATGCGGCTTAGGTTGGAAGGAGCCGGCTCCGGATTTCCAACCTTATAATAAATCTTTTCAAATTGAAGGGAATTTGCTTGTTTCCGTACCCGCGGTTTCTCTCTTGACTCGTCGTCGAGACTAGACCTTTGCATCGAGGAGGTAAGGCTTGCGGAGGAATGCCCCTTCTTGATCTTTCTTTTCTGCTTTCGCAGGTGTTTGGCCTCTTGAAGGACATAACTATCTGGAACCAGGTAATCGTACATCAAATCGGACCCAACGTCCAGAAGTGAACCTCCTTCAATATCAGTGAAGGCGGAATCAGTGGATGAGTTCGACCCGGGTAAATCGGAGCCACTTATGCTAGTGACGTTTCCGCTCGGAAGGCCTAACATACTATCCTGGATGGTGTTGGCGGTACTTGGCTCAGTAAGTGAATGTCTCTCCATAGAACTGCCGGAGTCTATGGTGAAACTACGCATATCAGGTTCCCCTTCATGGGATTTGGATCCATGGTCGGTGTCGAGACTGCTCTTGTTTTCTTGGCTGGGTAGGGAGTTTTCTGGTCCCGAGGATATGCTGCTCTTATCAGACTTCTGGAACAATTTCACCAAAGGGTTCTTCTTCTTTCTCTTCTTTGGATCATCCGGCGAGGAGAAATGTGGCAGTGGGAGGGTGACGGTAGGAGATTGAAGGGCAGAAACGCCTAAAGTTTTAACTGAGCCATCGGAGGCTTCTTCGTCTCTTTGAGCTAGGGATTTGCGATGTTCTTTGCGGTTGATACCCGTGACGGAGCTGCGCTTTTTGGCATGTGTTTTTCGTTTGGAATCGGTGGATGTAACGGGAGCGGTGGAAGCCTGGGATCGTAGATCGTAAGGAATGGGCGGTGATTCAGGCCGGAGGTTACTGAGGTAGTATTTGTTCAAGTCGTCCTTATTGAGGCCGAACTGGAGCGGTTTTATGATTGTAGAAGCATCATTCAGATCGGGATCCGCTGTGGCCACCGAGAATGCCCGGAGGTACGCCACAAGATTAGACGCTTCTAGGGGAAAGGTCATTGCATTGGGTGTTGCTGACGATCAACGTGATTTGGAATGCCGAGGTAGTAAATTTGGAACTGCGTGTACCTAGAAAAATAGATCTATCAAATTTGTGGCAAGACGGGGCTGTTTTGGGACGATAGTGATGAGTATTATAGTAGTAGGTGATTGTTGATGTACTGTGAGAATGGCTGCGAAACAGGACGTGGATGGTGAGGTTGACGAGGAAGGAAAGTGGGAGATTCACCGAAGGAAAAAGAGCAAAAAGCGAATGATCGAACTAATTATTTGTAAAATTGCTTGCTTGTAACGTTATGGGAGTTGTGCCATGGGGGCACTGATGAAGCAGAATCTCTGTACCACGCAGTGTTAAGAGGGCATTAAAGGCGTGGTGAAGCGTTACTATTTTGTGTGACTTATTTATTTACTGACTACTTTAACATTGAGAAATGGATGGATCCGAGTGTTACGTGGAATACAGTGGCGTTGACTAAGGTGGGTAGCCGAGTCATCGATGTATAGAGTCAACTAGTTGTCGATTCTACAGTATTTGAAAGGAATCTCTGGCTTGCTCCTTGAAAGGCATTGTACCTTTCACTGGAGTTACTTATTTGGTAAGCCAAGCCCATGGGTCAGCTTTGGCCCTGTAAAAACCATCCAATTACGTCATAGACTTTCTATAACAGAGCGGTGATCATCTTCACGGTATGTTTCCCAAACAGTGGATCACACAATGATTCCAAAAGATAGTGTGACTTTCCAGTAAAACAGCAGAAGGTGACCTACCTAGCATCAACAGTGAACCTGACGTCATTCACAAGTCCGCTGATTGAAAGTTCTCAATCTGACGACTACTGACAAATCCAGCTCAATGCAGATATCCACAATTTGATGGTCTATTTGTAATGGCTGCAAAAAGAGTAATGGTTAATTACTTCGCCTGCTGCCAACTCAATTCGGCAATCTAAGCCTCTACTACTCACTACTTTGTATCAAACAATCGGGCTTCATGCGAAAGGTTCGCCTCACAATGGGCCGATAAGGGGCATTGATTGCGAACCAGGTAGGCTTGATCTGAGCCCGAAGATGAAAAAGCCTCTAGTTTGATTTTCAATTGAGTGTGAACTAAAATCAGAGAAATGTCCAACAGAGGCTCTTCTATTTTTCATCCGTTCAAGGCAGTAGGACAAGCCGAGATGGTCTTCGCCAATCGGCAATTGTCCACCTTTGGGCAGTCGAAAACTGTCAAAATAACATTCTCTACCCACCACTACAACCCATAACAATTAAGCCATATTCATCGAACGCATCTAAAAAAAGCCTAATAGATGCTCCAGTATGGAAAAACCTCTCTGCCTCCACATACAGCTACACAGTGCTATCGGCCTGCAGATAGTACCGGCAATCACCCAATCAAGGACCCGTCGTTTCAGGCTTGGGCCTGCTGATTCCAATTTCAAAACCGTAGCAATGATCTTCTCTTTAACAGCACAGGCGTAGCTGTTTTCCGACGATTTCCCGCCTCTTTTGCCGAACCTGGTGAACCCACCTCTGCCGCTTACCTGCACTCCAATACGTGTAATCGGCAGTGCTGCTACACGGCAACCATAACCAGACTCCATATTCTTCAGCAAAGGCCAGCACACAACGCGAGCTTATTACCGCTATTTAGACTCTTCCAGCCTAAAATAGAGTTAGATTCCATCACGTGCTCCGTTTTCCCGTACAGCGAGCCCACCACAAGTTCATCCTATGCTCCCTTGAGCCCAACACATGTCCAATAGATACACGCTGCATTTACAAAACACGGTGCTGGCAGCCGAGCCAGCCTCCGGAAGGTCGGGAACACAACTGCCGGATTTCGGTGACATATACACTTCATACGCTCAGAGTAGCAATCTCCAAGATGGTACGGCTACTACTCCACATAATGGGTCTCAAGACCTGTTGGACTCTAATCTGAACCATGTAGGAGACAATACGCCGCCAGTGAGAAAGAGCTCCCAAAGAATGAATCCCACAAGAGCCCAAGCGGTATTCCAGGCCATGAACGAACGTTCAGGAAACGCCCTGCCTCATACTCCCCAACGGAACGATTCACCGGGACTGAGCGATTCTTTCGACTTCACCCAGCCTATTGGTCAGACAGGTCTTCATTCGTCGTCCTTAAACGTCTTGCTTGACACCCCATCCTCAGAAAGCCAGTACCGCCAATTGGTCCTGACTCCTCCAGTTATAGAGACAAATTACAGACACCACGGACGACACGTGGAGAGCCAGGAGAACTTGGACGAAGATAACAGCAATGTTGACGTGCTGTTGCGCAGCGAAAGCGTCGACAATTGGGCCGAAAAAGGAGGCGCAGAGAGAACAATCTCTTCTTCGTCCAGCGGATACGATTACAAGGTGATTCGCCGTACAGTCAAGGACTTTGAGTTTGGGAAAGACATTGGCGAAGGCTCTTACTCCACTGTTGTTTTGGCTACAGATAAGCTAACCTCCAAGAAATATGCTGTGAAAATACTAGACAAGCGTCACATCATCAAGGAAAAAAAGGTCAAGTATGTCAACATTGAAAAACACGCTCTCAACCGTCTTTCTGGTTGCCCCGGTGTGATTTCGTTGTTCTTCACGTTCCAAGATAAGCATTCATTGTATTTTGTTCTCGATTTCGCAGCCAATGGAGAGCTTCTTGGTCTCATCAAGCAATATGGCACTCTCAATGAAGAGTGTACCCGCTACTTTGGTGCCCAAATGCTTGACGCTATCAAATACATGCACGACAACGGTGTCATTCACAGAGACATAAAGCCTGAAAACGTGCTTTTGGATGACAATTATAGAATCCAAATTACAGACTTTGGCACTGCGAAGCTCCTTGAGCGCAAGAAAAACGGCAATACAGGTGAAGAGGAGGACTATCCAGTGGATGTACGAGCGAAATCGTTCGTGGGAACAGCAGAATATGTGTCTCCAGAGCTTCTTGAAAGCAAGTATTGCGGAAAGCCCGGTGACATCTGGGCTCTCGGGTGTATTTTGTACCAGCTCATTGCTGGCAAACCACCTTTCAAAGCTACGAACGAATATCTCACATTTCAGAAGATTACGAAGTTGCAATATGCTTTCAGTGCCGGTTTCCCCTTGGTTCTCAGAGACTTGATCAAGCAGGTTCTTGTACTCCAGCCCTCGAGAAGAGCTACTATCAACCAAATTCAGAAACACCACTTCTTTCATGATGTTGACTTCGAGAACACAGATGCCATTTGGAATTCACCAGTGCCCGAATTAGGTCCATACAAGATGACTGCTAAATCCATGATGAAGATGCCGCCTGCTCCAAAAGCAGCAGCGAAGAAGATAATTCGCAAGCCTGGAAAGAAGAAAGCTGCTCCACAGACAAACTCTCCACAACAACCCGAAAAACCGGGCCAGAAACATGTCACCAGTGATGGAGATTCGAAGAATTACAGCGCTGCAAGTGTAGCAGCCTATGTCTTTCACAAGCAGGATGAAGATGAAGCTCCACAAAATAGGTCGAATCCGTCGGCTAGTGCAACAGCGAGGAAGCCATCGGCGCCAGAGTATATTCCAGGAACAAACATTTTGCGTCCGGTTATCAATTCAAGAGCTAACTTCTCAAGGAGCAGCGTCAGTCAAAATTCAAGCTCCTTAAGTAATGCTAGCACGCCGACGGAAAGGAGAGATTCTAAACCAGCAGAAATTCCTCCAATTTCCAGTGTCGAGCTTGCTTGGAAGGACTATCTTACCGATCCAGATGAGAGAGTCTTACATGTTGGCCAGGCGATAGTGTGCAAGCAGCCCACGGATTACTTTGAGAAGAAGCACAAAGGTTTAATTCACAATGCACCATTGAAGTATGTGAGTCAACTACAAGCTGCTGCGAAGGTAGGAGGCAATGATTCGATGCTCACGAGAGTTGCTCAAGGTAACAAAGGCGGCTTGAGATCGGCGCCAGATGCCACAAATTACGTGGCTAACGAGAAGGATGCAATTGTTGATTTCACTCAGGAGGAGGAGCCTGACCCCAAGATTACCAGCATTCCTGAGGACGAGGACCTGCCATCATCACCCGTGGACGGAAAGGAGAAGGAGGATCAAAGCAACGGGTCAGGGAAATCTGCTTCCAAATTCGGAAAAAAGTTTTTGAAGAAGTTTTTGACCCATTCTGAAAAGAACGAGGATGGTAACTCAGACGCTGCTTCCACAAAATCCAGTGGCAGTGGTGGAAATGGAAGGAGCCGCAGTTCAAGCTTCTCGTTGGAGAGGGCTAGAAACTGTACTCTAGTGGCCACAACTCACGGCAGATTCTTGATTTTCATAAAAGAAGGTAACTCAGAGCTAAAGTTGATTAGCGAGATATTCCTTAACTTCCCTTTCATTCAGCTTAAGGAGGTGGTCACAAATCACACCGCAAAGTTTGGTAAGATCATTCCAGTGACTGGTATCTTTGCAGTGCAAGCTATTGAGTCAACGTTTGTTTTTGAAGTTGATAAATATGAGGTCGATATCTGGACTGTGGCTCTTGCCAGATCCAAGCTTGGTCAGTTCGATAGAGAAAGAGAAAGAAATCGCTCTGCATCAACGGTTAGCCAATCGCCCAAACTTATGGATGCTCCTTCCATCACATCGACACCTCCTGTGCCAAAAGAGCAGAAGGATGATCCTCTTCCCGCTCCCCCTCGTCGGCTGCTCCCCCCGTGCCCCAGCCCATCTCCACCAGAAAAGTCAGCAATGAGTCGGGTCCTGAACTGCCCAAATCACAGCAAAATCACAGCAAGGAACCAGGCCTGCCAAAGCAAACGCTTGATCCTAGAGGCCATCTGATGTTCAGAAGCAGAGCAAAGCAGAAGAGCATGAAGAGGAAGCCTCCACCACCTCTCCCAAAGGGCAACATTGGCCACACAGGCTTAGCCAAGGATCCAGCGAGCCCTGACAACGACACACTTCACGCAGCACTTCTAGCAGTCAACAACAACCCGGTTGCGAAGCAAGAAGAGCGTCGCTCTAGCTTCTCAAAAGCCAATCCCACCAGCCCCACACAGAACATTACTTACCGGTACCAATCGCCTTCCAATGGGAAGGGCCGGATTACTGCAATGAACTCGAAGCTTCTCAACAGAACTCGAGACAAGCAGTAGTCATGTTACAATATAAAAGTCTCATCATGATGACGTAGCGGAGTCTCTATGTGCATAGAGCCAGATTAAGCTTTTTCGCAGCCATTTGTTGCATAACGTAGAAGACCTTATCCCCGAGATCACACATGAATTCTTTTTGAAGTTGAAGATGGTCTTAATGAATTCGCTTTCTTCTATTATTTGACATTTGTTTTTGGGGAACCAATATATTCAGAATGTGAATAGCCGCTAGGTTAGCCATCATTGATGGAACGGCTAAACAGCGTTATTATAGCCTCAATTCACTAAACGCATATTTTCTGCTTTCAGTGATCAGACTTATATCCATTGACCATTTGAATTTCTTCAGTTTTTTTCCTTACTCGAACTGCATTCCTGTAAGTTTCTTGCAGTTTGATACAGATCTATCTCCCAGCTTCATCAGTCACAAAGTTGGTGCGACCAATTTAACTCTACAGTCATCCAATTTTCCCTTGAAGACGCAAAATCAGAATAAATGAAAGCGCTAGTTATCCCCACACAAATTTCATTGATAAAATGCTATTTGTACGGAAATGTCCCGATGTCGTTGTGACAGTCACGTCCGCTCACGTGATTGAAGAAGAGCCCTCGACCGACACTGCGACGTAGCCACTGCACACGTTAGGAAATGTCGCACACAAACAGAAGAGCTGGGGCCCGCGCCCTGCATACGAGACGACATCCTTCGCAGCGTCTACTCACAAAAAATTTTCTATTAGTGAAGAAAAAAGGATTTTGATATTTCACCTGTTCCACAACTCAAAAATGGCTAAGTTCATCAAGTCTGGTAAAGTTGGTATGTACAGCCGTTGAAGACCGATCAATTTGCTGAGATGCCTATCGTGGCCCTATTCCTTTGATATTTCATCCACTGATTCATGAAAATTTGATATTCCACCAACGTCCATCAATCTCCATCACCTCGACTGATGTAGACAATCCAATGACTCCAGCGTGTCCATCCATCAAAAGTATCCATCCTCCGTCAAGATCCTGCTTCACACTACGAAATACAACGAAATATGTCGACCCGTACCAAAGTGAAAAACTCCATCCAATCAGCAAATGCAAATATTCACAACTCAATACTAACAAGCAGCTATTGTCACCCGTGGCCGTTTCGCTGGTAAGAAGGTTGTTGTCGTCAGACCCCACGATGACGGCACCAAGGCCCACTCTTTCCCACACGCCCTCGTTGTCGGTATCGAGAGAGGCCCACAGAGAATCACCAAGGCTCACGACGCCAAGAAGATTGCCCAGAGAACCAGAGTCAAGCCTTTCGTGAAGGTCATCAACTACAACCACTTGATGCCAACTAGATACTCGTTGGACGTTGAGTCTTTCAAGAACGCTGTTACCTCTGATGCATTGAACGAGCCATCTCAGAGAGAAGAGGCCAAGAAGGTTGTGAGAAAGGCTTTGGAGGAGAAGCACCAGGCCGGTAAGAACAAGTGGTTCTTCCAGAAGCTCAACTTCTAATTCTGTCACATAATGTAATAAACTCTGCAACGGTATTTTCAATTGTAGTGGATACGCTTTTAGAACAAGATGTGGTACCGAGATCCCTGTGTTACCCTAGTTCGACTGATTGTAGGAAGTCCATCATGGAGTTTGATTACTTGCATCTGCTTTATCTAATGTGAGATCGCTAGTCGGATGTTCGTTCTGATGTATGGAGACTCAATTGACACTTTAAAAGTCAAAAGCTGTTACAGGAGGACATCTCGAAATACATTTGGAAGCTAGTTTTTGGCTGGTGGTATACTCGTGTGACTGTAGTTCAAGACCAATGAGATGCAACCATCAAAATTTCCCTTGAAAACTAAAACATCAGGGCACGGGCTGCTATTTGAAATTAAAGGGGACAAATTTCCGGAAGGCAAAGGCCCTTCTTGAATCTTTTGGCGATCTGAATGGTGGATCATCTCAAATGAACACAAATTATGATGAAGCTGTACCACGTTCTCCAACCTTTGATAAAACAACGAACATCTTTGAAGAAGCAAGTTCATGGTCGTCAGAATTTATCTTTTCTCTTCAATTTTGATATACACTTGAAGAGCATGAGCTTCACCGAGTGCAGCAGAGCTTTTCGCAGCCATTCTGTACTCCAATCAATTCACCACGCAAAACAGGAATCTGGGTCATAAACAATGTGAGATAGTAATTCTGAAGCATTCTACGTATAAGTAAGGAGATTCCGCTCCTTTGCTATATGGTGGGAACACAGGGGATATTACGACTTCTCCATACTTATAACCACCATCTCAGCCCTCTTTCACGATAACGCAAAAGACCAATCAGTTCATTCCCTTGAGTAGATTTGACACTCTCATTTCATTTCAATACCATCAATGCGATCTCGTTTTTGGTGTACTTTCATGTCTTCGTCTTATCGTTCCAGATCTGAGTCACCTGTAATCCACGTGACGTGACCAATTACTTTTTCGTTCCAACTCCATCTTCAATCTCCACCATGGCTGAACAGATTGACATTGAAAAGCTCAAGCTTGAAGAGGAAAAGAAAGCGCAAGAGCAGAAAATCACGCCTTGGGAGGTAGAGGGAGCTGTTGACGAGAATGGTCTTTCACAAGGCATCGACTACAACAAGCTCTCGGCTCAGTTTGGCACCAAAATCATCACGGAAGAGACCTTGAAAAAATTCACTGAAATCACGGGCCACGAGCCCCACCCGCTTTTGAAAAGAGGTGTTTTCTTTTCCGAGAGAGATTTGCACAAGATTTTGGACTTGTATGAACACGGGGAGCCATTCTTTCTTTATACTGGAAGAGGCCCATCGTCTGACTCAATGCATTTGGGCCACATGATCCCATTCATTTTCACCAAGTGGTTGCAAGACGTGTTTGACGTGCCTCTTGTCATTGAAATGACAGATGACGAAAAGTTCTTGTTCAAGCAGAAGTTGACTATCGAAGACGTAAAGGGTTTTGCAAAGAAGAACAGTAGAGACATCATCGCCGTGGGTTTCAAGCCTGAGAACACCTTCATCTTTTCTGACTTGGAGTTCATGAACCCTGCCTTCTACGAGAACATCGTCAGAACCTCTAGACAAATCACCACTTCCACCGCTAAGGCCGTCTTTGGTTTCCAGGATTCTGACTGCATTGGTAAGCTCCACTTTGCATCTGTGCAGATTGCCACAGCGTTTCCTTCGTCCTTCCCTTCGGTTTTGGACTTGCCCCCAAGACTCCCTGCTTGATTCCATGTGCCATTGACCAGGACCCATACTTCAGAGTATGCAGAGATGTTGCCGACAAGCTCAAATACAGCAAACCATCCTTGATCCATGCCAAATTCTTCCCAGCTTTGCAGGGTGCATCCACGAAGATGTCGGCCTCTGACAGTACCACGTCTATCTTCATGGACGACACACCCAAGCAGATTCAGAAGAAGATCAACAAGTACGCCTTCTCTGGTGGTAGAGCCACGTTGGAGGAGCACAAGGAGCTTGGTGGTAACGTTGATGTCGATGTTGCATTCCAGTACCTCTCGTTTTTCGAACACGATGACGAGAAGTTGGCTAAATTGGCGGACGGCTACAGAAAGGGTGAGATCATGTCATCTGAAATGAAGAAGGAGTGCATTGCCGTGGTGCAAGAGTATGTTGCCGCTTACCAGGAGAGAAGATCCAAGGTGGACCAGGACGTTGTGGACTCGTTCATGAAGCCCCACAAGCTTGTGTACGGTCAAGCAGAGAGAAAGGTGCCAGCTAAGGAGAGAGTGAAGAAATCAAAGAAGTAATCTACAGGATAATAGATATAGCATAACGCTTATTTGTAGAAGGTTCATCATCATCATCATCACCATCATCATCATCACCATCATCATCATCACCATCATCATCATCACCATCAACATAATCACAACCACTACATCCCTCAATCTGATATGCGTCGATTATGAACATGATACTACTTACAAGAATATTTACGCGGTTAGTGCTTCTTTTTGCTCTTCTTCAGCCCTTGGTTGCCCTCGATGAACTGCAAGATCTCATCGACAGACTTGGAAGCGATTGAAGGGTCAGATGCTGGCGCCTGGTTCTTTTTGCCCTTACCTTTACCCTGTGGAGCCTTGGTCTTGGCAGGAGCCTTCACAGGAGCTTTTTTGCCGTTCTGCTGCTTTCTCTGTTCAGCAGCCTGGTGTTCATTGTAAGCAATGTAGGTTTTGATCTGTGTGACAAAGTTGGCACATTCCTGAGAAAGCGTGTCCTCAGGACCCACAAGCTTGCTGAACACATCGCCAGCCTGGGTGAACTGTTCTTGGGCGCCCTTGTAGTTGCCCAAATGCACCAATGTAATGGCGTATCTGTGTCTAATGAGGGCTGTGATATCGCAGACGGAACCATTCAATTTTTCAGAAACCTCGATTGCTCTGGCAAAAAGCTTGCTGGCCTCCTTCGAAAGCTTCATCTCCTGTAAAATGGCAGCAAAATTGGTCAAGGTGCTCACGGCGTTGGGGTGGTTGTTACCGTAGATTTGCTCCCACAATTGAAGAGCACGTCCATTGAGCGCAAAAGCACTGGCATGGTCCTTGTTCAAGCTGTCGAAGAACGAAGCCTTGATGTAGGCATTAATGGTTTCGTAGCTGTCGGTACCGTAGATTCTCTCGTTCAAGATGATGGCCTTACGAGCTGCAATAGAAGCCTCACTGGACATGCCTCTTTCAGTGTAGAACTGGGCCAAAGTTGAGTAGAGCGACGAGATCTCGCTGTTAACCGAGCCGTAGATTTGCTGGTAGAACGAGATCAATTCGGTCATGAGTGTGGTGCCTATTTCGGCGTCTCCCTTGTTGAGATGGCTCTTTGCTGTTTCATAAATCTCGTCCACCATCGAGCAACGGTAGCCAGCGTCCTTGATAATTGGCACAATGTCGATGATATCGTCAGCAACGAAAACAGTGTTGCGCTGAACAGCAGGTGTTGCTACCTTCTCCTGGTGCTTCTTGCCCTTGTTTTTTCTTTTCTTGGACTCCACAATTGGCTCCTTTGTTTCCACGGCAGCAGGAGCAGCTGGTTTGGCTTCAAACTCCTCCTTGGTGAAAAAATAAGGCTGAGCTTTCCACTGGATACCGACCTTGAGCGCAATGTCTCTCATCAAGCTCAAAGGCTTGACTGCTTCAGTCCAGTCGGAAGAAAGCGAGTGTCTGAAACGAGCATACACCTCCTTTTCAACGGCACTGGTCACCTCAGCAGGCTTGATGGAGGTGAAAGAAGTTTCCTTCTTGGAAAACAAAGATTTGATGGAGCTGTCGATCTCAACCTCGGGGCTCGAGTTCACATCCTGACCCAACAAACAGTTGTGGAAATGGGCAACCAAGTGAGGCTTCAAGAGGAATGGAACATCCTTTCCCAACTTACGAAGAACATGTTTGGAAGCTCTGGCAATCATCTCCTGGACAGCAAGGCCGTGAAGTGCAGTCATGTTGGCTTTAACAGGAACCAATTTGGCAGCGGATTGCTTTTCTTCGTCTTTCTTGTCCTCCTCCTTCTTCTCGTCCTTCTCGTCCTTCTTCTCCTTTTCCTCTTCGGCCTTCTTGGCAATTTCGGCCTCGTTCTTCTTGATGGCCTCCTCATTCTCTTTCTCAAAGTCGGCAACTCTATTCAAGGCCTCTTCGGCAATGTAGCCCAAGTATCTCATGTTGATACCCACACGGTGCATAAAAGCGGTCAAATGAGCACCATCAAAAGGAACCAGGTTCTTGGTGATGTCGTCCAAAAACTCAGGAATCAACTGTTTCTTGATGAAAGCAGAAACCTCCCGCACGTCCTCCTGATCGGCCTTCAGCTCGTCCACACCGGTGAAAACATCCGGATTGAGCACAATCTGGTCTACTGGAATGGCAACTTGGGGTTTTTCATCACCATCAAGCTTGCCCTCCTTGTCCAATCTCTCGGTCTCCACCTTAAACAAAGCAGCGGCTTTTCTCTTGTACCATTCTTCCACGGCATCGTGTCTCAACGAAGCTTCCTTGTGAGGGTAAGACGTCTCGGAACCATCAAAGTGGGCATCCAAAAACTCGACATCCAAAGGCGTGGTTCTGTACAAGTCGATAACGTACTTTCTGTGGTCAGTACCAACGATGCACTTGGCATCCTTGGAAAGAGCAATCTCGCCTTCTGTTTCAGCGCCCGACTCCAACTTGACCTTGTGAGACTTCAAGTGGAAGGCCTCACCGATGGGCTTCAACACCTCGTTGAACTCCTCAGAGGTGTGGATCACATTGTTGTCGTGGGAGTAGCCCTGGACAATTTTGTCAACTGGTTCACCGTTTTCATCGGTTTGATCAGCAAAGACACCAGGAACAGGAGCCTGACACACCACTCTTTCTCCCAAGTAGTCCACAATACAAGTGAGCAAATTGCAGACGCCCTGGACATCAAGTCTGTTCATGAGCCTGACGGTGGCCAAATCTTTGCCAAAACAGTAGCGGGCAGCTTCGTCTCCGCCCGTGTTGTCGTGGGCACCAGTAGCATTTACACCGAAACTGTAGAAGATGTTGTTTCTCAAGAAAATGTGGTCCTCCTTGGCCTCGCTGGGGTTCAAGGGCGTGATGTTGCCTCTCAAGATCTCTACCGCTGTGGCTGCTGCAGCCAGGCTGAACTCCTGGATGTACTTGTTGATCAACTTGTCTCTGAGCAAGCGCTCGTTGAACAGCTCTTTGGAGAATTCCTTGATACCCTGGAATTCCTCGTTCCAGTCCTTGACCAAATCGGCGCCATCGACACCATTGGAAAGAAGAGGAACCTGGTTCCGGAATGCATCGGGCACAATGGCGTTTCTCACCTGGGTCTCAGTGACCAACCATGGAGAAGTCACGGCAGCCTGGGATGGGATCAAGTAGCTTTCGGCAAATTGGGATCTCTGGGAAATGGCCTGCTTGTTGCCCTCGACAGCCTCCAGAAAACGTGGCGACAAAGCACTCACCAAGTTGTGGAAAAGGTACTCTTTAGCACCGGTCTTCATGGAAGGGTCGAAATTGGCGTTCGACAAGCGGCTCACAAAGAAACCCAGCACATGGCATGTCACAGAAAACGTCTCGCTCTCCAATGTCGTCAACGTGAGATAAAGCAAGTCTCCTCTGGCTTTCTGGATTTGAGGAACACTCCATTGCGATAAGGTGAGCGATTTGATCGGAAGCTTCCACAATCCAAGCACAGAGTCTGCGGATGCAACCTCCACGATGTTGGTCTCCTGAGGCTCAATAAGCTTGCCGACGATAGCCTTGATCTGAGCCTTCTCCTCTTCAGAAACCTCCTCTGCTACACCTTTGGATTCCTCAGATTCCGGCTTCTCTGGCTTCTGTGTCTCCTTGACACCGTCCAACTTCAAGCGGTTGAACTTGGTGCTTCCGGCAGCCACGCCCTGGGCACGGGCAGCGTGGTCGAAGAAGTTCATGCCGATACTCTCTCTGAAACGAAGAAGATGGTCGTACACATCCTTCAACGAGTAGGCTCTTTCGGCCAAACGAACGTCGTACTTGCCGGGCTGGCCGAAAACGTCTTGCAAAGGTGCAAAATCATCGAACTCCGTGACGTTGACGTCGCCGTAAAACAAACTGTAGTTGGTCAATTGGCTCAACATGGAGCTTGCAGCCAAGGCCTCCTTGATGTCGTTGATGGAGTCGGTCAAGGAGTGGTGAGTTTCCACATATTCGATTTTTTGGCCCAAGAACAGCGGAAGGGCAATTTTCAATACCACCTCCTGGGGGTCCTGGGGGTCTTGGGGCTTTTCGGCCATTTCGTTGTGGAGTAGCTTTGGTGAGTGAAAAATTCCTCAGGCTGCTGCAGGACGGTGGGGCTGCTTGTGGAAAATGGGATAATTTTGGATTTCTGAAAAATGGCTAGAGACAATTTTTAGGTGAATTTAAAAAGACAAGGATAGTTGAGGAGTTTCAATATTCCTTTTACGGTGTGATTTCTGGAAGTTGCTCAGTTCGACTGGCTGCGAAATTGACGTGAGCGGAATAGATGGAACCATACAAGATCTTTCGGTACGGGAAATCGGTGGTATCATCAGGGGAATGATTTCGTTTAATTCTGGAATTTTGTTATTGCCGAGGGGAAGTTGTAGAAAGGGGCTTGGGCTTCGGTGATGTAACTATGCTGTGAACGCTGGAGTGGTTGATCATATAATCAGTTAGTCACAAGTACATGGTGATTGACTATGGTTGTGGAGCAGTTGAAAGAAACCAAATGGCAGATGGCTCCAGTAAAAGCAATTCAAGATCTTGGGCCCAAGCACCTCTAGCAATTACAGTCGTTCTTGTGATTCTTTCCATAGGCTCAAGGAGCCAGAGCCACAGACTTATTGAAGAGTTGATTTAAAGAAAATTGGAAATTAAATCATCCAAGAAATCGACATAGGAATCCTCTCATCGTTCGTCATGAAGCATCTATCGACCCATCACTCCTCATTTACCCCCTTAATATCAAACTCCAGGCCGCCAGACCATGAAAATCTGGATAGTTCAAATTTCGATAATTCACCAAAATCTTTGGCCCAATCGATGCCACAAAAAAAAAAAAAAAAAAAAAAAAAAAAAACGGACTCTTCTACCGCCTTATCTCGCTTCCCCACCTACACTGATTGTCTCACTTTTTCGCATCCATACATCGCCATCAACCACCACCTTTTCTAAAGGTATCTCCATATCTTACCTCACCATGGACTCCTTGGGCAATACAGCGCCACCTTCTGATGAAGTACATCACCAGAATGTCCACATCAACGATCTCCCCGATGAGGTCCTTCTAAACGTCTTTGCCCACATGCAACCAGTGGAACTCAAAGACCTCCGCTTGGTGTGCTCCAAATGGAACCACGTGGTGCTGGACAAATCCGCCTGGATCAAAGCGTTCCATAACCGCTTTGGCACAGGTAACGTGTTTGCTTCGGTCACGGGGCTGACCATGTGGCTTACAGAGTATCTAGGCCGAGTCGCTGTGGCAAGGAAATGGGCCAAAGCTCGGGCCTACTCCCACTCCTATGCGCTTGTCAACAACGAATTTGGCATGAGGGTTCCGCCTCGTGTGTTTGTGGATTTTGCCCACGACAGGATCTTGACGTTTGCCAGGTTTCTGGGTGCCATATCCATGTGTACGCTATCCACAGGGCGTAACCAGGTGTTTTTCCCTGAAAACAGCGTGTTGTCTATGGGCATGGCTGTTGACAGCAATTGGTCCCACCTCTGCGTGGGCAAGCCCAACGGCGAGGTTCTACTCAAAAACTTAATCACATCTTCAGCCACAGGGCTGGGGAAGCAGTCTGTTACAACGCTTCAGGGCCCCACGGACGATCCAATTGTGGCTCTTAAGCTCAACGAAACGTTTGAAAAGGTCAGGGAAAAAGTAGAAATTGTGGCAGGTACCAGAGGCGGGCTCTTGCTACTTTGGAGCGCTACTTCGCTTCTACGGACAATATTTGTGAGCCAGACTTGCGGCGTGCTCGAGGTGGAGAGTGATTTCACGAAATCTGTCGTAGTCGTCACGGAGGAGGAAATAATCGCCTACGAGTTATCCCTGGGTGAAGAAACCCATCGTGTGGCGCATGGAATCGCCTTGATGCCCCACGTCAACTTTTGCATTGACCTCGCTGACATGAACGTCGTGGCATACGACGAAACTACCGTCAAGGTGTTCCATCTCGCCGAGAAGGTTTTTGTTAGAGAAACAGAGGCTCCGGAAGAAGTAAGCATTATCGGAGGCAAGTTGCAGCAGAGTGACGGCAAAGTGAGAAACTCTGATGTTGCCGGAGGCGATGGTCGTCTTTTCGCTTTAATATATTCTGACGGCAGTGTCGGCACCTTCAACATTCGTGATACCAGCAGCGAAATTAAGCTTCTCACGAGGATCATGCCTCGCTACGACGCCCCCTTTGGCATTTTTGACTGGACCGCCGTGGCACTCAACAGCTCCACCATTGCTATTGGTCTTCTACCTAATTTTGTGCATTTTTACGACTCCCACCTGGGCGAGTATCTTCGAGAGGGTGTCAAGGTTCTGCGTAAGCTCTTTCGAGAAGGCGAGCCACCCATCAGGCACATCAGTTTCAGCTCAAACCAGGCTGCTGGTGTGGTTGTCAGCGGAAGTGTAGCACAATATTTCCGTTTCGGTGACGCTCCGCTTTCATCGAAGAGGAAGCCTAATACACCTCAGGCTGCCGAGGGTTCTTCTCGACATGCTATGCATAGACACATCAAGGCTCAATTGGACGACTATGAAACCCTTGAAGACTCTCGTCGCCGTGCAGAACTCATGGCTGATCGCTACAATGGCACAGAGCTCGAGAGCGAGGCTGAAGAGCTCCGAATGGCAATGGCGCTAAGTGCTAGTAGCGTCCCTGACACCAGCGAAGATGACGACTTGGAGAGGGCTTTGGCGCTTTCCCGAGAGGAACTGGAAAGAGTCACACCTCGTGAAGGGACCCTGCGATCTCATGAGCTTTTTAAGCAGCCTGCTACGGGACATCCTGGTGAGCCTATCGAGGAAAGTGACGACGATATTCTTCGCCAGGTAATAGAGATTTCGCTCACTGATGTATAAACTCAGGGAGCTAAAAGCGTTTCCGATTAAGGGTTGCTGGACTACATCATTGATACCGGTTTTGTGGTGCACCAAGTTTTCAACCCCCCGGTCTGACTCTTTTCAGGGATAAAAATATAATCAAAGCATGACCCTAAATTCCTCAAGTCCGTTTGCTGCATCATCATTCGGACGTTTTACGACACGCCAAGCGTTGCGAAGCCTCCTCAACAATAGACTACGGGAATACACCGGCGGGAATTATTGAGCTTCGCCGTTGACTAAGGTTTGCAGCCAAGGATCTGAGTCACGATTTTATCGCACTAACGGTTTCCAAAGCACTTTTCAAAATATCGTTCTTTTCGTGACAAAATTAAGAGGACGCCAGAAAAAAGCTTAAAGCAAAAGCATTTTTATTTTGGGCCTAAATGATAACAGAATGAAGGTTCTGGCCTGATCTCGTGGGTGCCACCATCCGTGGATGCACTACTCGGTACCGGAATTTTACGGGATACAGCGTACGGCAGGTAGAATAAAAATCCATTTGCCGTTATTTGCGAGATCGTTCCATACAATACGAACTCATTTTTTTCCCTGCAAATTAAATACCGTTCTTTCAAAACAGCTACACTGATAGCAGATTCCCCACACAAAGGCATTAAAGCTCTGTCTTGCCATGTCATTCAAATTAAGGGAGCTGGGGAGAATCCAGTTCTTCCAGTCTTCCCTTCCCTACTTGAACAATAATGCTGTGACTAAATTTCAGCGAAACCATACTAGACGCTGGCGTTCCGAAGATCCCCATCCTTCGAACCACAAATTCTTGTCTATTTCAAATGGCCACTATGGCATCTACTTCACAATTTTTAACCATGAATTGAGACGAGAAGAGAAGAACGGCCTCCATGACAGTGGTTCCCATGTCTTAATGGTGTTCCCCTCGGGATCACTGCTGTCAATCCCCATTCCATATTTCGTCATAAGTAAAGTCAAAGAAGAGGTTTACAGTCACATTGATCACCTAAAGACAGTATCGAAGGAGTTCTTGTCATCTTGGGCATTGGTGAAACCCAAACACTTGCTGCAGCAGCAGTATTTCGTGAGGTCATTCACCACATCTGCCACTGAGAAGGAGCCAGAGCCTCTCAAAATTACTCCATTGTCACAACCTAAAATTGAGGAGGTTGTGGAAGAGTTCGGTGGCGAAGAAGTGCCATTCGCGGAGTCCTTCCGCAAGTCTCAATGTGACGAAATCACGAAAGTATACAACTCCCATGCATCTCCCGAGGACCTTGACATCATATATCCATTATACCAGGCTCTCAAACGGAACGATATTCCCTCCCCACCATTGAGCTTTACAACATTGTCCTTGAATCTATTTTGTCTCGAGCACTTGACAGCGACAAGACCTCTCTTGCTTCCATCGAGTCAAAACTCACGAATCTCCTTACCGTCTATCAGGATATTCTTCACCTTTGTTCAAGCACACCTTTGAGACCCGACAGTACAACTTACGATCTCGTCTTGAAAGGAATATTCGAAGGTTGTGTCGAAACAGTCAGCGCCGGCCGCTCCCCTCAGTCGCACATCACATTTATCAAGAATTTGAGACAAAAGCGAAAGAATTTGGCCAGGTAGGTACTGACCTTTTCCTTTCATTAAAGGACTGTCTGAATCTTGCACTTTCTTCCATACTTCCCCATATGGTCACTGCTATGACTAGTTTTCCAGAGCTCTTGACAGTCGATCTCGTCGAAAAAATTTTGGAACATAGGACGACAGTAACTGGTGCAGGCTCTTTTTATGTTGGTCTCATCGAGTTGTCCCAGCACTTCGCCTCCTTGGGTATGCCCAATCTGAGCCCACAAGACATTCACCACTACCTCATCTCCGTTTTTGAGGATTTCAAAAGCAACGCTCAAGCCTGTCCGGAACTAATGAGCTATGAGTACAATGTTTACTCGGCTCTTCTACTGGCTTTGATAGCCAACGGCAACTTGTCCTTGGCGACAAAGTTTTTAGATGACATATTGGTTGACTACAAGTCATCCTTGCAAGCATCCGATAAAAACATTGTGGTTGCTAAGCAGAAAGTTTCTGCTCTCATCTCCGTCTACCTCGAGGCCATCACATCAAGCGGCAAAGCAGGCGACTTACACAAGGCTTACAACCTAATGAACAAGTTTAACGATGTTCCTTACCTTCCGGAGTTCTCCACTCAGCTTTACAATAAGCTTATCGCCCTTTTCATCAATGAGTATTCCATGTTAGAAATGCAGAGACGTGCCTCGAGTGACCAAACAATACTGAAGCAACAAAAGGACGTTTACAGTATCATCTGGAACTTATACGAAAAGGTGGCGATTAGATCTGATTATCAGAACAATATGTATGACGCAACGATATATCCCAAGAAGTTTGCGAATTGCAGGGAGTATTTGTTGACGTTGAGCATTGATTTAGGCGATTATAGCAAAGCACACCGCTTGATGAAGGAGATACTTGCGAAGGATCATTTGATAAGTGATTGGAACGTTTCAAAAAAATTGGTATTGTTTCTTATCAATACAGCGCAGCTTTCGGGTAATGGCGAGTACATTCATCTTTGTTGGACACTTTTAGAACAACAGGCAGCTCAGTATAGCCATGATTCAAGTATCTTGAATGCTTTTGTCAGTGAGCACTTGCCCTACTTGGTTAACATTGTTTCGGATTTCAATTTTGAGAGATTGATCAACTCGAAGATGGTGAATGATTCATTCGCTAAGTTTGATCTCTCCAAGGACAACATTTATGGACTTATGACTATAATGACGTACCTTGTTAACATCGCGGGCTCGAGAGAAGTGTCATCTGAGGCGAAGCTGAGAATTTTGCAATACCAAGCGCACCTTTTGAAAGAATTTGAAGACACTGAGAACCACTATTTGCAGCTTTCGGAAGAGCTCCTTCAATTCAAACACAATTTGATAAACTCATTCACTCTCTTGATTGCGTCATCAACTGCGTTAACAATGACCAATGAAATAAGGGATTCTTGTGAGATTCTCGGAATCGTTGCCCCAGCAGTGGGCTGAGTAAAGCGGTGATCTTGATGGACTATTCACATATTCTCGCCATCAATTATCTGAAAGGTGTGGAGAATTTTGAAGGTGCTTTCAAGGCAGGTTTCAACTTCAATGCCCTCACCTGGAAACTCATCATCAACAGGAATTATGTGGTGGACAATTTATGCAAAGACAGGGGAATGAAGATTGAGGAGTTTGTCGCGAGACTTCTAGGTCTGTCTTTGGAGGTGAACGAAAAACATGCCTTGTTATGCTCCCTCATCTCCTTAGGTCATGAGAAGGTGAATATCGAAGTTTTCAAAAGCTTACTCAAGGGGGATGAGAGCGGAGCGCTTGAGAATGGCCGTGTGTTGGATGCTTTTGCATCATTTTCTCAAGACACTAACAATTCATATTTCTTGAGCATCTTCGAAGGTGCTTTTCAAAGGCTTCTTGAAGGCTGTGACAACAATGAGTGGGCATCCAAGTTTATGTTCAAGCTTTCAAGCATTGGCAAGCTGAAAGAAGTTGTGAATATTGTATCGCATGAACGTATCAAGAAGCTCAGCCTTACGACAGAGGGGGATATCAATTTTTTGGCCTCCATTCTTACGTGCCACATCGCTTTGAACAATGATAACGAGGTGATGGCTATAATGAAAACTTTCTTCTCGGATAGAGAAGGAAACAAACATTTGATGGAATCAAATGAACTATTGAAGATAGTGGTCGACTTCTATATATCTAGAGGTAATTACGCTATCGTCGTGGACCGTTTTGGCGAATTGGCGAAGCGGTCAGTGGTTTTAAACGAACGGGTGAAGTTTGCCAATTTCATGATGCAGATGACAGGAGAAACTCCTACTAAGCAAGACAGCACCGACCAAAATGTGGCCACATTTGCAATCAGTCTTCTCTCTCAGCATGATGTGGGTGGTATGAACAAACTTTTCGAGCTGAACTCGAAGTTTCTGCGCACCGCAGGTGCAATTTTTGAAAGCATGGTTGAGCACTTGACTGCTGCGTCGGGACTAACCACGGACTCGCGTGCGATCCGAGCTAAGTTTGAAGCTGCTATCAGACTTTGCAAGACGATGCGCTTGAAGGAGTTGGCGGTGGATCACCTTGTTAGTGTGATTCGTCTCCTCGGACTCATGGACGCTCGTGACTTGTTGAACGTTCTTGTCAATAAGTTTGTTAACCGAGGAGAGACAGCGTCGATTGTCAACCTCTACTTCATGCAAATTCGGGTCACGTCGGCCCACGAAGCCAGCGTGCTCAAGAAAGAGTTTGAGTCGGCTTTGCAAAGGGTGGGTGACAAAATCAACTTAGCAAGGCTAGCACAAGCATAGAACAGCATAGAATGACGGAATGATATTTATTAATGCAACGAATCAACGATACTAATGCAAAGTGAAGTGAAGTAGGTTTTAGTCTAGTTTTTGGATAGAGTCCAGGCTATCCAGGGTGTATGGTGTAGCCCCTTCGTAAGTTGGATAATCACTTAAAGGCGGCATGGTTACCTCCAAAGTTCGGAAGTTATGGGTCCACGTGATCCATACCTTACCTAAAAAGTCGTAACGCTTCCGATCCTCGTCGCCAAAAGAAAATACGGATCCGGAATTGTCTATAGTTCCTGAGTTGTCGTAGTTCTCGATCGCACTATAAGCACAGTAGTAGTAGTCTGTGCAACAATGAGACTTGACCCAGCCCTTCTGAGGCTCATACTCGCCAATTTGCTCCACGTCGTCTATCTGATCGACGTCCTTTTTGCGGTTTTTCAGCTCGAGTTTGTAATTCACTTCCACGGTGAGATCCACCGGGCTTCCTCGAGGCCGTAATGGCGGCATCCCTGGAGGCACGACAGCATCTCGAACACGGAGAGGTGCTTGATACAAATCTTTCAAGACTTCTTTATCCTCAAAGGTCGAGAAGGGGAAGCGGCGCTCGTCTCTGCTGTATCCATTTTTCTTGCAAAACGAGAAACCCAGGTTAATCCACAAAATTCGTCCAGAAGACAGCATGTGGCCAGGATGGGTCAGACACACTTCCAGAGCCGCCAGGGCATTGTACAACTTCCGAAACAGATCCGTTGTAAGTTCGCCCACACTGGCTGCATCATATTTACTCCACAGATAGTGTTCATCACCAGCCATGGCCATGGCCATCCAGTACATTTCTTTATCGCCCCAGATGGACAGCTTGATGGGTTCGCCCCAGAGTGCCAAGGGAAGCAAGATCAAATTAGCGGTGTAGTGTTTCTTGCGGTGGAAGAGAACGATCCCAGCTTCCTGGGTGTGTCTCCATCCTCTCATGTAAGGAATGTCCATGGTGTAGTCAGTCACTGGCTTGATACCAAGACCAAGGTCAAGCGTGCTGTGCTGGTGAGGCATGAGCTTGGAAAAGTAGTTTGTTTCGATCCAGTCGTTACTGTCTCGAAGCAGGCGGTCTCTGAAGAAGTAAGCACCAGTTTCTTGGAATTCAGGCGATTGGAACAACGAAAGCGGCTCTTCCAACGGCACAGCGTCAGCATCCACCAACATCACCTCCTCAAAAGAGTTGAACATCAACGCTAACAATTTGTTGTTGTAGCCCGAGAAAACGTGCTTTCCCTGGCCCTTCATGGGTCTTTCGATGTTGACAAATGTAAGGTGCTGGATCGGATAGTCAGAGCCGAACTTTTCCGGGTCGGACAAGTCAATCTCAGGGATGACTTTATGGAGGAGCTTTTGGTCTGTGAAGCGGTCACTAAGAAAGTCTTCTTTAGAAGCCACGGCAGCTGCCCAAAGCGTTTTCTTCGATCGGCTCAGCAAGTCTCCTCGGTACACTATTTGAATTGGAAGCTTGTTGTTGAGTGCCCTGAGAACTCTGATCAAGCGAGTGATATCCTTAGTGTAGCGGGTTGCTGCTGAAATAACAATGCCTTTTCCTTTCATATTCTCGTGGTAATACTGAAGGAGGGTGTCGTTTGGTTTATAGCTTCGTGCTCCGGGGAAGTGATTTTCGAGAATTGCACCGTCGGGAGTCTCGAAAACCGGGAGCTGGTCGTGGAAAAACGGCGTCATTCGCCTGGCCCAATGGCCTTGAATGTCTGGATCTGGGTCTGACACTTCGTTGCCAAAGTAACAATTTCCGTAAAGTCTGACGACTGTCATGAGGTCAGCCATGCGGGTTTCTTGCGTGTAAGTCACATTGACTCTCTCATTGAAGTAATCATTGATCTCCTCTAGCTCTTGATCGGTGATTGTCTCAAAATCAGGACGTCCGGTTCTCTTCTTCTCCTTCTTGACTGCGTCATAGGCATGGCGGAAGAACAGGCCCTTCAGTACACAGCTCTTGTCATAGGTCTCTTGGTATAACGTGGGTAGCTCCCAGTCGGGCTGTTCCTTCTCTAAAAACCGGAAGAACTGGCCACATTTTTCAGCTTGAGGTTTCTGGACAAAGGCGTCCCAATCACCGACGTGTTTTTGAAAGTTTTCGGTCAAGGAGTATTTATACTTTGGGTAGTGGAGTAGTTCTCGAACGTTGTAATCATTGATACCGAACCCGGTTTCGGAGTAGTCGATCTTGGTATCCTGGGTCACCACGGAAAAGTCGACAAAGTGGTATGAGACCAAGGTCAATATGCAAAGCACGGTCACCAAACAAAGGCCTCGTTTGTGGAGCCGGCCCGAAAAGGCAAAGGGCGATTTCATCTGGATGCCTTGGAAAAACCGTTCGCCATTGGATCAGGGGTTATATAGAAAAAGTTTATGTAGAATGGGCTGTGCAGCCACCCCGACATGCGCGACATCTTGTGTCAAGGGTTGCAGCACCTGCATTGCTTGAGAGAGCTCTCAAGAGGCGACATTATTTGATGCAAAGGCGTGGGGAAGCTACCCATGCTTATGGAATTTCAAAGGAAGTATCAAATCAAGTATTCGTCACGTTATTAACGTTTCCATGAAAGACAAAAAGAAACCCTTGTCCCTCGAACCTCGCCGCAGTGGCGCCTAAATGGCTGCGACATTGGCAGAGTCCCGACGCTCTTAGTATTGCTTAGCCTAGGATGCTTAAACTTCTCGGCAATCAGCGGCTTTGCTCGCACAATAATGGCTACCCTAGGCAGCCTCGGCGCCTGGATTGTTGTGTTCCGTTCCTGGCCGGCTGCGCCATCTTCTCGCGTCACCGCCATTGAGTGTTATCATAGGGGTCCGTTTTTTCCGGACATTTGGGTTGATTTGCAGAAATCACTCAAGCGTCCCTGATTGCCATTGTGCACAGAGTGCTTTGCAAGAAAATATGTCGAGGACGGGCGAGTCTTGGTAGTTACCTAATCAGGCAATTATCAACACTTGTGGTGATCTTGGTGAGTTTCTCGGTGTCGCAGGGTCCATCTCTGGTGACATTAGATAGTACTTCCTGGTGCTTTTCAAAATAGCCGAACAGCAAAATTGTTTTTGGCGATGTGATAGACGCTACCCTCGCGTCGTTGGGTTTTGAAGAAAACCTTTGGCTTGGTTTGACCCTTCTCTGAGTATAAGTTGGAAGGAAACTGATCATGGAGGTCTAGTAACGAATCCATTGACGATACATTCGTCAATTCTAAAGGCTCGTATCTCTTTCGCTGTATCCCCAGTTTCGGTTTCATCGAACTTCATTGATCTGTAAGCTTGACAAAGAAGTTCCTCTTTTCAGGTAAATCTTCACCCCTGTTTTTCAATGACCTCAATTCTAAGGCTTGTCCTCTAATGCAACTTTTCCTCTAGTGGAAAACTTGTGCTTGAGCCTCTGTCGTCCCTTCTGATGCATTACTCAGACAAATTACATCCAAGATCAAACTCTATCTTCCCAGAAGAAAAAATCAGCCTCTTTGGACTTCATTCTTGGCTTCTGATGTCCTTTTGAAGTCAATTCATGCTTCCATTTGATTTCCTCCATGCTTGTAATCTGCTTACGACGATCTACCTCCAGTTTGCAGCCATGTATCAACTCCGATTATCCGCCAAAATCTCTGTTGATAAAATTCGGGCTCTTTATTCCATAACTGAAGAAAACGGAACGCCATTTGACGAGAACGGGCCGTCTCGTTAACCCTTCAACCACATTAACGAAACTTTCTCAGTATATGGCAAGTACCACGTTTGTAGCCGTCTCCATACAAGAAACCACCACTGAATTGCAGAAATCAACTCGAACACAATCGGCTGCTTAACTCCCAAATTTCCACTTGTGCCCCGTTACAATGGTATTCTTGTCTCCAACTCTACCCACTGGGCGACCTGCACATGCTTCACCATCTTACCCAGTATCACCATAACCACCATTGCCAGCACACTTGAAATTCCGAAAAAAAGAACGAAATTCTCTAATTTCTTCTTGCCCTTTCACCACTCCGCCCATCGAACAGCTACAACTTTCAATGGGTGTTTTCCAACAACCACGGTCACGTGACCTGTGTGCCTCGCTCAATGCGTACACGTTTTACCAAAAAACAACCTCCTCCAACAACCTCTTCATGTCTGTCCTGTCTTACAAGGCCCAGGACCCGTACTCTCTGGCTGCCGTGCCAGATAAGATGGCGGTGTTTCAGGAGTGTTTGCAGCAGTTCAATGCCCTGCCTGTGGACGCCAAAAAATGCCGTCAGTTGTTGGCCAAGCTCTTGAGGTTGATCTACCAGGGAGAGCTGTTCCCACTGCAGGAGTCCACCACTTTGTTTTTCTCCATCTCCAAGTTGTTCCAGCACAAAAACCTGTCTTTGCGTCAATTGGTGTACTTGACCATCAAGGAGCTTTCCGCAACCTCGCAAGATATTTTGATGGTCACCTCCTCCATCATGAAAGACATCCAGCTGGGGCTGTTGATTTACAAACCCAACGCTATCAGAACGCTTTCCAAGGTGTTGGACCCTACCACCGTCTCCGCGTCTGAACGTTTGTTCCGCAATTGTTTGGTCGACAAGAACCCCATTGTTTCATCGGCCGCTTTGATCTCGTCCTACAACTTATTGCCAATTGCCAAGGATGTGGTCAAACGTTTCACCAACGAGACTTTGGAAACCGTGCAGTCGTACAAGCTGTTTCCCCCAGACCAGTTTCAGTTGCACGAGTACTACGGTGCTTCCACCACCAACTTGCCCTCCAACTCCTACATGTACCAGTACCATGCTTTGGGCTTGTTGTACCAATTGAGAAATCACGACAAGATGTCATTGATGAAGCTTATCACCAGCTTGGCTGAGGGCTCTGCACTCAAGAATTCTTTGTCTATCATCCAGCTTATCCGCTACATCAACAAGGTCTTGTTGGACGATGAGTCCCTCATTACCCATTTGCATCCAATCTTGGCCGGCTTCTTGAAGCACAAGTCCGATATGGTCGAATTGGAGGCCTGTAAGACCTTGATTGGCTTGCAGCACCTCATCAAGGAGGACGACTTCATGAACATCATCCTCACGCTACAGAAATTGTTGAGCGTGCCAAGAACCGCCACCCGCTTTGCTGCTGTCAGATTAATCAATAAGATCTCTGTGAAACACCCTGAGAAGATCATGGTCGTCAACTTGGAGTTGGAAGCCTTGATTAATGACAGTAACAGATCTGTCTCCACATTGGCTATAACAACCTTGTTGAAGACCTTGGGTGTGGGAACTGTTGAATCTGCATCTGCATCCAGCTCCGAAAATGTTGACCGTTTGATATCTAAGATGACTTCTATGATGGACGAGATCACAGAGGACTTCAAAATTACAATCATCGAGGCTATTGAGAACTTGGCTCTTAAATTCCCATCTAAACACAAGAAGCTAGTGTCGTTCCTTTCAGATTTGTTGAGAGATGACGGCACTTTGCAATTGAAGTCTAGTATCGTCGACGCATTATTTGACTTGATCAAGTTCTTGTCCGACAAGGCTGCTAAACAGCTCATATTGGTCAACTTGTGTGAGTTCATCGAGGACTGTGAATACACAGAGTTGTCTGTTCGTATTTTGCACTTGTTGGGTGACGAGGGCCCTACCACCACTAATCCTTCCTATTACATCAGACACATCTACAACAGATTGGTGTTGGAGAATTCCATCGTCAGATCGTCTGCTGTAATTGCCTTATCCAAGTTTGCTGCGCAGTGTGACGAGACCGTCGCCAAGAACGTCAAAATCTTATTGAGCCGGTGCTTGAACGATGTTGATGATGAGGTCAGAGACCGTGCTTCATTGTCGTTGAGCTTCATCGACAGCAAACGCCCTCAATTGATAGTTGCTGAGTCCAGTTTCAATTTGGCTGCGTTGGAAAGCAAATTGACCCACTATTTGAATGACGAGGGCAACTTTGGTCACAAGTTCGACGTCTCCGAAGTGCCTTCGCTCACAAAGGAGGAGCAGAAGTCCTTGGAGTACAACTCTAAGATCAAGAAGTTGGAGAAGAGTGATGGTGCTGAAGTCGAGTCCGATAAGTCCACGCCTTCAAAGGCCAAGGATGAGGCGCAAGGTGGCGACGACAATGCTAACGAATACTTGAAGCAACAGGAGTATGCCGCCAGCTTGTCCGCTATTCCAGAGTTTGCCGACCACGGCAAGTTGACAAAATCGTCAGCCACAGCCACATACTTGACCGACAGAGAAAACGAATTCGTGGTGACAGTTGTGAAGCACTTCTTCGTCGAAACACAAAAGCTTGTGTTGCAGTTCGACGTCACCAACACGTTGTCATCGTTGGTTTTGCAAGATGTGTCGGTTGTGACACAGGCTGACAATGAGTTATACCAAGAGGAGTTCACAATTCCTTTGGCGGAGTTGAAGCCAGAACAAACTGGTAGCGTTTATGTGTCGCTCACGACGCCGGCCATTGGTGACGACGATCTTCTCGCTGCTTTCGGCAACACACTTGTCTACACATCCAAGGATACTGTGGATGAAGAAGGTAACATCGATCCTGCTGATGAAGGCATTGAGGATGAATACCAGATTGACGATTTGGAGATCACTTCTGGTGATTTCATCCTGCCTATGTACAACTCAAACTTCACGACAATCTTCGACCAATTACCTGAGACTGAGGGTAGTGTTGTGACTATTGGTGGAGTGAGCAATTTGGAGAACGCAGTGAGCAAGTTGAGAAAGACATTGAACGCGATGCCGTTGGACGGCTCCGACTACGTTCCTGCGGACCTGACGTCGCATGTGTTGAAGTTGTTGGGTAAGGACTTGTGGGGCGGCAAAGTTGGCGCCCTGGTGAGACTTGCTCAAACTGGAGGAAAAGTGGTGGCCAAGTTGCAAGTCAAGGGCGAGACCCCTGGCTTTGCCGCGGTGGTTGCCAATGGTGTGGAGTGATTGATCCGAAAAAATATTTTACTGAAATAAACGTCTATAGATGCAGAGGTCGGCGTTTCAAGGCCTTGTAGAGCACTCCACCAGAGAAGTACACAAGCAAGGCGGCCAACAATATGAGAATAAATATCCAAATGGCGGCGAGGTTGTCAGCTTTTGCTGCAGTCGGACACGCCAAGTGAGAACGTACCTCAAAGAAGTAAGTACATTCATCGACAGATGCCACGTATGAGACATGGGCTTTAGTAAGCATTTCTCTGTCGCAAGTGAAAGTAAGAATAGTTCTTCTGCGGAGTGGGGTTCCGTCTTTGAAGGTCATACCGTTGCATTGGGTGCCATTCTCATATGTCAATGTTAATTTTCTTCCCTTGTAAACTGGTTTAGAGGAAACCTGACCCATCAGAATGTATCTACCCAGCGACTGCTCGATATAGTACGCACCGACCTCGGAGGCGTTTAGGCCGTCGATGATGTCGGCAGAGCCCAAGAGATTTCTCTTTATGGCACCCAGGCAAACTCCAATGGTGTAATTGTGACCCAGATCATATCCTCTAGAGGACCACAGAAGATGTCTTACATCCTGACCATGGTGGTTTTCGATCACTGATAGCCCACGTAAATCGATGAAGTTCTTTTGTGGAGAAAGTACTGTGCAAGGATCGAGCTCCTCATTATGTGTTTCTTGATTTGAGGGTGTGCTCGTGTCATGGACCAAATCGTGTAAGGAAGGAAATCTATGTGTTTCAAGCAGATGCTGTGGGCGTTGTTCCACAATAAAAAGACCGACAGCGATGAAAACTATCACCGCTAGAAGTGCTAAACGACGTGTATAGCGAGGGGGCATTTTGACGCTTTTTGGTGGAAATTTCCAGTCCGTTGAAAGCAGTAAGCGGCCAGGAATTAATCTCTTAAATGTTCACTTTCTTTGAGAGAGCTGTTTTCGAAAGGGATAGTCTGGTTTTTTTGTTTCTCGAACAAACTCGTCAAAAGAATTGTCTTAGCCTTCGTGGGTATTTATGATGCCAACGTCAGGCCACAAAAAAGATCAGCGAGGCAAATGTAGTGACCAGTTTGCCAGGCTGAGATAGCGATCGAAGCGTGGCGGTCTTTGAAGCGAAAGAATGTAGCGTATTTCTGCCTCAACGGCTAGTTCGGTTGGAGCGGCCGACTGGAGCGCTTTATATGAAAAGCAGGCTCGGGCTTTTGCAGATTTCGTCTTAAATCTCCAAACAAAAGGATCTGCAAATAAATTTGTGGGAAGGAAGTTTCAACTTTGGGTGCCCAGAAAGAAGAAGGTGTGCGGTTGAGATGTTGATGCTCAGGACGCGAGGAAGGTATAGATGAGGGCAGATGCTCCTACTTTTGGATAAAGGACTTTTGGGTAGTATGTCACGGTCACTTGAATATAGATGAAATATAGCGTTGGGCTGTGCTTAAAAAAATTTCATGGGATGTATGATAACGAATTTACGGATATCGACAAGGGTGTCCCGATGTGCGATTACAAAGAGAAGTGCAAAGGAACAATGGCGGTGCATTGATCTCGCGGTATTCTTGATAATTGACAAACATCAGCGTATGTTGAAAGATGTTTTTGTTTAAGTTTTACTCAAATTTACGCAAATCGTCGATTTAGGTTAAACCGGTTCTTGGTAGTGAAGCTACTGAAAAATCTGTGCGAATATGAGTAGGAAGTACAAACTGTTACTTGAAGGAAAGATTAAAAATCAAGACATTGCTAAATTTACATGGACACCGTAGCCCTGACATCCTTAATTAAAACGCCAATCCCTGGCATACACATTTGATGATTCATAGGAATACGGACATGTAATTGCATTTTGGTGTCGATTGAGGTCTGACCGCAGATTGATAAATGTCTACTTAATGCAATGTCGGGTAATACAAACCCAAATGGTTGGAGCTTTCTTCTTATAGTAACTTTTCGATGTATATGATGTACCCTCGAGTAATTGGCTGCGAAGCTGGGTAGGGTGTCAAGAGAGTATGCCAGACAGCCCCTCGTTTTGCTTCAAATTCTTCATGTATTCCTTCATAATCAAAGTAAGCTTATTACGTGATATCCACCCTTGAAACAAGGAGAACCTTGTCGTCGTCGATATGGACCAAGACGGACTACCTTGGCAAAAGCAGCCCACAAATCCGAATTTTCAAAACCAGAGGCTCACATGGTTAAGAATGGAAGCAGTGGTTACGTGAAAAATTTGTATCATGGGTCATCCAGGCGAAGAGAAAGCCTAGAGGAAGGCTCCACAACAGTTCAAAGGCACGTGATACAGCACGTGACTTAACAACTAGCTCTTAGCGAGCCGGACCTTAATTGCCTGCTACCACACTCTTTTCAACCAATGGATCCCTGGAATAGCAGCGTGACCCCGACGATAATAGGAGCTGCACCACCGCTTTTTAATTACTCGGATCCGCTCTTGTCCCGTCTTTTGGACACCAAAAAAGCCCTCTTTGACCAGGCCTCACAGGACAAAGAACAAACAACGGAGGAGAGTGATCAGCCCACAACGTCCCCTGAACTTCAATTCTTTTCTGCGGTTTGTGAAGGCGACGTGATTACTGTTGAAGCTGTGGCTAAAGCGCACCCCGAGGTTGTTCTGCAAACATACCCCCAAGAAGAGGGCGTGACTCCTTTGATCTTCGCCGTTGCGTTTGACCATCAAGAGATTGCCGAGTCACTTTTGTCAACACACAATGTCGATGCAGATACTCCAGATGACACGCCAATTGGATACTCACCACTCATGTGGGCTGTCCATTTGCGCAACTTGCCGATGGTAAAACTCCTATTGGACTACCAGGCTGATCCGCAACTTCTGCCCAAAAACGACGGCAAAGATGCCGTTGCTTTGGTAACTACCGACGACTTGCCAATGTATGAGTTTTTCCGGGGCCATAATCTTTTGAATCGAAGCCTGAATAGAACCAGCGACATATATGAACCAGACTCCTTCCAGCATGACACCAGCGACATGGACTCATTAACACATCAGATTAGAATGCAGACCGCAGGGCTTGCGCTTGATTTGGATGAAGATGATGATAATGTGCGTGAAAAGGAATTGGACGAGGAGGCTGAATTGTCTTTGGACACGGAATTAGTCCAAACACTTGAGTACGACTACGATAAACTTCTACCAGAGCAGTTTATCAAGTTTTCAGACTCTGATATCCCATCTTTGCTTGACTACATTTTCAATTTGCGCAAGGATAATACCTCATTTCAGCATTCCACGAAGGTGCCAGCTGCCATTGTATTTCAACTCGTCAGATACTCCCACAACAAGGTCCATAGCAAGGATTTGACGGAATTTCTTTTTGAGTGTTTTATTGCAAGATTGAGGTCCGTCACCAACACAAAATCTGGTGTCTTCAATATGGCAATCGCAGAGGGAGACAAAGCAGCTGCTCTTGGTGCCGGCGACATTGTCCTATTGAGTTACTGGCTTTCTTCAATTCAATTTTTGCATTTCTACTTTGCTAAGGCGAACATATACCACGACTATCCTGCGTTCCTTCAGGAGTTTGTCAACATCACACAGTCCTTGGTGGCCACCCTCTCCTTCTCGATCAATTCGAGACTCAACTTACTTGTCGATGACTGCTTGCTCAAGTTCACAAACTTGGTTGATGTTTCATCTGTCTTGTATGCCAAGGACTGGAACTTCTTCAAAAACAAGCCGAACATGAAGGACCAGCCTAGTACCTACGACGACATTTTAGAAATGCTTTATCCTCCAACTATGAAGGAGCTTATGAAGCCGTCGCCACTCAGATATGTCCAAGTGCTTGGTGCTCTTGACTATGTTCTCAAATTGCATGAGGTGGATCCTTTATTGAGGCTTCAAACTTACTCCCAGGTTTTCTATTACATCAATGCCACCATATTTAATCGTCTTGTGGCCAACTCCAAGTACTGTTCTCGTGCAAAAGCCATACAGATTCGTCTTAATATCTCCACCTTGGAAGATTGGTTGCGTTCACACAACTATAGCATCTACAAACCAGAGAAGGCAGGTGGCTTAATCGAGCTTTTGAAACCAGAGGAGGGTGGTCATCAATTAAAATTGCACAATTTACTCGATGAAACCCCTCAAACGGAAGGTGCGTCTGACACAAAGAATCCTCACTGCCTCGCTTTCTACTACAGATCGTTGTATCATATTGGTAAAAGTCAATTGATGCCCACTATAGAGTTGTTGCAATGGTTGCAATGTATGTCTGCTCTCAAAGATGAAGACAGTCTCATAAACACCATAAACCATTTCGACACGCTTAATTACTACCAATTGTTCAAGGTCGCCAACAAGCTTTACCGTTATGAAGTTGAGGAGACTAAGCTTCCGAAACCACTTCTCCAGTATCTCAAACGCCTCATGAATGAACATGGAGAGAAACAGATCGAACGCAGTCTCTTGCATTATATGACTCAAAGTACCTTCTTGCTGAAGGAGCTCTACGTTTACCTTAATCCCAACTTCATTTTTGGAATTGCGTTGCCCAACTTAAATGAGCTCATCGTAAGATATGGTGCTGGTCTCGGAGGTATCAAGTCCTTGAGGGCTAAGAAATTCCAACCAACTTTGCCTGTGACAGTGTTGGATGATGTCGATGAAATTCTCACGAAGAACAGGGAGTCAAATATGAATGACACCTATGACTACGATGAGATTGATGGCGATGATAATGAAGACGAGGAACCTGTGGAGGAGAGCAACGGCGACGATAGAACGGAGGAACGCCCTCCTGTGGATAACTCCCGGTCGTTCAAGGGAGATGAATTGTTCAAAACTGTACAAGTTCCTCTGTCCTTGGTACATCGGAACTGGGGCGATAACGATGAAAACCCTTGGTGATTGCAAATGATGTATTATAGGTTCTATGTACAGATTTTGGAGCGGAAGCAAATCACATCTGAGAAACAAAGTTATTGTTCTTGATTTTAGCGTTGTTGGCTTTGTTGATCTGCTTCTTGCGCCACTTCATAATGTCGTTATCCTTCAACTGTTTATCCAACTTGGGCTTGTCAAGGCAGTCCCAGAGCCAGTCAGGGTACTCTTCGTCTTTCAAGGCCACAGGCTCATCACCCGATTTTCTGATTTTGAGATTAAGCACTGTGCCTGCGGGACAGATAGACTGCCGGGCCACAGTAGACACGTGGAAGCTTCTGGCCACACGAAAAGAAAGCATGGTGAAGGATGAGGATGTAGGACGTGAGAAGTCGATGTTAAGCAGGTAGTGCTGCACACAAAAAAGTTCACCGGACTTTCGAAGGCAGATCCGTTGAATGGAATAAATAACTCAAAAAGATGGAACTAATTGAAATGACTTCAGCTACGAAGAATCAAAGGTTTACAGGATGCTACACGTGACGATGTTCATCTGACTGCGTTCATATAAACCTCGCCAGCGGTGAGGTTGTTGAAAAAAAAAACGCAGCGAAAAAACCACATCCTCAACTCCACCATGGCACCAAAGAAGAAGGGACCCGTTGAAAAACCAATTTTGCTCGGCAGACCCGGCAACAACTTGAAGTCTGGAATTGTTGGTCTTGCCAACGTCGGTAAATCGACTTTCTTCCAGGCTATCACCAGATGCCCATTGGGTAACCCCGCCAACTACCCATTTGCTACGATCGAGCCTGAGGAGGCTCGTGTCATTGTGCCCAGTGCTCGTTTCGACAAGTTGTGCGAATTGTACAAGCCCAAGTCGGAGGTGCCAGCTTTCATGACCATCTACGATATTGCTGGTTTGACAAAGGGTGCAAGTGCCGGTGAAGGTTTGGGTAACAACTTCTTGGCCAACATCAGAGCTGTCGATGCTATTTACCAGGTTGTGCGTTGTTTCGAAGACTCCGATATCATCCACATTAACGACGAGGTTAACCCTGTTGCTGACTTGGACATCATCAAGGACGAGTTGAGATTGAAGGATATCGAGTTCGCTACTAAGCACTTGGAAGGCATTGAGAAGATCACCAAGAGAGGCGGTCAGTCTTTGGAGGTGAAGCAGAAGAAGGAGGAGGCCGAGTTGGTCAAGCGCATTATCCAGCTTTTGGAAGACGGTGGCCGTGTTGCCAACCAGAAGTGGACTCAGAAGGAGGTGGAGGTCATCAACTCCATGTTCCTCTTGACCGCCAAGCCATGTATCTACTTGCTCAACTTGAGTGAGCGTGACTACGTGCGTAAGAAGAACAAGTGGTTGTTGAAGATCAAGGAGTGGGTTGACGCCAACTCCCCTGGTGATGTTATCATCCCAATCTCCGTCTCTTTGGAGTCTCACTTGTCTCAATTGGAGACAGACGAAGAGAGAGATGCCTACTGTAAGGAGATTGGTGCCCAGTCCGTCTTGCCAAAGGTCATCACCACCATGAGACAGAAGTTGGACTTGATCTCCTTCTTCACCGGTGGTCCAGACGAGGTCAGAGAGTGGACCATTAGAAGATACTACACTGCCCCACAGGCTGCCGGTACCATTCACGGCGACTTGGAGAGAACCTTTATCTTGGCTCAAGTTATGAAGTACGATGACTTGATTGAGCTCGGTGATGAGGCTAGCGTCAAGTCCAACGGTAAATTGATGCAGAAGGGCAAGGACTACTTTGTCGAGGACGGAGATATCTTGTACATCAAGGCTGCCGAGGGTAAAGCAAGATAGGTAATAGAGCGGCTTCATGGAAACACACTGTAGCACCCACACACCCACATACGCAGTAGTAGTACTAATATGTTGCGACTTCCGCGCATACTAAACTACCATCTGATGCTTCGTTTTAGACGACTTTTAAGCCAACCCCCTAGCCACTTTGGCAATCCTAATAATTATCCGGCACCGTACGGCTCACCGACTCCTGATTCAAATCTAGGAAGTCCGGTGCCGCCAACGAACCATAATTCCGGATATCAACAGCCATCATACGAGCAGCATTTTCCAGAACCCAACAGGGCCCTGGGATCCCGGATGCTTTGGGACGTTCTTAACTTCGCTGCAACGCTTGGAATTGCTTACTATGCTTATGACAACTACGTTGCCAAGGTGAAGCTTGAGAAAGTGATCAAGCAGACCACCGCCATCAACACCAAAGCCATGCAACAGCAACAACAGCTTTTCGCCAATGCCCGTCAGAAACACCTTCAAGACATGATGAAAGTAGCTAGAGCGCTGCACAGGGCCACGTTCAAGATGGGTGTCCATATCGCCATGCTCAGGAAGCAACTCATTGACGCTGGGGTTGAGCCTGTGGAGGCCGACAAAGCTTTGGAAGAATACCGTCAATCGGTTCAGGCCAAGAGTGCCAATGGCGTGGAATACTTGTGGCTTGATAGCTCTTCGCCGTACAAGAGTCTCATGCCACATGTTCGGGACTACAGAGGTGGGACTGCTCTTGAAAAAGAGGACCCAACAGAGTAGACAGGGTGGAAAAAATATCCGATTAAATAGAATTCATCACTGGGACGGCATTCACGTATATCCTCTTTTTGCAACCACCACCGTTGAGTAGTGCACGGGTTACCCGCACCTCCTGGGGTGCCCTCAAGACAGGAGAAAATTTCTCACTAGGCTTTCTTCTTTTTCTTCATACAATGTCTTTTAATAGGCGCCCATTAGAGTCACGGTTTGCATGCCTACTTCCACATGTGATCAGCGCCACTGTGTGGCCCTTCGTGCTCGGGTAAGCCTTAGATTAACCAGTTTCTCCGGCCCTTTGTGTCGAACTGCCTTCGGGCAGTTACGCGGCTCGTAACTAACATCACCACTTCCGGCAAGATCTGCACTTCATGGCCCTTATTTGATCAACTCGGCATCTATCTTGCCCAACAGACGTTGCTTGAGCTTAGTCTGCAACAAGTTGAACTTTGGACAGCAAACACTTTGAGCTTCCGGCCCATTTTTCTCGTAGAACTCTTTGCAGCACTTATACAATTCGTCAATCACCTTGGTGCACTTGGACTCATTGTATCCATTACTTTGTAAACAGTCTTGGATAGCACATGCTTGTGGTTTACACTCGTTTCCCTCAGATTCCGACATTTTCTGTTCTATTAGGGCGATTCAGGGAAGAAGCAATACGTTAGAGCATTTGCTATGTGCGGTATATGCCCACTTTTCTATACCAGTATCACGTGAGTTGACATCCCGTCAATGGATTTAAAGGATGCTAGGGTCCAAATCGGCATGGAAGTCGTCCTCGTCGTATTCGCTCGGCTCATAAATGACTAATGGAACGAACTCGTTCTTTTCGGCGGCTTTCCTGAAGCTTCGGATTCTATAGACATAGAACGAAGCGCAAGCAGAGAACACCGACACCAAGATTGCTATCAAACCCCATCTGGACAAGTGCCATCGAAGACTCTCAATTTCCGAGCGCATAGCCATGGTGAAGTCTGTCGTGATTTTATGGTTCGTCTCTTTGATTCGTAGCATTATGTTTTTGCTCATGAGCGTGTTTTCGGATTTCTGGTCGTTGATGGCAACCTGAATATCGTTCTTCATTTGAATGAAGTGATTGTTGAGTTCGTCCCTGATTGTACCAAAGTCACGTTCAAGCACATTGATCTGGTTGATGTTATCGTTGATGTGATTCTCGCGGTTGCGAGTGACGTCGACATTAAGCTCTTGCTGTGCACTTTCGAAAAGGTATCGCTCATTCTCTAGCTCGTACTCTTGAGAGTACTTGGTAGAAAGCTTCAGAAGCTTCGAATTCACCTGCACTATGAGAAGATTGATCACTTCGTCACTCTGCGCTGGTGTAAAGCCTGCTCGCGTGAGTTGCTTGTAGACATCGTAAGTATCAATGTATGGCTCCATATTTTCAAAAATGGTGGTGAGATAATCATCAGGGCTATCCTCGTCTACCTCCGGACTTCTTTGCTCTTCTGTTCCTGGTGGCACCACGACAGGATTTGAGAAATTAAAGAGAGAGGCCGAATCTGGACTCGCCACCTTCGTATCCTTGTCTGGAACCAGCTCCAGCTTATTTTGCGGTGGCTCCTCTGACTCAGTCTTATTCTTTGACTGCTTAGCCTCCTTTAAAAGCCGGCAATTTAGCGTTGTGAAACCCCTGTTGCCCGAGGGCGAGGAGGCAGATAAAGCACAGCACCTCGAGGTAGGAAAACACCGAATGGGCGCGGGTCGTCGGGAAACACACAGAAGGACTCTGCTGCAGTATAATGGGTCTAGTAGTTTAAGCATGGGGGAGTTGTGACAGGTTATAGTGACGCACAAGACGAGATCTAAACAAGTACGGACCTGATAGATGCCTCTGTACGCAGGTCACCGCAACTAAATGATAGCATCTGTGATAGCCAAAGAAGGTTTAGAGGCATCCGAGGCTGTAAATTGCAAATCTCAAAACGATTTTAAAAAGCGAAGCTACTTTCTATCTGGTTTGATTGGAGTGGTAGTGGCGGAGAGCCTCGTTAAAGGAGGCGCGGCTGAAGGCGCGAGCAGTAGGTGTGATAAACGGCGTGCCCTGACACAAGAACGATTGGAGGGTGACCATTGGATTTTCTTCTGATGTAGCGATGATCAAATCAAAGCTCTGGTGAATTGGCATATGTGTTTTGGTCGCAACATATATTGTCATGACGCCAACTCCACCTTCCTTAGTGCTGCGACCAACCACTAGTTCTCGCTTTCTCTGTGAAGTGACCACCGAAAGAATCCCCTTTTCTGACTCTTCCATGGCAGCCTCAATTGCTTCTTCTATCCCTGTAAGCTCCTCCGGGGAGTAATAGCAAACCGCAGACAAAGTTCCCGCCTCCCAGCACCACTGCACCAAATGGACCAACTCGGTCAAGAACCGTGCTCTTTCCTGTGCCACAAAAAGCTCCTTCAGCTTTGTATACTCAATCATCGCGTCTTCGTATAATCTCTTTTGATCCTCCTTGGGAAATTGCATCACCTTATCCGCGTCCAAATAAGCGACGGGCTCCTCAGGGCTCTGCTCTAGAAAGGGTCTAGACGAGGCCACCACAGCTAGGCTTCGAGGGGAAACGGAAGATGACTCTTTCGAAAAGAACCACGAGATCAACGGAACGTTTGTCAAGTCGGGGATCATTTGAATCAAATTGTGAAGCATCCGCTTTTCAAAAATTGCATACGTGACAGCTGAAAACAAGAAGCAATTCCATTTTCTCTTCACAACATGTAACACGGGGAACTGTGTCTCGTGGTTAACCCCTCTAAGAGTAGATGCGAGGTGTGGGTCGACATCCAAAAGAAGCCTGACGAAGCTCATTTATAATGCTGTCCTCTTTTTTAGAGGAATTCGCCCCCTTATATAGTTTCAGGAGTAATTTTTTGCAGCCATTTGGTGCGGCTCACAGCAGGCATAATAATAGTGGATTGTCCGAGAAATTCATAGCCTTTAAAACAAAATTTGAACAAATTGATGGTGTTATTAAGAAAAAACTAATTGGGTTAATTTATGAGAATTCAAAAGAGCATAAACTGGATGAGGCCTCGACATACTCGGCCCATTCTTTAGTGACATTTGCATTTATTGATTTCATCAAGCGCCAAAAACTTGAAAGACTTGATTATCACACTTTTAAGGAATATTCCTTTAGTCGAAAACAACCAGGTTTAGTATGTTACCTTGACACGTTGATAATTCGACACGATCTAGAACCCATTGTGTTTCATCTGTTCACCTTCTAGCCCAACATATGAGCATAAGACCACTAGAAAGGAAGAGATGAACTTCCTGATTTTGAACATTTGTTATAGTGTTCTTGAAACTGCGTATGTTCAATGCAATGATGTCTCACATAGTTTCATGAGGGTCTCAACAGTCATACCGAAAAAATCAAAACGTGTGGTGATCAATATAACAGGATCTTCTCCTTTTTGCTTCAAAAATGAAGAAGCCGCTAAATGATTGCATCAAATTCCTTTCTCTTCAGCCTCTTCACCTCTCTGGTTTCCGACCTGGATCAATCTCCTGCATTTGCAATCACCACCATAACAGAGCACCTTCGATCCTTTGGAACCACCACATGAACTTCCTTTCCTCGGCGATTTCCACCTTGACGGGAACTTCCATTCCTTATACGTTCAAGGAAAAGATCATAGACCCGTTGAAGGCCACATATCCCGATTCACGCTCGATATGGACAATCTACAATGGCATCAATCCAAAAACAGACACGCCAGTAACGATCTTTGAGTTCAACTTGAAGGATCCGGCTGCCACTCGGTGGAACTACGACGCGTTAGCGCGTAACTGTTTTAAAAAACTGAAGCTTATAAAGTTCCCTGGAATCTTGTCCATCGTGGACTACTTCGAATCAGACTCTTACTTGTATATCATCACCGAGCATGTGACGCCATTGCAGCATTACTTGGCTACTCATTCAGACAAAGTAACCAAGGAAACGAAACTCTACGGTATTTACAATGTCGCTCATGCTTTGCTGTTCATTAACACCAAGGCATATTCTGTTCATGGACATTTGGACCTTTCTTCATCAGTGTTTGTGAATGCCCAAGGCGAATGGAAGCTTTTTGGCTTCGAACTTCTTACCTCGATGAAGTCTGATCCTGACCAGCCGATTTATCGTCTTTCGTCGCTGTGCCCCATGTTCAACGAGAACTTGCCAGATGAGGTAGTGGCTAGTGGAATTGAGGCGATCAGACCCTATCCTTTCAAATTTGACTCCTACAAATTAGGAGTGTTCATTTTCACGCTTTTGGCTACTACTCTGTACAAGGATCCCGTGGTGGCTACAAATGGCGAGGCATTTGCCGGGAGCTCACAGATTCCACGTTCCTTGGCCCAACCAGTTAAAAAGCTCACCAACGTCAAGCCGAACCTACGTGTTACCGTCGAAAAGTTCTTACAAGAGACGGAGGCATTCTTCAGCTCCAATAGACTTGTCTCATTCAGTCGCCTCTTGGAGGACATGAAATTTCAGAATGCTCATGATAAACTAGCATTTTTCAAGAATGATGTGGCACAATATATTGACGAGGAGTTTCCCCCAGGATACTTGGATAACAAGTTACTTCCCGAGATCATTACACAGTACAACAACTTGGTGCACACTAAAGTTCCTCCAACTGTCACAGCAGAACAACAACAACACAGACAGGAGACAATCTCAGTTCTTCTCAACTACATTTTGAAGCTTGGTACTGGATTGTCCGAGGACGGGTTCAGCAAGACTGTGAAGCCCATAATTTTCCATGCATTCACGCTTCCAGACCGAGCTGTGAGACTCACACTTTTGAACTACTTGCCCAAGTACGCCCATCATTTGTCTGATAGCGAAGTCCAATCCAAGTTGTTCTACAGTTTAGTTACTGGCTTCAACGATACCAATTTTATGATTCGTGAAACGACGCTCAAATCCTTCACATCAGTCATCGACAAAGTGAGCGTAAAGCAAGTGAATCAGGAGTTGTTGAAGGTGTTGGCTAAATCTCAAATGGATCCCAAACCCTCTATCCGGACAAATACTTTGATTCTCATCATAAAAATCTCGAGCAAGATCTACGCCAATCTGAAAAATAGTGTCATTATAACTGCACTTGGAAAATCATTGAGAGATTCGTTCGTTCCTTGCAAGATGATGGCTCTTTCAGGTTTTGATCAGTTGATAGCGGAATTTCTGCTTGAAGAGATCTGCTCTAAGATCTTAGGTCATTTGGCGATTGCGCTTATGGACCCAAAATCATTCAAGGTAAGGGAGGAAGCCAAGCGTGTTTTCCAACTATATTTGACTTCGGTTGAGAAGCATGCATCATCATTGCCTAGGGATGAGGAAGACGAGGATGAAGAGGAGAAGGAGTTCTTCCGCCAGCATGCGCCTCAAGCTCCTGTGGAGCTGAAGAAGGAGGTGGAAAGTTCAAGCTCAACTTCATTTGGATGGAGCATGGTCAACAAACTTGTGCTGTCATCGGCGATTGGCGGAGACCTCAACAAGAGCTTCAACTCATCGACACCGGACTTGACTCGAGAGCCGACTCCCGTGGACTCAAGTCAATCGGCTCAACCCGTCGGAATTTCTGCGCTGGCGGGGAAAAACAAAAACACTTTCGAGCCGGACTTTGAAGACTTTTCTGACGAAGATGGATGGGATGTGGATCAGGCCTTCGAAGATGACTTCGGTGGTGCTAAGCCCGAGCCAAAGCTGTTAATTGGCAAAAACGGTAGGACTGGAGGCGCAAAACCGCCTTCAGCTCCTCGCAGAACACCTGCCAGGGCCTTGTCGCAGCGAAATCAGAGAAGAGTGTTCTGAGAGCGAAACCAGGACTCACCTTGGGTGCAAAGAAGCCCGCGGCCAAATCACCGGGATCCACGCTTAAGTTAGATCTCAAGGTGGAAGATGACGACGACTCGTGGGCGGCGATTGGTAATACCACAGCTGTAACCGCCGTAGCTGGATCAAGGCGCTTTATTGAAGCTTCATTCTATCATACGGCTCCCAAGATATGATAGCTTGACAGAAGGTTGCCCACTGTCAAAATTGGGCTTGGCTTGCGTATAGGGTCTGTCGGTTCCAAAGAGCCACAAGTGAACTACAGTCACAACACCTCAATCTTTGAGTAATTCTTTGAATGGGGCTGATTTTGCTTGATGAGAGACATGCTGTATGAGCGAAGAATCCTAACGTGTGATCGTGAGCACGATTACATAACTTTCGAAGACGAGATACCTGGCGGCTAGTGCGGCTACATTCGCCAAGAGGACATTGATAAGCTTCGTGACTTTGAATGTCAACCTTAATCTGCCTATTTTCTATAGCACCCTTTTTGTGAGATTGAATTAGGCGCATGACGGTGTTAACTGGATCATAACGCAGTGGTGACTATGCCTACACGGTAATGCTTAGTTCACGATTAAGTACGAAAAAATTATTAGTAGAGCCTAATGTTGGCCCCGTCAAGCAACGACATGGTCAAGTGCACATTCTTGCGAGGGTCTCCAGGATTGTCGAATGAGTCAATTTCAGAGAAGTTCTGAAGAAGGCGAGCTGTCACGTAAGACGCTTGGGTCAAGGCAAGTTGCTGGCCCAAGCAGATCCGAGGACCTCCGTTGAATGGAAGAAATCCCCAGCCCACTTTCTTAAGTCTTGCTTCACCCCATCTTTCGGGTCTGAACGTGTTTGCATCCTTGCCGTAGATGGCCGGATTTCGATGTGTCACGAAAACTGAGTAAACTACCACTTCACCTTTTGGCACGAAAACAGGTTCTTGTCCATTTGGACCTCCTCCTCGAGGCAATGTAGTGTCTTTGGTAGCTAAGCGGCTATTCATTGGGACAGAGGGGTACAATCTGAGCGTCTCATGGAGGACCCACTTGAGATATTCGAGTTTCTTGAGTGATTCAAATGTCATCTTGCTAAGATCAGCAGTTTCCCCCTCGCCAAAGGCTTCAACAATCTCAGTCCGAAGCTTGCGGAAGATCTCGGGATTTCTTGCAAGTTCGAAAAAGACAAAAGACAAGAGTCCTGCCGTGGTATCTCTTGCTGCAATGAGGATGTTCAAACATTGGTCTCGCAAAACCACTGGGTTTCTGGTCTGCTTGACAAGCTCGTATAAGAATACATACCCATTTTCGTTCTTTTTCGCCAACTCCTCTGGAGTCGCTGCAAGAGCCTTCTCCACGTAGTAGTCAGCAAAATTGTGAACAATCCGGTTACACTTTCTGAACTCTCTTGTGGTGAGAATAAAGTACAGATTATGGAGTCCGGACCGCAAGAGGAGGTAATATTGCGAAGTGTTGAAGGCTTCGGGAAAAAGTTCGACCCCTTCAGGACCTTCAAGGTCAGAGAGTTTGACGATATCATCTTGGAGCGAGGAACAGGATTCACCGAAAAGGAACTCGGTGCCCGAGTCGATTGTCAACTTGAAGAACAAAGGCTGAATATCAAACTTTGATCCGTTTTGAATTTTTATTCTTCGCAAAACATGCTGTACGTGAGACTCCAACATTGCCCCTGGAGAGACCTGCTCTTTGGCAAACTGGGGCCTAAGCATGGCCCGGGAATGTTTCCAGCCATCGCCGTCCAAGGTGAAAATACCGTCACCCAAAAGAACCCTGAACTGCTTGTGGCGAAGTCCCAACGAAAAATCGCTGAATTGAGTGCTCAAGACGGCCTTGATGTTCTCGGGGTCCCTTGTGGTATACCTCAAGCTTCCTGTAGAGCGGAAGAGGACTGTGTCACCATACACCTTGTCGAACATTTCCCCGAAAAATTCCGGCATGTCTCCTGTTTTCAGCCTACGCAAGATCTCCAAGCTGAACCAGAAACCAAAAATATAGTCCCTGATGAACGGAGGCTCGGAGGCACCCAGTTTCCGTAAACGGATGTGGTAGCTGATCTTGTTGGTGATGGTGTAAACGGCGACGGTGAGAGCCACCCAAGCCCACCATGGAAGCGAGACCGAGTCAATGAGTGCCATTGGTAGAATCGATGAAGAAGAATTGAAGTTTACAGGTGTACTTGCCACTAGGCTTCATGAGCCCCATTATGTAGGTGTCTGATGAGGGGTGGGGCTTATTCTTGGTCTACTTGGCGGACTTATAGGGACCATGTGAATGCCGATTTTTTATAGAGAGATGTATTCCTGATATCATTTGTGATTGCAATAATCTCCATTAGGCGTCTGGGACTGTTTGTGCCTATTTTTGGAACACGATAGGGGCGATTGTGGGTTGGCCATTGAAGGGTCCGGATTTAGTGGCAGTATGTCGGTGCGGCTTGTGACGCAAGCTCTAAAAATTCTTCCGTGAGATTTGCAGCCATATTTTACGAAAGAAGGAAGCGGTGAGGAAATGACTCAGTATCGAAGAGCTGCTGCAAGAGAAGGCGGCAAGGAAGACTAAGCCCAGGATTCGTGCGTCAGTGAAGCTTAGTCCTGAGCAAGAGCTTAAAAATCTCATTAGAGCTATATCTTTTTGCAAGCGGCATTGGATGGTGCCTCGATTGAAGTATCTTTCCCCCCAAACGGGCTCCATCGGGACTATTTCGGACTGAAAATTTTTAAAGTTCCGAGCACCTGCGTGGGCTATAGCGTTGTATTGTTGACAACAGAGACCCCCACGCTATTGTCCACCTTCTAGACCCACTAATTGCACAAAACTACATCGAGATCATGTCGATGTTCTGTAGAAGGAAAAGAAGGCAGGCTAGCGCTTAAAAAATAACACCATGCGATAGGCCTTCTGCGTTGCCCACGTGTGGTCGGTATCATAACGCTCAAGGATGGTAATCGTGCGCTAGATCCAATTCAAACCCCACGACCCACGCAACTTTAAGCGAAGCAAGCATCGAAGACCCTGGCTCGTTTGCATGCAGCCTTGTCCACGGAATTGGCTATAAAAAGAACCGCTATCGCCATTTTTGTGGAACACCAAATGAGATTCTCTATCCTCACCACGCTCAGTGCAGCCTTGGCTGTGTCCATCAAAAGAGGCGGAAAAGCTTCCGATTGGGACTTCGAAAACAACAAAATCCAGGGCGTCAACTTGGGCGGCTGGTTGTTGCTTGAACCCTACATAACTCCTTCGCTTTTCGTGGCTTTTGGTGACGACATACCTGTGGACGACTACCACTACCAAAAAGCCCTCGGCAAGGAGGAAGCGAAAAAGAGACTCGACAACCACTACGACACTTGGTACCAGGAGGACGATTTCCGCCAGATGGCCAAGGCCGGAATCAACACCGTGAGAATCCCCATTGGCTACTGGGCTTATGGGCTCTTGCCGGACGATCCGTACATTCAAGGCCAGGACTTTTATTTGGAAAGAGCGTTAGGCTGGGCCCGCAAGTATGGAATCAATGCCTTGATTGACTTGCACGGAGCCCCAGGGTCCCAAAACGGCGGCACCAGCTCTGGATTGAGAGGGTCCTATGATTCAATTGAGGATTTCCAAAAGTCGGTTGCATACCAGTCTGACGAGAACGTTTCGCTCACACTCACGGTTTTGCAGAAGATTTTTGACAAGTACGGCGGCGAGGATTACGAAGACGTTGTCAGCGGAATCGGCCTTTTGAACGAGCCTCTAGGTATCGCCTCAGACATGGATAAGCTCAAGGACTTCTACCAGTGGGCATACGGCAACATGAGGTCTGTTTCCAGCAATAATGTCGTCATAAGCGACGCTTTCCAGGAAGAGGAGGGCTACTGGGACAACTTCATGACGCTCGATGAGGGCTTCTGGAAGGTGGTTGTGGACCATCACCACTACCAGTGGCACAGTGCCGAGGAACTCAACATGCCTGTGGAAGAGCACGTCCAAACAGCCTGCAACTGGGGAACACAGCACAAAAAAGAGTACCACTGGAATATTGTGGGCGAGTGGTCAGCAGCCATGACCGATTGTGCACCTTGGTTGAACGGGGTAGGCAATGGGGCACGGTGGACCGGGGAGTATCTCGATTCGCCTAGATTTGGCTCTTGTGAACCTTATGCTAAATCCAGCGAATGGACCGAAGAGTACAAGCAGAAGACCAGGCAGTTCATTGAGGGCCAAATTGACGCCTTTTCGTCAGCCAGCGGGTGGTTTTTCTGGAACTGGAAATGTGAAGACGCCGTGGAGTGGGACATGTCTGAGTTGATCAGACTCGGGGTGTTCCCGCAGCCGTTCGACGACAGGCAATTCCCCAATCAGTGTGGAGAGGACTTCTGATGCATGCAGTGGAGTCAGATTTACGAGATGGTGAATGTTTGATTTTTTTTCGAGAAAAGTAGCAAAGCAAGTTGTATTTCGAAAAACCATTTTGTATAATTCTGTAGCCAGAGAAAGCCAAGATACTTCGAGGCTTGAAAACCTGTCAATGGCCGCCAAGCGAGGGGCCCCAAATCTCCGTTTTCCAGAAAATCAGAAAACCCGCAGGATGACTAATGGAGAAAAATTAACAGGTTTCCAGGGACAACGAAGCCGTTCGACACTGGGCAGACGCACGGCTCAGGTTTCGGGATTTGAGCCCCACCAGGATCCACACCTCAATGCCCAGAAGCCGAAAAGGCGCTTAAGCGAGCACCACACTCACCGAATCGTGGGTATCGGCACCACGCCAGGGAAACAACGCAAACTAGGCACCCTGAAGGAGACGAGACCAGAAATAGAGAAAAATCAGAAATCTGGTGAAATATGGAAAAAGACGTACGACGTGCAGAGGGGAAGTCCGGAAAAAACCGCCCGCCCAAAGCACGCTCTCGAGGTGCTTGTCCTGAAACAGCAGAGGAGAAGTCACAACCATCGTCAGATAAGACTTTTCACAGAGCAAATCTAGCGTTTTCGGGCGCATCAGGGCGTGGGTTTGTGGCCGCAAAAACGCAAGGCGTCTATTGTGGCGTGTGGCCACTTTCTGCAAAAAACGCCAAGACAAGCCGCTGATAAGCGTCAATGTGTGGATCACGGTGACACATTGATTGTGTGAGAGAAGAAGCAGTTGAGCTGAGAAGTTTTTCTTTACTGATGATGAAAACCACTTTTTATGAATAAAGTGCTGGCTCTCTTCATGCGAGTGAGATGGTTCTAGGAAACCTCGCGTTGGTTGGGAAGGCTTTTTTATGCACTATATGCGGCGCTGCCGCTTCAGGCTGCATTATCGGGTTTGTAGTGAGATAGACGACCTGAAGCCGGGATTCAACACCAGAATGCCGCATGCTTTCTCCGGCTCCTAGGGATGCTAAGAAAATTACTTTGGACTGCTATGGGTGAAATCTCGATTTTGCTCCACTGGCGGCTTGCCAAGGCCTTGAGCCATCAGCATAAATAGTTCCCGGTTCCACGGCTTTTCAAACCATCCAAAAGCTGCCATGCCTCAGGAAAACACGCTCAACGAGAAACACGTGGTAGCAATCACAAGCATCCTCAGCTCGGGCACCCACGGCCAGACTCAGGATCACGAGGTAGATCTTCAAGCCCTTACCTCGCAGGATATTGCTCTTGAGGATGTGGCTGATGGGCTTTCCTCTGCTCAGAAATTCTATGTCTTGAAGCGTCTCAATCTTGACCACTTGGAGTCGCTTGACGACTTGCCCGTCACGGCGACCTTCATGTTGGAGAAGATTTCCCACTTTCCTGTGGAGGAGTCGTTGCAAATTTTGAATAATTACTTGACAGAGCACGAGGACGATGTAAACATTCCCACCAGCGAATACGACTTCATCAAGCAGCTCTACGACGACGCTCCTCGGCACCTTTCCCTTGGGGACGTGAAGGATGGCTCCTCCCTGGTGGAGGAGAAGAAGGTTAGTATTGATGAGAAGGGTCCCCAGACCTATACCGTCCAGAAGGGCTCAGATACCGAGTCCAACGAGTTGGAGATCCACGACTGGGAATTCCAGCTTCGTACCGAAGCGGCTATGATTGCCTATTTCTCTCCTTACCCAGAGGTGAGATCTGTCACCAACCCTTACGATGATCCTAGTATTCCCGTGGAGACCCTCAGAGTTTACCTTCTTGGTATCCTCTGGACCGGTGTGGGCTCTTTCGTGAACCAGTTTTTTGCCGAGAGGCAGCCCGGTATTTCTTTGAGTCCTGCAGTGGTGCAGCTTTTGCTTTACCCCTCGGGTGTCTTGTTGGCTACTATTCTCCCTAAGAAGACAATCAGACTCTGGAGATGGTCCATTGACTTGAACCCTGGTCCTTGGAACTACAAGGAGCAAATGTTGGCCACTATCTTCTACTCGGTGTCTGCTGGTACACCTTACGTTTCATCCAACATCCACGTGCAAAAGCTTCCTCGTTACTACAACAACCAGTGGGTCGATTGGGGCTACCAGATTTTGCTCATTCTCTCGACAAACTTCATGGGTTTTGGTTTCGCCGGTATCATCAGAAAATTCGCTGTGTACCCTGTGAGAGCATTGTGGCCTACACTTTTACCCACACTTGCCTTGAACAGAGCCTTGTTGCAGAAGGATAAGAAGGAGAGCATCAATGGATGGAAGATCTCGAGATACAACTTTTTCTTCCTTTTCTTCAGCATCTCGTTTCTTTACTTCTGGATCCCAAACTACCTTTTTGAAGCATTGTCCTACTTCAACTGGCTCACTTGGATCGCCCCTAATAATTTCGAGTTGAGTTTGGTGACGGGTTCGCTTTACGGTTTGGGACTCAACCCACTTCCAACATTCGACTGGAACGTTATCAACTATAACAGTGCTTTGATCATCCCATTCTACTCTCAGATCAACCAGTACATTGGTTCGTTCATCGGTTTTATCTGCATTATTGGACTCTACTACTCCAACTACTACTGGTCGGCCTATCTCCCAATCAATACCTCCACTTTATTTAACAACAAAGGTGAGAGATACCAAGTCCAGGAAGTCGTCAACGAGAGATCTTTATTTGACAATGAAAAGTACCAAGAAATTGGACCACCATTCTACTCAGCTGCCAACTTGCTCGTTTACGGCAGTTTCTTTGCCATCTACCCTTTTGCATTCATCTATGAAGTTTTCTGGAACTGGAGACCCATGTGGTTTGCCTTGAAGCATTTGGGTGGCTCATTCAAAAACTTCAGAAAGTCCACCTTCGAAGGCTTTGATGACCCACACAGCACGATGATGAAGCAATATAAGGAAGTTGCCGACTGGGCTTTCGTTGTCATTTTGATCATCGCCGTTGTATTGGCAATTGTCTGTGTTCAAGTGTATCCTGCTGAGACCCCAGTCTGGGGTATTTTTTTTGCACTTGGAATAAACTTCATCTTCTTGATTCCCCTCACTGCCATCCAAGCCACCACTGGTTGGGGTTTTGGTCTTAATGTGTTGGTGGAATTGATTGTCGGTTATGCCTTGCCAGGTAACGGTCTCGCATTGAACTTCATCAAGGCGTTGGGTTACAACATCAACGGTCAGGCACAAAACTATATCACCGATCAAAAAATGGGTCACTATGTCAAGATCCCACCAAGAGCTCTTTTCCGCTGTCAGGTGCTTTCTGTCTTCATTGCCTCCTTCATTTCTTTGGCTGTGATGAACTTTATGATTGACAATGTCGAGGACTACTGTACGCCTCAAAGTTCCCAGAAGTTTCTTTGCCCAAGCTCAAACGTCTTTTTCTCCGCTTCAGTCTTGTGGGGTACAATCGGTCCCAAGAAGGTCTTTGGTGGCCTTTACCCATTGTTAGAGTGGTGCTTCTTGATCGGTGCCCTTGCTCCAATTCCTTGCATCCTTTTCAAAAAATACGGACCAAAGAAGATCACCAAATACTTCCAGCCAACGTTGATCATCGGAGGTTTCTTGATCTATGCCCCTTACAACTTGAGTTATTTCACCACAGGTGTGTACTTCTCCTTCATCTTCATGTACTATATCAGAAAGCATTACCAGGCCTGGTGGGAGAAGTACAACTTCGTCTTGTCTGGAGCCATGGACGCAGGTGTTGCCTTCAGCAGTATCATTATTTTCTTTGCTGTCCAGTATCATGACAAGCCTATTGACTGGTGGGGCAACTCTGTTTCCTACTAAGGCGTGGAAGGTGGATATGGTCAGCAAACGTTGAAAAATGCCACATTGGAGGCTCCTGATGGGTACTTTGGTCCACGTATTGGCAGTTTCCCTTGATTCTTTTAATCGTAATTAATCGATAACAGTTTAGTTTTTCGCTGTGTATGAGGCCGATCTCTTATATAATTAATTAAAACCTTCATTGCAACTTGTCTGGGAGTCTTGACTGTCAAGTGGTTTGGATTTGGAGCTCTCTTCAAATGCACCTTCTGCTAGGGAAGCTTTAAGGTCTCTCCTTGCGCCAGAAACCTGGGATAGACCAAAGTAGGTATAGTTCCGGTAGTTCATGAATACCGGGCATCACAGTTTGCAATTACATACCTGGAACATATCAGCATCTCAATCACATTTTTGAGTGAAAGTTCCATGGCTGGTCGATCTACTCGGTACCCTCTTTCGAGACTACGAGCCCGTCTCTGGTACGGCTCTTGAGCAAATGCACGTCGCTAAGACCCACAGTTGGTGACAGGGAAAATCAAGGGGGTAATCAAACACCGGTCACAGACTTAAATTGATTGAAACATTTTCTACGTGGAATCACAAGGAGCTTCTACCATTACGTTCAGAGAAGATCTGGATTTCATCGAGCCCAGTGATATCTGCCAGGAAACTCATTGACATCTCGGAGAAGTAGGCCGTGTAAAACCATGGAGCACTAGGTTGAAAAGAATTGCCGTTGCTCTTATTACCTTTCTTTTTTAGCACATTCAGGGTGTGGGGTCAGGCATGGGACATGTAAGATTATTGACAGATTATTCCCCAAACAGACAGTCCGTTCGTGTGGCATCCGGGTCCGCCGAAATGATAAGCAATTGTGGTGCACCTCCACGTCAGGAAGAGCAAGAAAGCATTACAAAGACAAATCGAAGCCCTCGTGCCATGCAAGGACCCAAAGAGAAAGCTTTGGTCAAGAAGATTCCCATATTGTCCATCACGCTGCTAACGTGAACCGGAAATCCACCCAAAGGCGTTTCACTAAGCCACAGTCGTAGCGCAGAATTAGCGCAGAACCCGCAGACTTTGCAGCAGAATTGATCCTCATTAAGGCGTGCCGCACAAGACCCGACATGATAATTTCACGATAACCGCCTATCACAATTTGGGGATTATTACCCCAAGCACCGAGACCGAGCACGATGTTGGTGTGCATCGCCAGTCGCTTATGCGGCGGTGTGTCAAATTGTATATTCTGCCACCACAGATTCTTGGCAGATGCTGTCAATGTAAGCCAAGGATTGAGTGAGCAGCATTGGCTCATGACGTTTGGTTACAGGATGGCTCAAAAATCTCTGGCTGGTCAACTAATGATTTATTTCTATTGGCGCATCACAAAGCCGCTGTTTCGATAATGTATGTCTGGAGCCGCGCGATCCGCATTATGGTAGCCACATTTGTGGTGTCACGAGCCGTATAGCCGCATGAGATGCTGAAAAATGTGCATGCGAACGAGTCAGCGTCGTCTCAAAATGGGTTTCAATCGTGAATTGGGGTAGTTCGGTCCATCCCGGTGTAACTGGTAAATGGCTCGAAAAGCTGTGGCTTTCAAAGAATTAACCCTTATTCTACTTTTTGTCGATGGACAATCAGACATAGCAGTCTGCGAGCATTGTTCTTCGTTCGCAAAGCCACACTTTCGGCCTCTACTTTGTATGAGGTGGACCGGCAGAACTTGTGAATTGCCGACCGCATTTAGCACACCATGCACCATTTTTTGCAGCCACGCCGGCGCATCCATGGTTCAGCAATCTGGCGAATATTTAAACTCGACATTCTCTTCGTCTCTGGTCCGACGGAAACCTCTAAGTCATGTCCGAGAAACTCGAAAACATCACTAGTATCACCAGTGCTGGTGACAGGCACGATGCAGCCGACCATGAGGTGAATCTCGAGGCTGTCAGGTCACACCAGTATGCTTTCGAGACCGTCGCTGATGACTTGACCCAAGAGCAGAAGTTCTATGTTGTTAGAAGATTGAACTATGACAATCTTGACAACTTCGAGGACTTGCCTCCTTCCGTGGCGTTCATATTGGAAAAAATTCAGCACTTGAGCGTCGAGGAGTCCGAGGTAATCTTGAAGCAGTTCTTGAAGGACCATAAGGGCGATCTCAATGTTCCCATGGAGGACTACGATTTCGTCAAACTTTTGGTCGACCACTCAAGCCTGGTCTCAGCAGAGGGCTTCCAGCGGAAGGAAAATTCATCTACCGATGAAAAACATGATGCGGTTGTGAGAGAAAAGTCCATTACTTCTTTGGAGTCTGCAGAGCACGGAAAGATCTTCGATTGGGGCTTGCAGCTCCGGACTGAGGCGGCCCTTGTTGCCTACTGGTCTCCATACCCTGAGGTTAGAGCCGTCACTGATCCATTCGATGACCCAGAAACCCCATGTGAAACCCTCAGAGTTTATGTCATTGGTATAATTTGGGTGGTTCTTGGTACTGTCATTAATCAGTTTTTCGTCGAGAGGATGCCCAGTATTTCCTTGGGCTCTTCAGTCGTCCAGCTTCTTGTCTATCCATCCGGAAAACTTCTTGAATACATTTTGCCAGCCAAGACTTTCAAAATCTGGAGATGGAATATCAATCTCAATCCTGGTCCCTGGAGTCACAAGGAGCAGATGCTTGCAACACTTTGCTACAGTGTCAGTGGTGGTGCAGTCTATGCAACGTACTTCATCAATCTTCAGAAGTTGGATCGTTACTATGCTAACCCAAGCTTTAAGATCGGCGCTCAATTTCTTATAGTCTTTTCCTCCAACTTTTTGGGTTTCGGATTTGCTGGAATTTTCAGAAAATATGTCGTGTACCCAGTTTCTGCAATCTTCCCAAATCTTCTTCCTACACTCGCCATCAACCGTGCCTTGGTTCAACCTGAGAAGAAAGAAACCATCAATGGATGGAAGATTTCGAGTTACAGCTTCTTCTTGATTGTGTTCGGTGCGTCGTTCCTTTACTTCTGGGTCCCGAACTATCTTTTTGATGCACTTTCCACATTTAACTGGATTTCTTGGGCCGCTCCTGATAACTTTAACGTTGCGGCAATTACTGGATCGCAAACCGGCTTGGGTTTGAATCCAATCACTACTTTCGACTGGAATATTATCAGCTACAACAGTCCGTTGGTTATACCTTTTTTTGCACAGATTAACAGTTACCTTGGTATGCTTCTCGGTTTCTTTTTGATTATTGGTCTTTGGTGGTCCAACTATAAGTGGACAGGCTATTTACCCATCAACTCCAACCTGATTTTCACCAACACCGGTGATTATTATGCTGTTACTGAAGTCTTGAACAGCGAAAAGAAACTTGACCTTGCCAAGTATGAGGAGATTGGACCACCATTCTATACTGCGGCAAACATGATTGCGTATGGCTCATTCTTTGCACTCTACCCATTGAACTTTTTCTACGTTCTTTTAACTGATTGGAAAAGTATTCTGTTTGCCACTGTGTCTTTGATCAAGTCTTTCAGGTTCAAGAAAAGAAGCTCAACATACGAAGGTTTCGATGACCCATTTTCTACTTCGATGAAAGCCTATCCAGAGGTTCCAGAATGGTGGTTCTTCATTATCTTAATCATCTCGATTGTGTTTGCCATCATTACTGTTGAAGTTTACAACTTGCAAACCCCAGTTTGGACTATTTTCTTTGCAATTGCTTTGAACTTTGTTTTCTTATTGCCTTTCGTGATTGTGTACGCTTCCACCGGTACTTCCATGTCGATCAACGTTTTGCTTGAAATGATCATTGGTTACGCACTTCCAGGTAATGGTACCGCTTTGAACTATGTCAAGACCTTGGGAACCAATATCGACTCTCAGGCCGAAAATTATATCACCAACCAGAAGCAGGCTCACTACTGGAGAATTGCTCCTCGTGCTCTTTTTAGGGTTCAGATGGTCTCCGTGGTTGTTTACAGTTTAGTGGCTGTCGGAATGATCAATGTAACCTTTGATACCATTGAGGACTACTGCTCCCCGCGTCAGTCACAGAAATTTACGTGTCCGGGGTCGAATACGTTCTACTCTGCTTCTGTCCTTTGGGGTGTTATCGGACCAAAGCGGGTCTTTGGTGGCCTTTACCCAATCTTCCAGTGGACTTTCTTGATTGGGTTCTTACTAGCATTCCCATGCTGGGCCCTCAAAAGATACTATGGTCATACCAGGTTTGGTAAGTATTTCCATCCAATTGTCTTCACTTCCGGCTTGATTGGTTACGCTCCATACAACCTCAGTTACTATACACCCGGTATGTATGTGTCAGCTGTGTTCATGCTCTACCTCAAGAAAACAAAGCTTGCTTGGTGGAAGAAGTACAACTTTATTCTTTCTGGTGGTTTGGATGGAGGTATCGCTTTCAGCAGTATTATCATATTCTTTGCTGTTCAGTACCACTCCAAAAACATTTCGTGGTGGGGAAATAACGTCAATGACAACGTTTTGGATGCAGACGCACCAGCAAGACTTAATGCTACCGTTGATGCTCCAGACGGATACTTTGGCCCTAGATACGGTCACTTCCCATAGTTCTAGTGCTAATAATATTTTCACCTCCCATAGTTATAGTGTTAATAATAATTCAATTTTTACTTTCCATGGTTATAGTGTTGATAATAATTTAATTTTCTATTTCCTAGCAAGTCCTCCCAAATGGGCTATTGATTACCTCTATTTTATCGAATCAGCATTCGGCTCGCCGCCTAAAGAGGCAAGACCCGATGGCGCACATGCCATGATAGAGGTTGGGACACATCGCATATCCCAAACGGCCCAAAAGCAAGCCGCTTTTGACACAGGCTTGATAAAAACATAAACTTACCCCACCAGCAATTACCCGGATTTGCTACATTGGTGTTTAAAGTTTGGCCTAAGCATATGTCCGAGGCGGATTTGCTTTTAGCTTTCACTGCATAAGTTACACAAACCTGTATCTGTAGCAAAGAAACAGAAAATCAACGATTCTACAGTTTGAACAAAAAAAGTCATTGTTTCGACTGGATCAACGGACTAAGGACAGCCGCTCCTTGTTCAATTCCATTATTCCTGGTTCAAATACTCCACTGATCTCTTCAGCCCTCCTCGAAATAATATGCAATGGAATAGCTGGCTGCTGGTTTGCCCCATTGGGATTAGCTTCCATGCATGACGTCGCTCTTGTAACGTTTAGTCAGTGTGCGCGATGGAAGGAACCAAAACATTGTCTTATTTTAGTGCTGGATGTTGGGGCTTCATGCGGAGTTAAGAAAGTGAGCTTGGCTGGTGGCAAAGAATTTTAGGTTGCTTAAGCGAGGTCTCCCCCACATAAGCCATGAATTTTCTATGCATTTCCTTCAATTTCAAGTGACACAATGGTGTCCAGGTAGGCCCATGGCCAATATCAAAAAAAATATCAGGGTCCAGGAGGAAAATAAAAATAGAGTACCATGCCGCAGGAGGCATCATTAGGAAACTAACTTTGGGGGTTCCAGCGCATGATTATGCAACGATGCGTCAGGGCCCACCAGTGGCTTCTATAATTAGCAAACTTAATGCACCTCGCACATATCAAGCCTTCCCCAGTACCATACGGCGTTCTGATGCTGGGGAACTCTCAACTATAAATTGGCCGTCCTCCTCCTCAATTTCTCTTCATCAAACTAATTCAATCACATCACATCATGAAGTTCTCCACTCTCGCCCTTCTTACCAGCACTGCTATCGCTGCCGAAACCGTCGACCTCAAGATTGTCTCTGACAACTCTGAGCTCAGCGGCAAGGGCATCCAGGCTCTCCACGAGGGCGCTGGTATCAGTTACTTCGGTGTCTCTGACTATCTCGGTGAAGAATTCAGCTACGACACTGACAAGAAATTGCTTACCCAAACCCAGGGCTCTTACACCGCTAACGTTGGTGTTAGCGGAAACTACTTTGCTGTTGGTCCAGCTGTTACGCCAAGCGAGGTGACTTTTGATGACGAGGGAAACCTCAGCTTTGACAAGCAGCTCTACGCTTGCAAGCAGCTCAACGACCCTTACCATTACTTTGATGACAGGTACGGTGTTGTTGTGGATGATGCTCCAAACGACTCCTGTGTCAAGATTGGTCTCGAGAAGGTAGACGGTGGCTCTGAGTCTTCTTCTGCTGAAGCTTCCGCTGCTCCATCTTCTGCCCATGGCGGCTGGAACAACACTGTCACTGAGCACATCACCGTGACCGGTTACACCACCTACTGCCCTGAGTCTACTGTTCTCACCATCACCACCTGTGAGAACAAGGCCTGTGGTCCTAAGACCATCACTGTCTCCGAGGCTCAAACTGTCACTGTCACTGAGGAGTGCGTTGTGCCAAAGACCTCCACCACTCCAGTTGTTGCTCCTACCACCACTGAGCCAGCTCCAGAGACCACTGAGCCAGCTCCAGAGACCACCAAGCCAGCTTCTTCCAAGTCTGAGGTGACCTCTGCTCCAAAGCCAACCACTCCTACCACTGTTGCTGATGTCTCCAGATCCTCTGAGACCACCCCGCCGCTGTTTCCTCTTACGAGGGTGCTGGTGTGAAGAACGCCGCCGGTGCTGTTCTTGGCTTTGCCGGTGCTGCTGCTCTTTTGATTTAAGGATACTGCTAAAAATGCTCGTTGCACGCGAGCCGGATGACTTTAATTAATATACTGTTTATGAAAAGTTTGCTGTAGAGTTGAGATGGTGAAAGTGCGGACCAGGACGAGAAAGTGAATGGTGTAGTAGAACAGATGCTATCTACGAGTAGGACTGCCAATCAAATGCCATTTCAGCGCCATCCAAGCGAGTAAAGGTGTTCTTTTCACGCAACATCAAACAAGATTGAAAAAACTTATTAAATCCAGAAGACCTAAGAAGGAAGCATGAGCTGCCGGGGTTGGAAAGGTTGCAAATGAGCCTCGGCGAAATAGCTGTCTTTAGGTCAGTATTCCTCCACACGATTGACCCTGAAGTTAACCTGGGAATCCCTCTCGTTTTAAACTTTATTCATTGATGAACGTTAAAAAAAAAAAAAAAAAAATGACGAAAGAAATGGCCCCTCCAGCACCCGGGAAATCTCCAGAATCGTAAGGCGCGCACGTGACCCAACCACCAAATTCGAATCTCACCATCGCCTTATCCAATCTGATCCACCATGTCCAAGCTTCCTTTAAGTGTGCGTGTCACAGACACCGTGCACCGTGTATTCGTGATGGGCCTTTTTGGCATCACTGCGGTCGGTACCGGCAGTATTTTATTCAACATCTACGCCAACTCGGACTTTGGCGGCATGAACAAGAACAAGTTGAAGTTCAACAGAGAGGAGTTTGATGAGCTGCGTTCTCAGGCCACTGATGACAAGCAGTGAGCTGGGAAGATCTAACGATTCATTTTGTACATAGTTAACTCGAGATACTGGACGAGAATGTAGATAGAAGATATGAACTCATCGTGCGGGTTTGAAGAGAAGTTGCTGTGATGGAGGAGTGTCTCAGTGAGTTGTCCTGCGATGCTGGCATGACCGATATTGTTTGCTTACCAAGGCTGATGAGTGACAAACCAGGACAGTTGAATTTCGTGAGAGTCACTCTCATTCTAGTAAAGAAGCAACGCCGCAACATTTAGCTGTCCTTGCTTTATCGTTGAAAACTTATTCTTCTCCCGAAGACCATTCTTTTCTTGCCTTGCTTTTGCAGGCTTATTTGTTCCACTACTCTCATCCAGACAATGTATCTCGAGAGGTGCGAAAATCGCTGCTCAGATCTCCAACGAAGAACTACTCAATTCCTCAACACAACCACATTACATCCCTCCAATGAGTCAGCGCAAGATTGATATTCTGCAGCTCGAGCCCCAACAGATTCTTGAAATCAGGAAATCCACTGAGCAAGAAATACAACATTTCACCCAGTCTCTCCAGGCTCTTCAAACAGCCCAGTCAAAACTTCAAGACTGTGTGAACACGATAGACAACATGGGGGCTTCTGAAGGTGGTGACTTGCTCGTTCCAATGACCGCCCTGTTGTATTTGCCAGGTAAGGTGGCTCAGAAGGACCGCTTCATGGTTGATATTGGCACAGGCTACTTCGTGGAGAAGGATGCAGACAGCGCAAGGAAAGTTTACAAGAAGAAGCTCACCAAGTTGGGCGAAGACTCGAAAAAGTTGAAGGAGATCTTGGTACAGAAGAACGAGATTATGAATAACCTTACATTGGTGTTGCGCAAGAAGGCCATGGACCAACAACAGGCAGCTCAGAGCTGATGCTGTGACGTGAATGAGAAATGTTGGCAATTTCAATTGTCGTTAATAGATGCATTTATTGGAAAGTGGAGACTGCTTGTCGTCGCTATGATATTGTAGATGGACACCTCCAGGGCCATGCCAGTGCCTGCCTGGCTTCAAACTTTAGACATCTGTCTTGTCTTTGTCGTAATCCTTATTGAATATAAAAGGCTCTGTGAAAGCAGCCCTTAGATTAAGTAGCTTGCGCTCTCCCAAACCCTGAATTTGCGCGAGCCCATCGTTCTCTGAAGCCTGTGTCACGATCCGTTTGAAAGACTTGCAGTTTGCTAATAAATTCGCCACATCAGTCTTGTTCACCGCTCGCACTGTAGTTAGCAGACTCACTATTGTCAGGTTGTAGTCCTCTTTTTTGAGACCCTGAATAGACAGATCCACCTTGGAACGAGCCATCTCGTTCAGCTTAAAGTAGGCTATGTAATTTCCCGCCTCTTCAAACAGCCATGCCACCACAATCAGCAAATCGTGCCTCATGCAAATGCTCAGAAGTGAACGGATAGAGTCCTGTGGCAGATCAATGTCCACTACCACGAGAAGCACTCGAAGCACCTCGTCATTTTGCAGCTCCTCGACTATCGAGCTTCCTTTCATTTTTTCAATGCGTCGCCAGACGTACTCAGGCCGAAGTTTGTGGTACTTGAGCAGTAGAAAGAGTACCTGTAACGTAGCATTGATGTAGTAGTCCAGAAGAATCTGGCTGTTGTATGCCCATGATGTGAGTTTCATGGAGGGACTTTCAAGAAGGGGATTTCCCTTCTGTGAATTGGCCACCTGAACAGCGGTGTATGTCTGAACATTGTCCCTGATCCTCCTAGAGCCAACTGGTCTGTTCGTTCTATGACGGTTTTTTTGTATTTGCCCCGTTGTATTCAAGGTATTTCTACCTTCGCTGCTTGAAGTTTCAGCTCTTGACTGAGCTGTTGACGCCTCTTGTTGTTGCGATTGCACCTCTTTCGTCACTTGTGGTTGCTCTGAGGGTCGAATAGATCCCTGTTGCTCAGATACACCGGACTTTGAGGAATTTGTTGCAGTTGGCTGATTTGGAGCATCATAAGACTCCCGCATCTTGCGGACACCTTCTAGAATGCTGGCAAATGACGATTGGTCTATATCATCGGGCATGTCTTAGTAGTAGCTATGCGCGATATCTGAGGTGTATCAACATTCAACTACCACTACCAGTTCCTCCTGCAAACTACAAAGAACACCACACAGCATGGTATGTGCATGAGATTCTCGCCACTCGAACCTACTAACCACAGTCTGCGCTATTTAATTTCCAGTCGTTGCTTCTAGTCATCCTTTTGGCCATCTGTACTTGCACATATGTCCACTCTTCGTGGCCTGCTCTCTTAGACAAGAATCAGAACGGAGCGTTCGGAGTTTTTTGGAAGTTTGCTCGTATAGGCGAGCGTTTAAGTCCCTACGTTGCGATTGGCTGCTTCATTATGGCTTTTAACGTGCTTTCAAGCTGATCTATGTACATTAATATTACGACCACCATCTGAGAAATCACCGGAACTCATACGTCTCATTGACAGAGTTGCAGAGGACTGGCGCCCGCTCATTGCCCACAATCCTCTCGAGAGAAGCAGCGTCCCATTTGGAGAAAAGAGTTTTGACAAAAGAAAGGTCAATGTCAGCCTCTTCCTTATACACCGATTTGGCGACAAAACGAAGAAGTTCCTTGTAGAAAAGCGGGTTTGCTGGTGACTCATAGATTAACACTGTCTTGACACCAGCGATCTCAAACCGCCTGAAATGATGCAATCTCTCAGTATATAGAAGAATCTTGATCTTGCCAGTCTGGAATGCGTGACGAGTTCGGGAAACTCTAGATTGTGACAGGTACTCGTCAATGGCGCCAAAATTAAGCTTCGTATGCTGTTTAATATGATTCTTGACTCTCACGTAATCAAAGTACGAGGGAATGTAGATCAAGAGTCCATCTTCATACAGCGTCTGCTTGGAGATGGAGGGCAACACTGAGTTGACGAGAAACTTGAATCTAGATTCGTAGTTCGATATGGGGTCGGGTGACTCGAATCTTTGAAAAATTTGCTTGATCTTGATCCCCACTGAGTTCATGATACATGTTTGAGTAGTAATCTCTGGCTTGTACCGCGTACGCCCAGCAATGTTTTGTGATTTGGAGAAGATACTGTTGACTGTTGGCGTTGAAAATTCACTGAATACCATTGTTTGACGCATGAAGTGCAGTTGGTCATTGATAGACCACATTCTCACACGGGAGAAGTCAGCACCATGAAAGTCCTTTGGAATTTTGTTGATGTATTTGAGAACCGTGCTGACGTGATCCCAGTTTTGCATCTCAATCTGATTCGCTTGGTCTATAACAAGAACCTCAATGGATGAAAGAAAGTCGTATTGTCTTTTGGACTGTTTGGGGTCCTCGAGAATCATAGAGAGGCCAATTGGCGATGCGATCAAAACGTCGGAAGTGTAAAATGATGAGTAGAGTTTGAGAGACTTTCTTGTGAGCTTCAAGCCAATGCTGAAGAAATCATTCGAGTTACCCTTGAACATCTCTCTGAAATCTGCCGGCTTTGTGTCGGAAGGTCCGCCAGCTTCGTAAAATTGCTGCTTAAAACGTTTTCTGTTTTCTTGCTGGTCACATCCTGAGAGCTTGATAAGAAGCTCAACAAGCTCATAAGCAGCATTTCGCGTTGGCAAGAGGATCAATGCCTTTGGTCTTGTAAAGCCCTGGTCCCGGAACTCAGGCTCCTCAGTGAAGCGGTCAATTTTTCCACTTTTAACGTCTTCTTGAAAACGCCTAAGCTTATCATTGTTCTTCATGACTCGATCTCTGGTTTTGAACACATGGTTCAAAATATGCAATGCGTAGAGTCTCTTGTACAAGGTGTTCTTGTAAGTTCTTGATGGGAACAAAATATCTCTGTAGGAGAACATCTCGTCGGCCAACGCCTTTTCCAAGGGTTTGAGTTCGTCAGAAAAGTTCTTGAGGTAGGCCTCACCCACCCTTCTCTTGATACAGTGATACTGGCCGAGCAGGCTGAGTTTGTCGAAGCTCGGGAGTGAGGGCACATCTCCAGGTGGTGTTTGCTGGATAGCTGTGTATATGGTCTCACCGACTTTGGATTTGTCGGAAATCCAGGGCTCCTTGGCTGCAAACGATTTGGCCTTCTGTTCTATAAGGTCTTCAGATACCAAATTGAAGTGACTCTCAAAAGGATCTTTTGCCAAAATGTTCTCATTTTCGTCTTCTTCCTCTAAGTCTTCTTCTTCTGACTCGTCGGCGTCCTCTTGCACGTCCTCCAAGGCCTCTTCCTCATCGAACCCTGCGATATCCTCCAGGTCGTCTTTCTGAGAAGCCTTTGGACCCTTCTTTCTGATCTCTGGATGGTCGCTCTTCAAAAGTGTGAGAAGAGCGTTGTAGGCTTCTCTGTTCTCGCCGTTCTTGTCAGGCTGGTTTGAAGGAGCTTCAATCTCAACTTCTTCAGGCTCGGACTGTTCAACATTCTCCTCTTCTTGCTCGTCAGCATCTCGCCGAGTGGTCCTTTTGATTTGTCTTAGCTCTTGTCTCCCATATTTGTGTCTTGGACGCTTCGAACCGTTCGCAAAGCCCTCGTTGGCGTCTCTTTTGGGCATCTTGGGAAGTAGCTAGTAGTGAAGGTGATGAGATGAGGAAGTGCAGGACCCTACGATAGAGTGGCTGCAATCAAGGTGTTTGTTAGTAAATTTGATTTTGAATTTTAAAGGTGTTTTGCAAATCGATTACGAAAAGCAAGAAGATGGATTAATTTTTTTTTTTTCAAATCAGATCCGTAGTTGGTGCTTGAAATGGACAGTGCGATGAGAAATAATGGTTGCAAATGGACTGAGAGAACTACGAGACAAACTCAAAAATGTACCAAAAAGGAAAAACTCCGACTAATTGAAAAAAAGTGTTTGATTTTGGGTAATCATGATCTGCTCTGTTGATTTGGAAGCTACTCCTTTGATGTAAACGTGGGTTGGCCTAGGTGCCGTTAAGAATTGCCGATCGTTCAGCATTGGGCACATTGCACTCGATTCCAATGAACAGTAGAATATCCCTGAAATCTGCACTTAACGAGAAACAATGTACCAAATGGTAGAGTCAGAATGCCTGGTTGCAAAACCAATGGGCGATATCTGAGAGGCTTTGAACTACACCACGAATAAGAGAGGAAGCTGCAAAGCGGTAATTACTTCTTTCTCTACGGGTTCCTTCAGTAGAGGACAAGAATCACAGAAATAAGTAAGGAAAGACATATCGCCCTTTTTGAGCTCATCGTGTGCTGCTTTGGAGTAAGCACTGCCTGTGGCGCCAATGCATAAAATAGTGCTTCTGAACTTGAGAATAATCTTTGTCATGCTCCAAAAGTTTCCAAATAAAAATTTGCTGCAATTGCGTACGATATAAAAATATCAATCGTGTGGAAGACACATTACCAAACTGGGCGATCTCCAGGGGTTACTCTAAGTCGCGTCCCATCTGTGGATCCTCCACAGTTAGCCGCCCGGACCCAGTTCCCTTATTACTCAGATCAAGACTTCATAGGTCCAGGGGAAACTCGATGCAAGAAATTTTATTTTCTGCAATTGAGAATAACCAGGTTTCTGTTCTATTGTACTTCTCAACTTCCTATTTTGACGATCATGGTTTGTCCTCGGTTGTGCATTCCTCGTCAACTGGCTGCAAACACCTGTCAAGTCGATTTGCACCTAAGCTCTCAGTTTGGGTCACCAGCTTATAACGAAGTCTGAAAACCATACCCAATCCATTTGATTGTTACCTCTCACCTGGTAGCCTGAGGTTTATGTTATTTTTACATTGTGCTGGTCGCACAGGCTTAATGGAGATCTACATTTCCATGAGGCCACGAAGTCGTAAAGGTGCCACGCCTCTCCTTCAAAACTGCAAACACCTCGCTGCTGTTTCTTGAAGGAAAAGTTTCCAAATTACCTACCAAATTTCTGTTTTGACTGACAGCCAGCCTCATTTTGTATACACCCGTTATTCTGAAACCTAGCCCGCTCGGGAGGCCTGCACAGCAAATTCTCCCTACATCACCACCAACTACACCTTGTTATGCGCCGAGTAAGAAACCTCGTCAAGTCGCTATTTCTGATAGCCTACTTGGCGCTTATAGTGCTCACGGTGCCACTAGCGTTCGACCTAGGTGGCGTTGACTGTGGCCTCACATACTCCCTCACCATCCTACTGTTATATTTCATCTTGACATCCATACGCCTTTTGGCCCGTCGTTATGCTGTGCTCAAGCTCCTTGTGCCCTTGTATTACGCTCAGCATGTCTTTCTACCGAGCATCTTGATGTACGTGATTCTGTGGTGCCAGAATGAGCGCCATTTCACCGTTGTGGCCATATGGCGCTATATTTTGGTGCATCTGACCCCAGTCTTCACCATAGCCGAGGGCTTCTGCTCCTTGCTTTTGCTTCAGGCGGTGTCGCAGACGTTGCAGTGGCTCACGTTGTACAAGTCTGACAGCTGGCTCTTTGTATCCTTGATCGGTTCGGGCTTCACCATTACAGGAGCATTGTACTTTTTGTACAGAATTTACGTCTTGCCCTTCACCATTGAATTGGGCTCCGCATCGCTCCTTGGGTCCTTCCTCACATTGACTGTCGGCCTTGGCTTCTACGGCATCGTTCTGGGTAAAGGTTCCATGATCGAGTCCTCCTTGTTGTTTGCCTACATTGTTCGCTGCATTTATGAGATGTTCCCGCTTCTCTCCGACAACGCCGCCGAGACACTTACCCACTTGTTCACGCAAACGAAGATTAACTTGCAAAACGAGATCCCCAGACTTCCTCCGCCCCTCACCAACACCATCCTGGCGGTGCTTCCGTTCTTGGCCCACAACTTGCCTGGTTCCTTCAAGACCATTTGGGATTTCTTTCTTTCCCTGGCCGAGAAACTCACCTTGCCACTTGTAGTCAACTTGGCCTATCGCATTGGCGTGTTTTACGCCGCCACAAAGATCATTCCGTCTTTGTATCATAGGCTACCCTATTCGCCGCCTAGAACACCGCCCCATATTGGCTCTCGCCTGTCATCGCTGAGCTCCATCTCACCCATCTCCCTGCAGCAAGAGGAGAAGCGCAAGGTGCCCCGTCTCAACAGACCTAGATCGGCGCCTTCTACCACCATCAGCTTGATTTACGCTTATTCTCCATGCATCATCATCGCAGTTTACACTCACATGATGCTTCTGTACAATGGCGAGCTCGGAACCGAGCTTAAGCTTTGGGGCTGGTGGGCTAGTGCTCCCAAAGATATGGTGATCATTGTTCATCCTTGGCAATTCTGGAATTGGGTCAAGATGGGCACTACACTTTTGCTTTACATGGCTGAATTGTCTGGCGACTCTAGCTCTGCTATGACCAGCCATTGGCAGGTTGACTAAACTGCCTCACATCTCGCGCATGTTTGCTTCTCAATGCTGTACTATAGGTTTTATTTAAATTTTCATTGGCATTCTGTAGCCTACCATTTCAATAAAGTGATTTTGTAACATGTCTAGTCAGAAAATTTATGCAACTCTCGTCCACGAAAGAAAACCAGCCATCGTTCCAGACTGTGAAATCCTCTCAGAGCTTGACTCTATGTTTGCTTTGGTATTTCATCATGAAACAAGCATGTCTCAAAACCACTGTACCCAAATGACATCTACAGAATGAAGCCCGGCACATTTGACTGTGCAAATGTCTCCTCTCAGACATCGAGCTTATAGAAAGAGTGACGTTCATAGACAAGAGTGAGCTCCATTGGGTTAGCCAGATACTGACCATTTGTTATACCTATCGTTTAGGACGCACCGTCCCATTGCCGAATGACAAAACTCAACGAGGAAACACCTGAGCGTCTCAGAAGTGTTGAACCCTGGCAATGCCCTTGAGCCAAACCCTTCATTGAACAAATCAGACCATGGTCACAACATCCCCAGCGCCCACCACCAAACGGCCTTACGCTCAAAGGAGCCGGCAATTATGGCTTTATGTAAGCGGGAAACATTGCTAAACAAGGAGCTTCGTCCAACCAAAAATTTGACAGACATTACCAAAAAGCACAACCTCAAATCTTCGACGCCAAAGTGAAAACGGAAGAATTCGTCCGCTGCGTTTCCGCTGTTACGGCCGGAGACTTTCCCCGAAGCATTGGCCCGGAGGCCTGGCGAAATGCCATTGTGTAGGCTTCGAAAACAAATCGTTGTCTATGAACGTAAAGAAAAAAAATCAAAAAAGCGATGCCCTGCGATTATATAGTAAAGATCAAGCGTGCGCGAATCAATCTACATCACCAGAATCAAACCAATTTCTGTAACGTAACGAGAAGATCGGTTGGAACTACTTGAGTTTAGTTGTTTTATTCGATTCCTTGGCGAGGAATCCCAACTCTTTCTTTTTGAAACCGACGGAGCTTGGAAACGAGATCAGCAATTATTTGGAGGCTATTTTGCAGCCATGAACTGTGCCTCAATTGGCAACACTGATTCGAGAAATACTGATTGCTTTAAACTTAAGGTAAACTAGAGAGATTATAACGTTTTTGCAAGGCCCGAACGATATTTAAATGCTTGTATTTACTAGTATTAGCTGTAGCTCTCTCAGTTTTGGCCCTAGGATGCTCAAAATCTGTAGTAATACTGATAACAAGCCAAAAAATACGAAAAAAGTATCAATTTTCGATATCAGAAACCAAACAAAGTTTGTAGTTAATATATTAACCTACCCTTGCCATCTATAGCAACGCCGGTCTAGTATAGTGGTCAGTACAGTTCGTTGTGGCCGAACAGACCCAGGTTCGATTCCTGGGGCCGGCAATTTTTTTTTAGCCCGCACTCTTATCGAATTACTATATACCTCTCATTCAACCACAACTTTTATGGTAGCAGAACCAGTTCAAGCGGCTACTGAGGCTCTCAGACTGGCCTACACATCAGCATCCAGCTTTTTATCATCCCTGCTGCAGACAGTCCACGAATCCCTACCCGATCTGGACTCGGTACTCAACCTGAAGTTCTTCAATATCCTAAGATCAGACACAGCTCCAGCTCCTGAACCAAAGGAAAAAGCTGTTGACCGATTGATTCATCAAATCCAAAGACACAAGACTGCTGCTCTCTCCGCATTGGCCTTGTCCGTCACAGCAACAAGCTACTTGATCTACAGAAACGTGAGAGAGCCACGGATAAGGAACAAACCTAGAAGGAGGGTACCGAAACTAGCAAATGGTGCCCGTCGAGAAGTTGTTGTTGTGGTAGGCTCACCTACAGAGCCGATGACTCGGTTGATTGCGGTGGACTTCGAAAAAAGGGGATTTATTGTCTACTTGACTGTCCTTGATGACAAAGACTACAAATACATCCAATCAAACCAGATCACTGATGATATCAATTACGTGAACTTGATGGAAGAATCGTATGAGGCTCAACTAGGAAAGTTCAGAAAAGTGCTAGACGTTGATGTTGTTCCATTTCCTGGAGCGGAGGCTCATCACCTTCGACTCTCAGCGGTTGTTTTCGCCCCCACCCTATATTTTCCACTTGGTCCTCTTGAGAACACGCCCGATTCAACTTGGCAAAGACTGCTTTTCCGGTTAACCGTGACAACCAGGCTTCTATCCCTGGGTCTTTTGGATATTGTGCGTGATCAAAAGAGTAGCATAATCGCCATTGTGCCCAGTATCGTCAGCTCTCTCCGGATGCCGTATCACGGTCCAGAGTCGGTTTTACAAAACAGCATGAAAGATGTTTTTAGCACACTTTCCAAAGAGCTAAGGCCCCAGAATATCAATGTCACGCAGGTGCGTTTGGGGAACCTCAATCTAGCTCCCTCCAAGGCTGCCAGAGCTGAAAGTGTTCCCCTGATCGTGGAAGCGGAGGTCCGCTCTTGGAGTGAAGACATGCGCAGTGCCTATGGGTCCGACTTTCAGAAATCTCAAGCTAGCCTGAGGCCTATGGGCAGCTCGTTCAAGAACAAGGGCCTCCGTGAATTGTATCACACGCTATACGACTTGATCTTTTACAACGGTCGTGCACCGTCTGTGGTTTATTGTGGAACAGGTGCTCGTGCTTACGACAGACTTGCGTCCTTCTTGCCTTACTCGATGAGTGAGATGATCTTCTAACAGCTATCAGTGAATCAGTTGACGTGGTGGAAGAAGTGCATGGTAAATATCTTAACAAAAGGTTGCTGAAAAACTACACCAAGATCCTAAACGTCTTAATGGAATGGTTGTCTAACTTGAATCTATCGGACTAGCTAATTAAACCCCCAGCCTCTTTGCACAAAGCATAAAATTCGCTCGACTCATCGTCCAAAAGTATTTGAGGATGGTCAAATTCCTTGACTTCTCCCTTGTCAAGCACCAAAATTCTGTCACTATCCATGACAGTTTCCAAACGATGCGCAATTGTGAGAATGGTCTGATCCTTGAATTCATTCCTGATTGTCTCTTGAATAATCTTGTCCGTCTGGACATCAACGGCAGCGGTTGCCTCATCAAGTACAAGAATTCGAGACAGCTTCAAAAGCGCACGGGCTAAACACAATAACTGCTTTTGTCCTCCGGAGAGATTCGAGCCACCCTCCAGGATCTTCACATCAAGCCCATCCTGATGGCTTTCACTCTCCTGTTCAGGTTTATCACCATCGTTGAAAGTCTTTTCGAAATGTGACTTCAAATGTGCCAACTCTAAAACCCTCCACAAATCCTGGTCGTCATACTTACCCCATGGGTCTAAGTTTTCCCTTACAGTTCCAGCGAACGCGTGGGCATCTTGTGGAATGATGTTGAGTTGCTTCCTCAAGTCATATAAGCCAATCTTGCTGGTATCGATGTTATCGATAGAAATTCCCCCCTCGTTCGCCTCAATGATGCGGAAGATTGCCAGTGCAAGAGAGCTCTTACCAGCTCCAGTACGGCCGACTATTCCAATTTTCTCAGCTGGTTTGATGGTGAGGTTGAGGTTGTTTAACACTGTGGGAAGTTCGGGCCTATAGCTTGTGGAATACTCCTTGAATTCAAGAGATCCATGAGGTGGCCAATCACGCTTGGGTCTGTGGCTCTCGATGATTTCGGGAGCTTCTTGTTTCATATCCATGTACTCAAGAATTCTTTCAACTGCAACCAAATTTACTTCAGCGTTGGACGAAAGCTGTATGATTGTGTCCAAAAGCAGTGTCGAAGACACTGAATAGGTAACAAGGAAACCAACCATACCAGGAGAGAGTGGCTTCGATGTGAACAACGTGAGAAAACACAACAAAGTGGTCACGAAGACGACATTGGCGGACAATGCCAGAAGCCGTACTGATAACCAATTACTGACATTCAGCGCAACGTACGATGTCTTTGTAGAATCGTCCAACATTCTTCTGCCAAGATGGGTGAATCGGTCCGTCTCGTTATAAGCTCTCAAAGTCTCGACTCCCTCGATAGACTCCTGGAAGTGAGACACAATGGGGCTTTTTAAAGCGGCTTCAAGACGTTTAAGCTCTCTGGAAGCTGGGATGTACCAATTACGGTAACCTCTGAATAAAATCACCAGAATCAAAAGCACAATCGAAATGATTGGCAAGTTGACCACCAAAGTGAAAAACTGCACCAAGGCCAGTACTGAGAGCTGGATTAGAGCAGCGAGCGATCCAACAACTGCATTGTCCGTGACAGAAATATCGGCGGTGAAGCGGTTCAAAATGCGTCCAGTAGGAGTGGTGTCAAAGAATGACATCGGAGCCCTAACAACATTATGGGCGAGGCGATCGTGGAAATACCTAGAGCAATTGATGATGCAGTAAGCCCACAACACATAGGTAGCGACCAAACTGGTAAGCGTTTGAAGAACTCCGCAGGACGCATACAACGAAAGATAGAAGGGGAGACGGACATTTGAACCTGCTTTCAAATTTCTCTCTGACCACAGCTTTAAGATCAAATTGCTTGCTATTCCAAGAAAGCTTGCCAATATGATGAAACCCAACCATAAAGCAACGTTTTGAAATTTGCAGGCCTTCACCAATTTGGAGACGACGCTTTTGTTGATTCCTCCCTTAGCTCTATTCTCGTCACTGGTATTTTCAGCCACGTCTTTGTGGACGTCGTCCTCAATGTCATGATCGAAAGATTCAAATGATGCTCTTTCCAAATCTTGGTAGCTGGTGACGGTTTCTAAGACATCAGGGGTGATAGGGGCATCTGTTTGGTCGATCGAGGAAAGCACTTCGGAATTCAATGTCTGAGGCTGAGACACTGGCTTCACATCAAGGGAGGCGTCGGCTTCTGAAGCAAAGTTGTCATTCTTCTCCTTTGCAGAGAACTCACTGATGAGCTGTGCTGTCTCTCCGCCCTTACTTTTGAGACTTGCGAAAGAACCATGCTCAGTAATGGAACCGTCTTTGATAAAATAAATGGATTTTGCCTCTTGAAGTACTTTAACAGAGTTTGTAGCAAGAACCACCGTTCTTGAAGCCAAGAGTCCCTTGGAAGACAAGACAGCATCAATAATTTTCCTTCCAACGTAAGAGTCCACTGCTGATAAAATATCATCAAGCAAATAGATATCAGCTCTGGCATAAACTGCCCTAGCCAACGATAAACGGGCCTTTTGACCACCAGAAAGTGCAATTCCTTTATCACCAACTATTGTTTCGTCGCCATTTGGAAGAGTCTGAAGATCAGGGCGCAATTGGCAAGCATCTATAGTCTCATTGTAAAAGTCCTCGTTGAAGCGCTTGCCGAATAAGATATTTCCTTTGATTGAAGAATTCAAAATCCAAGCATTTTGCGAACAGTAAGCAACGCTTCCAGCAACTTTTAGATAGCTACTGCCTTCAGAAATTGGAAGCTCTCCGATGATGGATTTCAACAACGAGGTTTTTCCAGAACCGACTTTACCCACCAAGCAAGTTAACTCCCCCACCTTAGCGGTGAAGTTGATATCCTTCAACGCAAAATTTGACTCAGGTCTGGGGTTCTCGGCGTCTTTCTTTTTCCAAAAAAATGAGGCGTTTTTGATAGAAACGGCTTCATTTTTTTTCTGAAGAGATTTTTCTGAGCGCTTCACCTGTTTCTCCAACTCACTTAAGCCAAAGAAGTACTCCACTCTTTGCAGGTAGACTTTCACTTGACCCAACTGTATCACAAGGAATGGAATAGAGACTATGGGCAAAAGAAGCTTATTGAATAATGCCAAGGACGAGAATATCAAGTCAGGTGTGAGTGTCACCTTACTGTAGATTCCAAAGGTACCATATACTCCCACGCTGACCCAGTCTGGGATACTTTGCCAAATCAACAGGCAAGCAGCCACTTTAATCCCGATCTGAGCCTGAGTCTGAAGCTCTTGGCCATTTCTTATTTCGTGGAGTCGTTCGAGCATGGGTTTCTCCCAAGCATAAAACTTCATGGACTTGATTGCATTGAGAATCTCGGAAGTAAGCTTGACTCTCTTATCCTTTTGCACCATCAACGCCTGAACCAAGGAAGATATAGAAGCACTTATCAACGAAGATATCGGTGACAACACCAACATGACTAGAAGCCCAGCCCACGACGATTTACCGAGAAGTTTGTATAAAGCTGCCAAGGTAAGAAGTAAACGCAAGGGGATTACAACAATTGATGAGATCTGCTTAAGCCACAGCGAGAGATTTGCAATGTCCATAGAGACGAGGTTCACAATCTCTCCAGTTGTTTTCTCCTGCCGTGCCTCAGGTGAAAGATTCAACACTTTATCGTAAACAGCGGCCGTCAAGGCAGAACGAATAGAAAGACGAATTCTTGTGAAGATAATTGAGCTTTGGGAAGATACAAGGAACTCGACGACGGAGAGAAGATAAATTGCGACTCCCAAGGCAATACCTTGAATAAGCGGCGGCTTGTGTTCCAGATCAGGAATTAGCGCATAGAAGGTGAAGAATTTGATGAATGCCTGAATCGCAAACGGCTTCACAATGGAAGCTGCCACCTCAATCAAACTAAGCAAAGTAGAAACAACGGTTTGATACCAGTGCAACTTAAAAATCACAAGACGAAGTGATGTTTTCACTTTTCTGTCCTCTTCAGTGGGCTCAACCGATTTTGAAATACGCCTGTCTCTCCACCAAGTAGCACGTTTTACTTCGGCCTGCCACGATTTCTTAAATTCCTTATAGAGAAGACCGTTTGACAAATCAGCGTCTATAGCAGGAACCTGATTCTTTCGCAACTCTTCTGACGAGTGAATCTCGCTGATCATTGGGTTGACCCAAGTGAAGAAAAGAAGTTCGAGAGGATTTCTCACAGTGGATGTGTTCCAGCCATTCAAATCGAAGAGTTCAAGAAGCTGTTTAGAAGGCTTGTATAATAAGGACTCCAAACCAAGGGCTGCTGTCGACAATAAAACCAAAGTGATTTCAAAAGTCAAGACTAGAGTCTTGTCGCTCTTGTTCACGAACACTTTGTAAGGCGAGAACAAGTCGGTAACGGTGATTACTGAAAACAACAAAATAGAAGCCGCCCAGTAAATGAACAAAGAGCCATGTCCCACAATTGAGCGAGTCGTTTCCAAAAAGTGGAGTGGTAAAGCCAAGAAGAGGGTAACCACCAGCAGTGCCAAAGCAGAGAGGGAAATTACCGATTCTCCACTGACGTGGGATGATTTATAAGCCAACACGAAAAGAACCAACCCGTGGATCAAGGCAACGGATATTCTCACAAAGTGAGAAGCACCGACGCTTCTCAATGAAAAGCCGTTACCAACGGAGTGTTTGATACTGAAGGGCCCAAAGCGGTTGTTGGTGACCACTTGGGCAATCTGGATCAACAAGAATAAACCAAGACTCCCCTGAGCAGCAGTGGTGACTGAGGCTAGGAAACATGGATTTGGTGCACTTTTGTGTGGATCGACCAAAGGCTCGAGGATGGAGTCCCTAAAGCTGCAATGACGGTGTTCTGACAATGGATTAGACATACCGAGAAGCTGCGGTGAACTCAATAGCAGTAATAAGACGGTGGATGAATTTTTCAGATTCAGGATACCACGCTGGATTTCCCATGGTTGTATACTCCATGCGGGCCACGTCTAGTATGCAAGTGGACGCCCCAGATGCCGGGCTGCTTAAAGGAATTTGGACCGACCGTGGATTATTGTGATTCTATCATTGAAAGGGATATATCCGTTTGAGATCAATGTGCATGAGCCATGAAGCAGTTTTGTAGAAGGGTCGTACGTCAAAAAGCCTCTTCAAGCGCCTGGCCTGCATTGTTAGCCTACCTGTCAAACTCTGCATATCTTCACTACATTTCTGGTAAAAGCTGTCAATCGGCGAAATTAAAGCAGAATTGAAAAAATAAGTCATAGACCACTTAGAAACACGTTTTCAGAAACATCTGAAATCTGACCGCCAGGGTCCTATCATAGCTGTGGCTCTACAGGGATAGCTATCTTGCCGTGCGGCTGTGCGGCTCTCCGCTCACCTTTCAATGGAATAACCGACAATGTCAAAAACGCTTCCTCAATTTTTTTTTTTTGTTGTTTTCAAGGCTGGTTTTGCCACCACTCAAAAGAATCGCAGTTTACAAGTCGGACGTGTATTTCCCTGTCACCGTCACCTGAAGTCTAGATAGTCTCACTGTCAAGCTACTGCGGTGTGGCTCTCGTGTTCTTGCCACCCTATTCCAATTAGGTTTGCCACCAGCTGTGCATCTAATTTGCTAATGCTATAAATTAAAGTACAAATTTCATACGTCTAAAGCATATTCAATGCAAAACTTTACTTTCTACTTCGCAGGTTCAGACGATCCTCCGAGCTCTTCGCCTCATAGTACTGAGAAACAAAAGGAGCTTCAAGATTTGATGAGAGGCGTCGATGGAAACACACCTACTTCTGTCGAGACAAGGGGCAACATAACCTCTGGTAATATCAATCACGGTTTTGTCAGAGTGAAGTTTGCCTTTTGCATCGAATGAGCGACAGCTTACAGAGTTATGCTTACGTATAGATTGAATAGATGATAAAGTTCGTTTAGTGCAATCTTGGTAAACCGGAAGCCTGTTCGCGGGCATCGTAGAGACGACAAAAGCACATAGTCTCAAAACTTCTGAGTTTGGATCTCAGAATAGGAAGTATGGAGAGCTTTGGAGGGATCAGGCAGTTTTCATGCCTAAACATAGAAGTCGGTTGTACCCGGAGAATCGTGACACTGTAGTCAAGCAGCACTCAAACACTCACTATTTTACATGAATCTCTTCCGCTGATTCGCTTCCTGCCATATTTGACCCCAAAAATGACCCGAAAAAGCCGGTTGATAAGGAGTGGCATGAACTGCGTGTTTTTTCGAATAAGCAACCGTGCATTATCAAACGCAATTACAAGCAGCGCAATTTAGGCAAGGTTAAATGGGTTGATAGAGAGCCGTGCGTTATCTATTAGCTATGGCACTATGGAGATAGAGCTCTAATAACTGCTTTTTCAGATAATGGGTAACTTTCATGGAACTTTGTTCAGCACAGCTCATCCTGCTGATTGAAGTTATGAATTAAATTAGAGAATGTAAACCGAATCACAGACCCATGACGTAAAATGGACCAAAGCAGCGCAATATCGAAGCCCATTAGCAGGCTCTCGATCTCGAAACAAGAGCTGTCACATATGCAAATAGTGAGACGTGCGTTGGTCTCTCATGAACCGCAGCCACGTTCTCCAAGGCTCCTTCACTACAATCAAAATTTTGCCTTTCTACATATCGTCAAAACGATCTTCTAATTACTTCTATCAATTATTAAAAGGCGTATCCCTCGGGTCTGGGGATTTCCTTGGAAAGATGTGGGCATCCCTTGTTATCGCAGCCTTTTTTGGAGACGTTAGTCGCCCACCATGAGTAGTTCTTTGATCCACCGGTGTAAACGACACAGAAATAGATGAGGATGGCGGCTATGGCAACACCACTATCCAAGGCAACAGAGCTGACCAAGTTGTACTTTCTCCACCAGGCTGTGTACTTACGGTGGATGAAGTAGTTGAAAATAGCAGCGGTGAAGAACCAGGTTGAAAAGTTGTAGCCTGTCACACCAGGAATATTGGCAGCACCACCAAAGAACAAAATAGGGTCAAAACGCTTCACCCAGCTATTGGGTCTAAACTTGCACCATGCCCAATGGGCAATTGGCACCAAGGCACCCACAAGGAAAAACCACAAAACCCAGGAGTACCTGCCTCCAGGAGCAAAAATTTCACTACCAAACAAACCCCACATTGATTGGGTGTTGAATGCTGTTTTTTGTTTTCTGCAAACCATGTTATTTCTGGCGTTGGAAGTGCAGATGTCGTCAATGTGATGCAACAAGTACCCAGTGACTGAAGGAGACACAAGCGATGCCCAGATTCCGGCAGCGAAAAGAAGGATCATGACTTGTTTTGGTGGAACTCTCATGTAGTGGCCCATTTTGGCACTCTGGGCCATGTGCATGCCGTGCTGAATGATACTGAATCCAAAGGAGTAGAAGTAGAGCAAAGTATATGAGTTGCCCTTATACCAGTTAGCACTGACAATCTCGAAAAAGCTCTGCAATGACACAATGGTGTTGGCTCTGGCTTCAAGAAGGGAAAGGGGAACGAACATTACAGAGCCAATCAAAACAGAAACAAAGTATCCACCTGCGTCAATTGGAGAGTCATTCCAACCTTCTGAGAACGCAAAACCGAGAGCCAAACCAACAACGACCATCACAAGATAGATCCATTTGGGGAACTCCTTGTATCTCTTCACTGCCTTGTTGAAGATATCCTCGTGGTTTGATCTGTTAACCCATGGACCCCAGATTTCAGAACGGAACTTCAAAGCGGTGTGGACAACAAGAGAGGAGAAAACGGCAATTCCGAGAGCCAAACTCATCAAGAATGCCACAGGCATGAAAGCTTGGGAATAGTCGTCGAACTTTTCTTTGTCGAGTTTCCAATCGTCATTCACAACCCTGGAAAAATTGTACTGCTTTCCGTGCATATCGAAAACCGAGTTACTCATGATTGGCATGTGGGCGGTTTCCCAGTGGTTCTGGTAGTAAAGACCAGGCATGACGATCCAAATCCAAAAGACGAACGAGGCAAACATGGAGGCCACAGCGAAGAAAGGTGTAGTCAATGGGTTGTTGATCGAGGTGATCTGGGTCCAATCCAAAGTGAGAGGGAAGAGACCAAGACCAGTCTTGACGCCAAACACCTGAGAAAGTGCTGCACTGTCTGGTCTGATCCAGCTGATCCAGGCACCAATGGTGGAGAAGAATGGGAAAATCAAATCAGGGAACCAATAGTAGACAAAAGAGCACACAAAGACAATGACAAAGAAGATCCCACGAGGCATCTTCCAGCCGTGTACCACTGGGTTGTCTCTGGAGTAGATGGTCTTGAACAAGGCGATATTGGAAAGCACACCAGGCCAGACTCTTTCGGCAGGTGTGATCATAACGTCTCTGAAGAGGCCCACAAGACCAACAGCGTGGACGTAACACGATATGTTAAAAAGAATCTGGCGAGGAATACCGATATCTTTCTTGAAATACTTGGTGTCTTCGATGACCAAGTTGTTGACCAATCCAGCACTGATGACGACATTGCAGAAAATGAAGATGGAGGTGTGTTCCTTGTAGTTGAAAGGACCCGGGTTCAAGCTGAAGGAGAGCCCCCAGGGAAGTGGAACAGTCCATCGAGGAATGATGTAATGCCATGCCTGTCCGATTGGCCACGAGATAACCTGGATGACCACCACGGCGATATTGATCGTTGGGAATCTCATATTGAAAAAAGCATCCACGCCAGCCACGAATGCTCCAAGGCAGATGGCCATCACCCACATACGCAAGGTTAACGCAGGTAACTCATCATCGTCGTCCATCAAAATGGCCATAACATCACCCTGGTTGAACTTGAAACCGTCATCGGTATCCAAGGTGCTTTTGGACTCCACTGCTGCTAGAGCATGATCTTTGTTCTCATCGTCGGTAGGGAAATCATCACTCGAGCCAAAATTGTGCTCGTCACTCAGATGCTGATGGTATCTCTCATCAGAAGAGTCCTTTTCGGTGGTATCTATGGGAGCCATGGCTACTGATGCATCAGATTAGATTGCGGCATCTGTTGGTGCTTTATACATCGGGCTCGATCAAGCATCATCTAACCGGCGTCCCGATCGGCTTCTTCATGTATGCCACTGATTGGACGTGGAACGCACCGGCCTGTACCCGGGCCTCAGATTCAGCTGATTAACCCTTCATTGCAGCTGCAGCAAGTAGCTTTTCATTTCATTGGCCGGTTCTTTTTTCCACCTTGCATTTGGCTGTTACACATAGGGAGCTGTCTCGGAACGAAAATGCCTGTCAAATGCACCTTGCGGTGTGTATGCACAATCTGTCGTCAGAGCTGTGCATTGGCACATTTGTGCATGAGATCTGCGCAACGGTTTGTTATGACATCCCTTCTAGGTGCCCATTGAACCCTTGATTGCTTCATGGCTTTGTGGAACAAATGTGATGTAGCTCTTTGAAGCTTCGAGCTGGCCAGCGAACTCCGAGTCAGCGATTAGATTGATTTTTTCACTGTCGAATAGCCGTCTTTGCGACCTACGGCCGAGAACAGTTTATTGGCTTAAAGTGCTCAAATCTTGGCAAGAATTGGAGCCAATACCGTCCGGGCTCGTCGGCTCCAGGTCTCGGAATATGCGTCATTTCACGCATAAACCGAAGTGTTTGTGTGGTCGGTGCCTCTCGATATGCGGTATCTCGGTCAGATATCAAGAGATCCGAGCTACCGTGCGGCGGCTTCCGAGACCACACATAACAAGGTGATACTTCCAAATGAGGAAGTGCCCCCGCGACCTCACATCAGTCTTGACACCCGTCAAGCTGCACTATAAAAAGGTCAATTATCCGGTCGTTCTTTTGAATGGGCAAAAAAAATCAACTTCAGTGGTAGTAAAGACGGCGGCTGAGCGAGAACGCAAAAGTGGGATTACGCATCTTGAGAGATGGCTATGACGTAGCCGATGAGCATATTTCACCACAGTGGTCTCGTCCTTTTACGTTTAATGAATGCAGAGGGGTTGTCTAGAAGATTGCTCACGGTGCTGAATTGGATCGGCGGTTGGCGTGTTTAGTTTCAACCTAACTGGCTAAACGCATTACTTGTAATATTTGATCAACGTGCTTTGTAGTGCAGCACGCTCATAACGGTCCATGTGGTCAGCTGCGGATAAGTAGGAATTACGGGAGCAACTACCATCAATAACGTGGAACCGTGCCGCTAACCAATGAGTAAGATAAGATGAATAATTCGATTCTAGTGTGTGGACCTACAGCGGTGCAAGTGAATGAATAAATTGGTTACCGAAAAGTTATATTAACCAAATAGTTCTGCTTTACTTGTGCAACAAATAAAGGGTGAAGCACCGGCATTCGTTGCTTCCGACCCATGTACTCCAGTTGATGCTCTGTGGCTCGAAGTGTTCTTTTGCGCCCAGTGTGCTGAAACCTACTAATAATATCTCTGACTCAACGAGAAAACAAAAGAGTTCGATGTATCATGATCCATAGAGCCAACAAAAATGAGAGATTGTTTTTATCGTTCTCTTAACATTGTCTTGACCTAGCTCAGCGGCACAGTTTCCTCAACTATAGTCTCCACCGGTATGCTAAATACATCCATCCAATTCATGAGCGCAATTTAGCTGTCTTACAAAGCAAGCTTACACCAATTTGGATTGGTCCCCAGGATTGACAGCATAACTATTAAGCCTCTCTTTTAAAACCTTACTGTCTCATTACTGTCTTGAGTGTAGCTTAAGGCGATATACATGGAATTTATGCTGAAAGGGAAAATGATGGGAAAATGATGGGAAATTGGTCTTGAGATAAGGATCCGGGGGACCAGCGTCATTGTGAAGATAAGGATCAGAAATTTTATCAGATAAGGCACAGAGCTCGGTTCGGTCCATTTTGTGCCTTTAGATTAGCCCCTGAGTCCTAGGCTCGTGTGATTGATAGGAATGCCCAATAATCAATGAAAATACTGATTTTTCTTCTCCCCGTCTTCTATTAGCTATCCCCGAGATGTCAGCTTTTCACCCCTCAGATAACAGGTGGATCACAAGCTGTGATTGGTGGATTTCTTATCATTAGTCACCCCTCACTAGAAGTTTTCTGATTTACAAATGATATCTACAACAATGGAAAGTTCCTAAATGGGCCATTCGGCCTAGCCATGCGTTAAGACTCTAGATAATGAAATGAACAAATTAGATAATGTAGGTTGTGTAATCAAACAAGTTTTTTTTTGTGGGAAATGACTTCCTCATGCAAGCTCTAGCGTATCTACTCCGACTCTCTAGCGTACTCCTTGTACATGTCAGCGTCAGGGATAGCACCGCAAATGGTCTCAACCATGATACCAGTGACTAAGTATGGGTCAATGTTAGAAGCTGGTCTTCTGTCCTCGAAGTAGCCGTAGCCCTCCTTGGCGACAGATCTTGGAATTCTGACGGAAGCACCTCTGTTAGCAACACCAGAGGAGAAAGCCTCCATGGAAGCAGTCTCATGACGACCAGTCAATCTCATGTCGTTATCAGCACCATAAAGCACCAAGTGCTCCTTGTGTCTCTTAGCCAACTTGGCAAGGGCGTCCTCGATGTACTTCATGCCACCGGCTTCTCTCATGCTCTTGGTCGACACGTTGGTATGGCAGCCAGCACCATTCCAGTCGCCAGCCAAAGGCTTAGGGTGGAAGGAAATCTTCACACCAAACTCCTCGGCGACTCTTTCAAGAAGGAAACGGGCCATCCACAACTGGTCGCCCATCTCGATACCTAAGCATGGACCCACCTGGAACTCCCATTGGGAAGGCATCACCTCGGCGTTAATACCGGAGATGTTGATGCCGGCGTGCAAGCAAGCTCTGTAGTGAGCCTCGACAACGTCTCTAGCGTAAACCTTACCGGTACCAACACCACAGTAGTAAGGACCCTGTGGAGCTGGGAAACCGCCCTTGGGCCAGGCGTAGACATTGTCGTACTGGTCAAACAAGGTGTATTCCTGTTCGAGGCCAAACCAGACCTGCTCGTCGGCGTGGGCAGACATCAACTTAGCGCACTCATGTCTGTGGTTGAACTTGTTAGGGGTGCCGTCGTTGTTCCAGCACTCACACAAGACAATAATGTTGTCGCCCTTTCTGAAAGGGTCGGGATAGAAAGCGACAGGACGGAGATAGATATCCGAATCGTGGCCTGGGGCCTGGCCGGTAGAAGAACCGTCAAAGTTCCATTCAGGCAAGTCCTCAGCGGAAGAAGGTCTTTTACTGAGGGTTTTGCACTTTGATCTGGTGTGTCCGTCGGCATCGACCCAGACGTATTCAGCAAGAACCTTGCCGTTTTGGTTCAAGTCAAAATACTTAGCTAGGATGGCGGTTTGTTCTGTGATGCCGGTCATGATGCAAAATAAATTAAAGTATAAGTGAGTGTTACACAGAAGGGAGGTGAGATGGGCGGAAAACCAAGCTATTTATATAGCGAGTGCCCAGATGCTAGGCGGGCATGAATAGCGGTCTGATAAAGAAAAAGAAACCAAGCGCGGTGAGCAAAAAGCGGCTTGTCTGCAGTATTTGTCCTGATACGACAGGTGTGTCCGGTTCTCGCACCTCTCCTATCCGGATACCGCGGCGGAGCGGTCGCTGGAACCGCCTCGCGAATGTATGCGCAACCCGTTCAGCCGGGTGTTTCTTCCGAATGACATGCTTCTAAGGCCTGGGCTTTGCCGCACCTGTCTTATCCGGACCCGTCTTATCCGGACTTCTTCCTAATCAGCCAACAAAATATCAAACACGAATTTTGAAAGTTTCTCGTTATCGCCAACATGATGGCGGGGTGGACGTCAGGCGGTTTTTTTAACCTTTTCCGTTGTCAATTGAGCCGCCAGGCCATTACTCATATGACGTACTGCATGCAGGCCCCCTCTTATCACCCAATGAGAGCTCTGCGGACGGTATTACTCACAGGACGACCCAAAGCAGTCAATAAGGCTAAATTAGCTGGACCAGCGGACGAAGATAAGGCGGCTGAGGTGACACAAAGAAGAAATCCGGGGACCTTTCACAGGGCCATTCCCGTTCAATTGACATTTGATTTTGTGGGTTTGAAAAATCCAGGGCTTTCTTTTCGTGCAAAGGCTTGGCCTTACTGCTTTAGACACGCAGCACACACTTGCTATAATTTCTTTTCGCAACCACTCGTTTCTGTTGATGACTAGGTTTTGAGCGAATTTCTTTACTCTCTTGTTTATTCTTGCTTCATTTGAAGCTTGCGAGACAAAGGCAGGAAAAAATAAATAAAAATTGTTTTCCGGTTGCCTAACTCTGTCATCTCACATAGCGCGGTGGGCCTCGGTGGACTACCACGACGACGATTGTTCTAAATGCCTCAGATGAGGTATTTTGAATGAGTGATTTAAGCAGAGCCGTTTTGGTCCATTTGTGGTAACTACAATTCGTAAAAAATTGTGTAGATGTTGCTTTCTGATTCAGCCTATGGTAAGCTCTAGGTCGTCAGTTTTGGTTGCAAATGCGGGTTCTATTTTTACCAGTATCAACACACCACTTTCCAGACCAACGCTGGTCTGAAGAGGAGCTGAAGTAAATAGTGTACGACGAGCTTAATCATTACGAAACGCTGCTCAGGGAAATAGCTCTCTGATCAAAAATCCCTCGATTGCGTCTCACTTAGCATTCTACTGATGACATCATAAAATAAGCTCAATTGCGTTAATTGATGGTAAAATTACTACTTCTCTAAGGAAGATTTCCAAAACGTGGACCAAAATACCCTCCTGGAGCTTCAAGGGTGGCATTAAGTCTGGCTGGTCCAATGTAGTCGAGACCCTCTGCGTTGACATTGTTGCCCCACCACGAGATGGACTTATCGTGATATTGCACGGCAAAGAAAATGATGATACTGCTGAAGGCCACACCAGCACTGAGACCTCCGGAAAGGATATAGTTGTACTTGTTCCACCAAGCGAAAAAACGCTTTCTGATTATGTTCATGAAGAAAAATGACGCAATGAAAGAAGGCGTGTAGTAGGACAAATTGTACGGAGACCAGTTCAACATTCCTCCAATGATCAAGGTGGGCTGGAATCTCTGCACAAATTTATTTCTCTTGAACCACTTCTGGATAAACACCACTGGGAAAACAAGAAGGAAACCAATCAAGAAGCACCAACGCAATTCTGGATAGATTCCACTGAAAATCTTCTTTGGACCAATGACACCCCATAACACCGAGGATGAATAGAATGTTGTGGACGATGGACAGGTGAACTTCTGGGGCTGATGTGGGTGGCAGTAATTTTCAATAGTCTGCATGGCAAGGTTCACCACACCCAAGGAGACAAACGAGTAGATGACTGTAGAAATGATCTGTACTCTGAACAAGGCTCTAGGAGGAAGTCTCAAGTTGTGACCAATCTTCAAGTCTCCAAGGAAAATCTGACACTGGCCGTCGATATTGTAACCCAATGCCTTGACAAGCATCAAAGCAAGACCATTGTTTGGAATAGCATACCCAATGATCAACTCCACCAAGACATTCAAGCCAAATTGGAAACCTGTGGTGGCGTAGATGATACTCAATGGAATCAAGAAAATAAAGTTAAGAGCCAAGGCAAAGAAAAGCGACCACACTGGTGTTTCAGCAGGATAGAGCTGGACACATAAAATACCAAAAACAAGTGAGATCACAAGAACTACCATAAACCACCATTCAGGTGTCTCCTTGTATTTGGTCATGGATCTGGAGAAGGGATCGTCGAATCCGTCGTAGGTGGAATTGGATTTTCTTGTGACCACTCTGGAAAGTTGGATGAAAGCATTCTTCAACTGGTCCCACTTCATAATGAGCACATGGAAGAAGGAAAATGGATAAATGAGGAAGAAGGCTCCATAGACGACCAAGGAACCAGCAGAATAGAAAGGCGGGCCGTATGCTTCATAAGCCTCGACATCGAACAAACTGTTCGAGTCAACCACCTGCGTCACCTCGTAGTAGTCGCCTGTGTTGGTAAACAACGAGTTCGAGATGATTGGAATGTAGCCAGTCCACTTGTAGTTGGTGTACCAAAAAGCAGCAGTGATCACCAAAGCTACCAAACCACCGATGTAGAGGTTGAGCTGGGCGTAAAATGGAAGGATCAAGGGATTCAAGAAACTGATGATGTTCCAGTCGAACGTAGTGATTGGGTTCAACCCGAGCCCGCTCTGGCTTCCGGTAATAGCGGCCAAGTCAAAGTTGTTAGGTGAAATCCAAGTCATCCAGTTGAAGGTTGAAAGGGCGGTGAACAAGTAGTCGGGAACCCAATACCAGAGGAAAGAGAGTGCAGTCAGCAAGAAAAAAAAGTTGTATCTGCTGATTTTCCAGCCATTGATGATCTCCTTCTTTTCACCTTTGGTCAAGGCATTGTTCATGGCCATGGTAGGAAGATTAGTAGGCCAGATTGCTGCCTCGGGATACACAACGAATTTCCTCACCATTCCAGCTAAACCAAAGCCCATGAAGTTGGTGAAGAACATAAGGAGGAACTGGTAGCCGAAGTCAACCCAGTCGTTGTTGTAGAACATCTCCATTTTTTGCACCTGAATGTTGCTCACAACGTAGGCTGCAACAGAAGACACATTGTAGCAAATGGTAGCCAACATCTGCTCTTTGTAAGTCCATGGGCCTGGGTTGAGCTCGAATGTAAATCCACGAATGGTGAAGCCCCAGTGAGGAAGAAATTCAGAAAGTTTACCACAAGGGTACACGAAAAGCTGAACCACAGCACTCGACAACGCAATACTGGGCTGTCTGTCCTGGAAGTATGTGTTGATGAAGGTACCCAACACCGTCCAAATTAACCCAATGAGATACACTCTGAAAGTCTCGCATGGGATCGAGGGATCGTCGTATGGGTCGGTTACGGAACGCACTTCAGGGTATGGAGACCAGTAGGCAATAATTCCGGCTTCAAGCCTGAGTTGAAGCTCTGGATTGACAATCACATGTCCACTAGAACCCAGGCTCATCAGCGAATTGTCCAACTCGCCGGTCTCCTCAGCAAAGTCATATTTTTCAGTGGCCTTCTTCAACAGCTTTGTTTGTGAACTGCCAAGGCTCTCAGCTTGGTATAATCTCTCGATGAAGTCGTACTCCTCCGCAGGGATGTTGACATCCGAAATGTGTTTCTCGAGGTATTCACTGATAATCTCTCTGGACTGATCGAGCGAAAGATACTGAATTTTCTCAAGCATGAAGACTGCTCCTGGGGGAAGGTCATCTAGAGACTCAAGATGGTCATAGTTGAGTCTCAGCAAAATGAAGTATTTTTGGTCAGATGTGAAGTCATCTGCCACATCCCCCATAGAAAGTGGCTGAGATGTAATGGCTTGCAAGTCGACTTCATGGTCGGCTGCTTCCATACGATCTGTATTGCTGGTTACACTGGCAAGATTTTTCAAGCCAGGATTTTCTGACATTTTGGATCACTAGTCGGATTGAAGAAGGCATTCAGATTTATATAAGTTTCTTATCAGCGGCAGTTGCGGCTCAGCGAATCAACCAATGAGTGCCATGCGATGGAGGTGCAAGTGAACCTAAAATCTGTGAGGCGATTTTTGACACATTGACACAAAACGAACTTCTTGATAACAAAGCGCATTCCATGACTTTTTCGTATCAAATTCATAAATTTTACAAAGTCTGTGTAATTATTTCTTCAGAACTAACTCGTTCGTATTGATCGGATTGTTATCGTCCTAACCGATGCCGCAAGTGCATAGGCCTGCAGACGTCAACCTGTCAAAGCAAGCGAGCTTAGAGAGTACACTACGGCTACCATGCTATCAGAAGCTCATTTGGCCATTTGGAAATTCAAAAGGAACGGCAATTTTAGCCCTTTCTGATAAGCATGTTTTTGTAATTCTTGAGCTGTCTTTTTTGCACGCTACACCTTGTAGCATCATATGCACCTTTGGTGCCGCTTGGTGCTGGGCTGCATAATCTACTGCCGCGTGGCTCTGGGCTTATCTACACTGAGGTAGATTATGCGGCTCGTGATGGCTATTGGTAACCAAATCCGCCAAATCCGTCATTAACCGACTTGCAAGATCTTGCCAAGAAATTAGCTGGCGCAGGGACCTGTCAGATCCGTTTTAGTCTAGATGTTAGCCGATGGCCTGACGAATCTGGCAGTTTTGTGGCAGTTTTGTAGAAAATTATTTATGAGTTACTGCCAACAATAAAAGATAGAAGATATCCTTTAGCAAATCCCGTGGGGCAACTAGAACTAAAGCTATATATAACGAAACATTTGATGGTGTGGAAAGGGTCTCGAAAACTTGCCTCTTTACCACTCACCGACGGAAATTCAGTAATCTTTTGTGGCAAGCCAGGTGGTGAGTGTCTGACGATTCTTCTCAGCTTGAAGGTACCTTCCCTTGATTTTCTCTTGGATATTAGCAATTGCTTTTTCAAGAACAACGTCTCTTTTTCCCTGGAAGAATTCTTCAACTTGTTTGGAGTGTTCCCTAGTACAAAGACCCTTGAGACATGTTTTAACAACACCCAAGTGCACCACTGACCCGTACTCCAACTTGACCGAGATTGCATCCCAGTTTTCCTTTAGCCAGGACCATAAAAGAGTTACCCCCATGGCTGTATTATTAATCGGTGATATCGACAGAATGATATCTTGCAGATCTATTTCGTCAGAGTGCAAGACAAACCCTAAAAATTTTGACAAGATCTTAGGGTTGGAAGTGTTACCCAAGGACCGGAGTATATCCTCCTTTGTGTATCTATCGGTTTCTTTCCGATAGAACCCCCACAATTTGTCCCAAGTTTTTGCATCATTTCTCCGTACAATATTCCTGATGATGATTGCTGCTTTGTCCGGGTCAAGCTCTTGTCCATGATTGATAAACTTATCGAATTGTTCGTCGCAATAATGGTCGATCTCAGGAGCTTTCACAAATGCTGCAAAGCGAAACACGGCGTTTTTAAATAGTGCCTGATTAGATGAGTCCTCATCAGATTTAACGAATGATATGGGGGTATAACTCTTGATAATGCTCCCTCCAAAACGGCAGAGGCTGGCGAAAATAGCCTCATCAAAAAGGTAAACGTCCAAAAGATCGAAATAAATTTCCACTATAGCATTCATCAATGTACTGTCTTGAAGTTTCGAAAATTCACCAGCTAGCTGTAGGAAAGCAACTACCAGGGTTCCACCATCCAAAGAGGCAAGTGAACAGTCTGATAGGGTCCCTATCCGATCGGCTCCGGACAACTTTCCTTTTGCGAGTTTTGCCCATCTTTCATCTGAATATGAGGTGACATAGTAGCCCTGATGATTTGGGTTTATAAAGTATGGACCATCAGGAATGGATAACTCCATGCTCAGGTCCTTGAACAATGTCTTGACGACTTTTTGGGACGTTTGGATTTTCAAAGGTATCACATAAGGATCCTCGCTTCCACCATCACCAGTTGGGAGAAACCTTCTTTGCTCGAGCCTCAACTTGTTTCCCTCTAGCTCTTCTACTTGCACAATCGGAAATCCAGGTCTTGTTATCCAGCTGTTCATTATGCTGCTGACATCAAGTCCAGAAGCGGAACTCAAACACTCCCATAGATCAGAAGCCTTGGTGTTGGCCCACGCATACTTTTGGATATATTTTTTAAGTCCGGCAAAAAAAGCATCTTCACCCAAGAAGTCAAAAAGCATCACCACGAGCGAGCAGCCCTTTTGATACGTGATCTCGTCTCCCGCCTGCTCTATGTCATGAAAATTCTCAATCGGCATATTAATAGGATGAGACGAGGTTCTACCATCAACAATGAAAGCCGTCAGAAGGGTGTACACGATGTAGTTTCCCCAAACTTTCCACTCTGGGTGGAAGTGATTCATGACATACCACAGGCACCATGTGGCGAAACCCTCATTAAGCCAGAGCCCGTCCCAAAAGTCCATGGTGACCAAATTTCCGAACCACTGGTGAGATATTTCGTGGGAAACCGCTTCGAACACTGTCTCCTTCAAGCTCTGGGATGGATTGCTACCCACCAAGAAATCTGCTTCTTTGAAGGTGATGAGTCCAAAGTTTTCCATAGCACTGTTGGCAAAGTCAGGGATGGCAACCAAGTCCAATTTAGCCAAGGGATACTGGTAGCCGAAGATATTTTCAAAAAAAGGAAAAGATTTCTCGGCCACTTCAAGCGCAAAGGAGGCCTCCTCTGCTCCGCCAACAACGGTCCAGGCTTTTATTGGTAATGTTTCACTCTTCAAGCTCTCGAGTTCTCCAACCACAAATGCAACCAAATACGTTGACATAAGGGGAGACTTTTCGTATCTTGTACGCAGCCAGCATTCATCAATCTTCACAGATTCCAGAATGGGGCAGTTCAGCAAAGCTGTGAACTTTGTAGGATGGACCAAGGAGATGGTAAAGTGGGACTTTCTGGCTGGATCGTCAATGCAAGGAAATGCCCTTCTGGCACCAATTGGCTCGAATTGCGTCGAAATCAAGAACTTTTCATTTGCATTGTTTGACGTTACCTTCTCTATGGCGAGTGATTCCAAGTCTGAGGCGATATCGGTCTTTGCAGCGCTTTCGTCATTTTCTGCATCATCGCTATCTTCACTGGACTCCTCATTGTCGTCGAAATCCTCATAGGAAGACCGATAAACTCCGTACATGTCGTTACTGCATTTTCCAGTGCATGCAAAAGTTAGTTGTGCTTTCTCGCCTGCCTTGACAGCATGATTTATGTTCAAAAGTTGTGCGTCTTCGTCAATGGAATATGTCACAGCATTGCCATTGAATTGTATGGACGTGAGGTCCATCCTCAGAGCATTCAAGGCAAATGCATCTCTGTTCTCGAAAACAGCCAAATCAATGACTCCCTCACATTTGTAGTCCTCGCTATCAGGATCCACTGTGAAAGTGAGGTCGTATTCGACGCATTGAACCGCATTGTCAAGTCTCAAAGCCATACTTATTTCTGAAACATGGAAAAAGTGCTCTTTATAAGGACGTCAACGCACGCCTTGCATAGCTAACCGATGTGGCCATCAGGGGCGTTACTCATTTTACTATCTTGGAAGGGTATATCTGCGCGGCGGTTTAAATATACATTGTTTTCGCTAAGCCTGGTTTGGAACATAATTTGGATGTAGCAAAAAGTGCAAGGTAAGGTCGAAAGCCTCATGCATCCATAGTTGAGAGGATTGTCAGTTTGAAGTATTTTTTCATCTTCTCATCAGGATTTGCTCTAGCGCGTCACTCCAGTCTACCAAATCAGGGTCTAAATAGCCAGAGTTTAAGTCATATTCACATGTTTCACTCAGGTGGGATATAGGGAGGCACATTGCGTCGCCCAATTTGTTCAAAAAGCTCTCAGAATTTTATCAAAAAACAATAAGTTTCATGTTTTTGAACTGTAAACGCGAGATTTGGAAAAGCAGTTACAATGGCGCAATTTGATGTGGCACTCTGGAAAAGCATGCCGCATGCATAAACGAACAGAGACCTGTAAGACACCTTCAATTCGGGGTAAGAGGCATTTGAGACTATTTCATTTGCCCAGTAGGAGCTAGATCATTTAATGAGAATTGAGCAAGCGAATCAGGAGATGCCCGTTTCTAGGCAACATATTCATGCCAGTTTTATGCAACTATTCGAAGCGAATTGTACATGCATTTGGGCACATTGAGCGAGATTAGGTTCATGACGCGTAAGGTAAACAGTGCCACTTACACAGGTGGAAGTGCGCCATGACAAACTTTCCATTTCATGACGGAGACTTCTCAATTGAGAAGTTACTCATTTTCTATGCTTCCGTGGAACATGCACTCATCTGTTATGCGAGAGATACCCGGGGAACATTGTCTAGCATGCATTGAGCTGCACAATTCATTTGGATAAAAAAAGCAACACACTCAGGCGTTGCAATACTTCGGTGGATTTCCTACATTTGGATTATAGTTGTATCTCTTACCTCCGGCGTAACATCATTCCGAGAAACTGATTCCTCACTTTCGATGCGATGGATGCGGAAGGCAAGATTGTAGACGCTTTTTTACAAAGAACAGCTTTTTAAGGCTTTAACATAAAGCTTGAGAGACCCAGGGACCCATCAGATGCAAAGGGACGCATAAAGCTTAATTCTCACCACGAAACCAGTTGTGGTTTCAACACAATGACGTAGGTCTGAACCACATCCCAATTCATATAATTGCAGATCAAGAGTAAGTGAATCTTGTGGTTTTCTTATCCTGGGCAATTTCACTGACATGGGGTAAAAGTATGCTTTTCTTGCAAATCACACTGCACAATCGCCTCCTTAGTACAGCATCAGTCACTACTCAGCTTGCATGATAGATTACTGGTTTGGAAATTATCATCTAGAAAATCTCGAGTGATGAAATGAAGCCTCGGTAAGCTTATGAAAGTGCAAAATCATGTCTGTTCTCGATAAGGGTGCTCAGTTTTTGGATTTGTGAAGGAAAACAGAAGCACGCTAACTTCGAAGCAAACCATCATTCAACCTGTCAGCATTCGAATCAATTTTGAAAGCCCTTTTTTCACCCTCCCTCATAGTATCGTTATCTAACTTTCTTTGGTAAAGTTCGACCCCGCATGCATATAACTTCCACCCATACTAACTACTCCATCTTTAGTATGTCACATCTGCCTCCACCAATTGGCAGCCAGCAGGGTGTCAGGGGTCATCTCCTTACACTGGCGTCAGTGCTGATGCTTGCTATTGGAGGCACCATCGGAACGGGGCTCTTTTTTTCAGTATCCTCGGTTCTACGAAATGGGCCTTTTGCAACACTAGTGGCAATGTCTTACATTCTGTTTCTTGTGTATCTCGTTCTTGAAATGACGGCGGAACTTGCAGTGTTTATGCCTGGGAACGGGCTGATATGCAAATTCCACTTTGTCTTTTTGTCCATGCCATTAGGTCTAGCAAACAACTTGATCTACTGGGCTAGCTGGGGATTCACCCTAGCACTTGAATTGTCTATTTTGGCCAGTACCTGCCTGTATTGGAACGCTGGCTTTGTAGAGAGTCATCAAGGTTTGATCATGTTTGGCATTTGGCTCCTTCTAACGGCATTTAACCTATTACCTGTGGATACCTACGGAGAGATTGAATTTTGGATCGCATTGGTGAAGGTTGTGGCGATTTTAGGATGGATCGTTTTCGTATTGGGGAGCTTGCTCTATTCTGGAACCTTGTTCCAAACATACACGGCAAACCTTCCGTCTAGCTTCTTCGGATCCCTTGATGTCCCGTCAGCATACATAGTCAGGTTCATCAACTCCTTGGTGTTCGTGTCGTTCATTTTCCAGTCGGTCGAGTCGATTGCTATCACTACAGGTGACATGGAGAAACCGCAGGAAACGGTGCCCAAAGTCACTTGGCTTATCTTCGTCCGGATTGTGGTTTTCTATTTGCTTTCTGTTGCACTTCTAACACTCACCATCTCCTTCGACGACGAAAGACTACTTGGAGGCTCTGAAAACGCCAGAGACAAACTTTTGTCGTCGCCATTCCTCATTTCGCTCATCAACTGTGGACTTAACGAGAACGGTATCATGCTCTCCACCTTCAATTTCGTTATCTTCACTGCCATTCTTTCTGCCGCAAACTCAAACATATACTTCGGCTCAAGGTGCCTCCAGGCTGTGTGTGAAGAGCATCGAGGATCATCCTTGGCTAGGGTTTTCTCGAAATCCAATGCATCTGGCGTCCCTGTGGCAAGCGTGCTACTAACCTCAATACTCGGCCTCACTTCCCTCCTTCTCAGATACCAATCGATTGCCACAGTGTTCAATTTTCTTCTTACGTGCTGTGCTTCCGCCGGGATGTTGATGTGGTGTCTCGTGGGTTTTTCATACGCTAGATTCAGCAAGGCACTATCTGCTTTCGGAGTGGACAGGAGCAGGCTTCTGTATACCTCCAAGTGGAACTTACCACGCTGGGCGCCGTTTGTCTCGGTGAATATCGTGCTGATTCTATTATGCAACGGTCTAAGCTGCTATTGGGACTTTTCGTACCTGGCGCTCATTGGCGCATATTCTACGCCGGCTGTCTTCCTAGCTCTTTGGGCGATTTTCGAACTAGGGGAAGGTCATGGCCTTAACAGCGTCAAGGACATCAATATCTACGAAGAGACGTTTCGGTGGTCGAAGGACGATGACAGCTGTTTCGCCGAATAAGATGCTAGATGTTGCCGATGGTCAAGTGTCTCTACAGTCATCCCATAGGCCAATGTCGAAGCTTTCTATGTCGCCACCTCTGTGACGATGTGCGTAGTTTGGAAAATCCTTCGGGAGTGCCAATTTTTGTCAAGTGCTCAATTCTGGGCTCACCAGTTTAGTCAGCTGGCTGACGTTGAAGGTCTATAAGAGTGGCTGACAATTTTCACAATTGGATCGATCCACCAATCGCCATCCGGCAGTAGTCTGGATGAAAAGGATGCTCGACTCTTAGAAAGTCCAGATGACGCATCTTGTTATGGCATCGTGCCTCCGCATACCTGCTCAATTGGCCTCTTCGTTCGTATACCGATCAAGTGACTGCAACGCCCCCATCGTGCACGAAAGATGGTGAACTCGTATAAGCCACTAACTTTTTAAATGAAGCAATTGACTGCAACAAGCGGTTTCAAAAAATTCTCAATCCCCGTGGACAGCTCCCGTTATGGAAATGTGAATTGCGTTTCTCACCAACTGGGAATGCATTCAGCAGATGCACCCTCTGACTTCTCTCACCTGTAACAGCCACGTCTGCCTCGACCCGAAGAACATCACCAAAAAAAGTCTTTTAATTAATTTTGTAACAAATTCGGAGCTTTCATTTTGCTAATTCGTTTTCAAAGGAGTCGTCATACTCTTCACAGTGGTTCTCCTCCACTCCTCCTCTAAGTCCGCCCTGCAGGGTCGCAACATCAAACTTCAACACCACCTCCACGCTAATCCCTCCAATTCCAGCCCCTGCGACCTGGACAAACGACCAATTCCTCCATCATGACATTCCTTAAAAAGGACAAATCCAAGCTGGACCTCCGTCTGATGTTTTCCATGAGTTCTGCTGGCGGGGCTCAGAGTGGCTCTGACCAGGGAAAGGAACCCGGCCAAGCTCAGGGCCAAAACCCAGACAAGCCAGAGCCACTGCCAAAGGAAAAAACATCCTTTTCCCAGAAACTCTCCATGTCGGCGCCGTCCTCCAGAAAACCCTCTGCAACGCCTCTTTCCCATCCAGCCTCCCAAAGAGTGCCCTCCTCAGCTCAGGACACTCGCCACTCTTTCAAACCCAGTGTCCTTGCACAGTCGGCCAGCGTGCCTGAACCGCTGCCTACGAACACGTCTTTTGGGTCCAATGTGGCGTTTACGCCCTTGGCTCAGAAAAACAGAGAAGCTGGTGCTGCTAAGGAGGGCCTGGGTCTGCTACTGCCCGTGCTGCTGCTGGGTCTGGGCTCACTGGATTACCACGGCCCTGGCCGCCTTGAAATAAGGTCCCATTCGTCCGGCTCCGTTGTTCAAGATGACCAGCAGCCTGGCCAGGGAAGACCGGGCTTCTACCGCACCAACACCGCCGACAACTACCTGCCAAGGCTGCTGGTGGTTCTGATGCCCCAGCTGCCAGAGCCTCTGAAAGAAAAGGACCAAGCCAGCGATGACAGTGTCCTTAAAAACAACTACAGAGGTTTCCACGGTACCAAAGCCCCTCAAGCCAATGTGCCCCCCTTGAGCCAGCCTATCAAGCCCCGCTTCCGCAAAAAGGGCTCCAGCTTGCTCAACAAGCTCATTCACTCAAACCGCAAGGATTCAGACCCTAGCGAACAATCGGCCACCACGACTGCTCCAACGGAACACAAGGGTTCGACAAGCTCTTCCAAGCACAAGTTCAGGCTCCCTTCAATATCCCTGCACCACCATCACGCCAACCCCGCTACTTCAGACCACGTATCACGTCATGCTTCTATTTCTGAGGAAAGCTCGCATCAACTGGAGAAGATCCCGGACGCCTCGCGCCGAAAGTCAGCCAGCTCTGCCTCAGATGCGCCTCTTCAATCAAGTCCATCTAAAGTTTTCGATCTAGACTTGAACTTTGACGAAATGCAGAGTATCTTGAGAAAGCCTGATAGAGCCCCAATTCGCCCTTCGCTCCAGCTGGCAGGCAACAGTACAAGCGACGTTACGGACCAGCATGCTGATGAGCCAGCCAAACCTGCAGCAGGTTGGCAGGCACCCGATTCGTGGGATGTTACAGGTGACGCACCAACCCCAGCGCCAAACAACACAATCGCTGGTTCCAGAGCTCAAGCAAACCGTTCTTCCGATGCAAGCAATGGCAGAGCGGACGAGTATGGTCAGGTTCCACAACAGTTGATTTCTCACTCACACTCAAGCTCAACCGACAGTCTGGTGTCTTCTGTAGATGGTGTCATTCCCACGGTTCCTACTGATGGGTCCAGAAAACGCAAATTGGAAAGCCGTCCATCTGTCCCTCGCAGAAAACTTCCGATCCTTTATGGAACTTGGTCCAATGGCCCTCCTGCAATGGAAGGCAAGCTTGCCAAGGGACCAAACCATATTGTCAGAGTTTTCAAAGAGGACAACACATTCACCACCATTTTGTGTCCTTTGGAGACAAACGCTGCCGAGCTTCTTCGAATCGTACAAAGGAAATTCTTTTTTGAATCAATATCTAACTACCACCTTGCACTCTATGTGGGTCGAAATGTCAAGGTTCTTGAGCCATTTGAAAAACCGCTTAAGATCCAAATGGGGTTATTGAGTCTCAGTGGATACTCTGAGAACGACAATTTCAGAATCATTGGAAGAGAAGACTTGTCTTATGTTTGCAAGTTGGTGGTGGAAAATAAGGTTTTGCGGAATTTGACTCACGAAGAAGAGTCCGTGGTTACCAAGGACTATGTTGATGTTGACATTTCAAGTTTAGATCTCAAGACAATCCCAATCATCTTTCATCAGCACACCTATGAAATTGAGAAATTGAACGTCTCAGACAACCCAGCAATTTATATTCCATTGGATTTCATCCAGTCATGCACCAACTTGTCTTCGATCAACTTTGCCAGGAATGGGTGCTCAAAATTTCCCGTGAACTTTTTAGAGGCCAGAGATTTGACGTCTCTTAACATGGAAGCCAACTTCTTAGATGAAATTCCCCATAAATTTGGTCACTTGACGAATTTGGTTAACTTGAAACTCAATTCTAACCAGCTTTTTAGTCTTCCAAAATCATTTTCAAGGCTAGAAAACTTAGTTCACCTCAATTTATCATCGAATTACTTCGAGGACTACCCGGAATGCATTAATGAATTGACAAACTTGCAAGACCTCGACTTGTCTTATAATGACTTGCATGCTATCCCTGACTCCATAGCAAAACTTTCGAAGTTAGTGAAGCTCAACCTTTGCACGAACAAGTTGGCGGGAAGTATACCCGAAAGCTTCAAGAGCTTGACAAATTTGAAGAGACTTGACATTCGTTATAATCAGGTATCCAACGTGGATGTGTTGGGTGATCTACCGAACTTAGAGGTTGTTTATGCTTCCAAAAATAAGATTTCGGCATTCAATGACAAAATGGAAAAATTGCGGTTGCTTCACTTTGACAGAAACCCCATCACTAACTTGGAATTTGAAATCTTATTGCCAATGTTGACTGTTTTGGATTTGTCGAAGGCCAAGCTCACCATGTTGCCATCGGAATTCGTCACGAAAATTCCACATATCGAGAAGCTTGTCTTGGACAAAAATCACTTGGTAAATTTGCCAGATGAGCTAGGAAATCTTCCACGATTGACGCATTTGTCGTTGTATGGAAACAACATTCAGTCATTACCCGCATCTATTGGGCAACTCTCATCGTTGCAATTTTTAGACTTGCATTCCAATAACATCCTGAGCTTGCCAGCCGAGATTTGGAATTTAAAGAGCCTCGCGTTTTTGAACGTCGCTTCAAACCTTCTTACTTCGTTTCCACAACCGCTGTTCGCAATAGCCAAAAAGATTTCTTCTTCTGCTAGTCTCCGAGCTGATGAAGTTCGGTCTTTGGAGGAAGCAAACGAGTTCAATGCATCAGCTATCAAAAGTCGTCCCACATCGCTCGCAGATTCTTTGCTATCGTTGACTCTATCTGACAATCGCCTTAACGATGACTGTTTTGAAGCCATATCATTGCTCATTCAGCTAAAATGTTTGAACATCTCATACAATGACATTTTAGAAATTCCGGAAGGTGGCTTGGCAAACTTGCTGAAGTTGACCGAATTGCATCTTTCCGGAAATGGGTTAACCAAGCTCCCGGCTGATGACCTCGAGGATCTCTCGTGTCTCAGGTTACTCTATTTGAATAACAACAAGTTATCGACGATCCCAGCGGAGTTAAGCAAGCTCAACAACCTCACTTATTTAGACGTTGGATCTAACCTTTTGCGTTACAACATTTCGAATTGGCCCTACGACTGGAACTGGTTTGCCAACAAGAAATTGAAGTACCTCAACTTCTCAGGAAACAAACGTTTTGAGATTAAGCAAAGCTATGTTAAGAATCCAGAGACTGGTGATGATCTTGATAGTTTATTGGTTCTCAAGGATTTGAAGGTGTTGGGATTGATGGATGTGACGTTGACTACGCCTGCTGTACCTGACCCTGGTGTTGACGTTCGCCTCAGAACGGCCTCATCAGAGCTTGATAACGTTGGCTACGGTGTATCTGACGCCATGGGTATCCGAGACCATATATCTTTCAGGGATGTATTCATGCAAAAGTTCCGAGGAAATGAGAATGAACTTTTATTGTGTTCATTTGACGGGAAGACAGGTGGCCATCAGAGCAGTGGGCATCTCATCTCATTCTTAGCGAAACAGTTTTTTGTACCCAACTTCACGAACGAATTAGGAAAAATTAAGTCCGATGATGAGATCCAAGATGCAATGAGGCGTGCGTTCCTTTCCTTGAACAAAGAGATTAATTCTGTATTCGCTGCTAAAAAGGGTGGTTATTTCGCCCCGAATACTGTCAGTCCAGAGCTTGCAGCTCTCAAAATTCCAGACGATTCCCTAATTGGATGTTCCATGTGCGCTCTCTACATCAAGGATAAGACCGTGTATTGTGGTAACATCGGTGATATTCAGCTTGTTTTGTCGAAGAGTAATGGCGATCACGTTCTTCTCACGACCAATCACGATCCAACGAGTAGAGAAGAATTTGAAAGAATTCGGGCTTGTGGAGGTTACGTTTCGGGTGATGGTGCACTTGATGGCACGCTTCAAATTTCTCGGGGTGTTGGATTCTTTGATTATCTCCCACATACCCACTCAGGCCCAAGCATCAAGAAATACACTCTTTCTGGTAACGATGACGTTCTCGCCATAGGAACAAGGGTGTTATGGGATTACATTTCCTATGATTTGGCCGTTGACATCCTTCGCCAAAGCAAGGAGGATCCGATGATAGCTGCTCAGAAGTTGAGAGATTACGCAATTTGTTATGGTGCCACGGATAAGATTTCTGTCAACGTGATTTCAATTGGTGACCGCAAGACAAAGAAGAAGAAGAGTTTGTACAATAATTTGGGGCGTGAAGCGGACCTTTTCGCCAACAAGAGAAGGAGAGATCGGGGTGCTCAGTCAGGAGACACAGCGCTCAGAGCTTTGGATAATGAAATTGAGCCGCCCGTGGGTGACCTCGCTTTAGTTTTCACGGACATAAAGAACTCCACGCTTTTATGGGAGACATACCCTGTGGCCATGAGATCGGCTATCAAATTGCATAACACAATAATGCGTCGGCAGCTCAGAATTGTCGGTGGTTATGAGGTGAAAACAGAAGGAGACTCTTTTATGGTCACATTTCCTTCGCCCACATCGGCCTTGTTGTGGTGCTTCAATGTTCAATACCAATTGTTGAATGAGGAGTGGCCATCAGAGATATTACAGACGAACGAATGTTGTGAAGTTACTGATAACAAAAACAATGTTATTTTCAGAGGCTTGTCTGTTCGTATGGGAATTCACTGGGGCTCTCCTGTTTGCGAGCTTGATATGGTTACCAAAAGAATGGATTATTTCGGCCCAATGGTGAACCGTGCTTCTAGAATTGAGTCAAGTGCCGATGGTGGTCAAATTGCTGTGAGCTCGGACTATCTTCATGAGATGGAACAGTTGTATCACGTTCACGAGATGATCGCATCCGGTCAAACATCGTTGGAGGCTGCTTACGAAGGAAATCTTCGGGCGGGAGAGATTATTGAGAAGGAAATTGCTTCGTTAGAGGAAATTGGGGTTTCGTATTTCCCACTTGGCGAGAGAAAATTGAAGGGCCTCGAAACTCCCGAGATGATTACCTTGGCTTACCCAAAGAGATTAGAGCTTAGATTTGAAATTTTCAAGAAGAGAGCTGATGAGGATGATATGTTCAAGGGACGGATTGTGGGTGCTGTGCCCGTTGATGCCGTGTATCAGTTGAGGACGCTTTCGCTTCGTTTGGAGAACATTTGTGCTGCAGTAAACGTGGGAATGAGGATGGATGAGTCTTTCCTGAAGAACTCGTCTGAGGTGATTCTGGAGTCGACAGCTCAGCGGTTCAAGGAAATGGAACTTGTTGCCTTGTTGAATCATCTGGTAACGAGGATTGAGAATAGCATTGCAAACCTTGAGCTTCGTCAAACAATGCTTCTGCTGAATGGCGGTGACGGTAAGATTGATTTCTTCCGCAGTCCGGATATCTGGACGCTTATGGACGAAGTCAAAAATCTCATCAGTGCTGCCACGAGAGGTCAATGAGTGGGTTTTGCAACCATTTTTGCAGCCGGTCGCGGCTTCCATTGTGGTCACGTGTGTAACTAACCAGTAACTGCACTTCACTTTCCACCTTGGCACCAAGCAGTACTACATTCAAAACAAGCGACGACGACAATCATAGTGGAGGCTCAATTCCACTTAAGCATTTTCCTATTCGCCACAAATGCTGTCCGACTCTCAGCGACGGAGGCGCCACTCATCCTTCAGTTCCCATACCTCAATCAACGCAACCACTGTTCCGTGGATCCGAGAAGCTACCCTAGGTCAAAATTTGGGGAATCGAGCAAAAGCAATCGCCGAGCAGAAGACCCCGCCTCTAGGCCCCGCTGATCTCATCCATTGGGCTCGACAATATGGCGAGCGGTCGTCTCTTTTCCTCAAAAACGACTTCTCTCCCATAAGCGAGGCAGATCCGCCAAGGGACCAAGATGGATATGTCGGATTTTACCATTTCTGCGATGGACTCGACCTAGTACGTGGGACAAACTCCATTGAAGAGCAGGTTCTCCACAGCATTGGGCTACGAAGAAACGGTGAGTCGTATATATGGGCACCCAAAGGGACACTAGCTCCCCGGCTTGGGCTGGCGCAACACAAGGAAGGAGTGGTGACATTCTGTGCATATAATTGTTTTCAAAAGCTGGAGTTTAAGGCCAGGTATATGATCACGCCTTCCCCAAAATCGCTGAGTGTAGTAGTGAATTCTCAATACACCATCACTTCAAAAATATCAAGAAAGCTGCATACCTACATTGGTGAACATTCTCAGGACATTACACTGTCATTTCTACGAGAGCTCGCGGTGCTGCTGTTGTTACGAATGATTGTTGGGGTTGATGACCCGGCTCATCGTCTCCTGGGTACGGTTTCTCACAAATCACAACTTCTGAACAAGGAGCAGTTGCGGAGTACCATTGAGCTCCTTGTTTCCTTTTTACCACGTGGTCACTTGACAGGCTCTCGGTCCCACTATGGTGTGGCTTGCAACTCTGGCACCGATCCGGCCAAGACTACTAGATACAGAAACCGGCTTGTTGATGCGTTAGTTCGTGTGGTTTTGTTTGACCCCAGTGGTAGTGCCACCGGCTGGGCGCTTGAAAGAATAAGAACGAAATTCGCTGCCCGTGAGTTCACGGCAGTTGAGGCCAGGCTTCTTAGAGCCCAGCATGGAAGCAATAATAATCAGAAGTTTCTTTCTCTTGTGAGAGACCACATGGCAGTTGATACTGACAGCACTCAGGCTGCTGTACTCATAGGCGAACAAGTGAGGTTTCTTATTTCAAGAGAATCCTTTGCCGTGGCTCGCCAGCTTGCTGTTCGAGCTGTCACCATGTTGCCATTAGACTTCGACTCGTGGTACAACTTGTGCGTTTGTTACATGCTTGAAAAGAAGTACGACGATGCTTTGCAGGCACTCAATTCCTTGCCTGTGCTTCTCCAGTCAAGGAGAAGTTACGACGGTGATTGTGTCGATGGCATTTCGGATATATATGTGCTGACTTTCATGGATCGACTGTCTAGAGGACACATTCCCATAATGGCCGATACATTTGCCGATTATTTCCCTGTGCCTCGCACCGAGGACATGACGGAAGCAGGCTCTGTCCAGTCAGTGTGGCACGGTATGTTCAAGAAAGAATCAGCAAGACATCCAATGGTGGGTCCCTTTTATCAGTCGCCGTTGACTACGGCAAGTCCCATTGAAATGTCTGCTATTGACAGCGGACTTGTCCGCGTGGCGGGCCCATCATCAGCGAAGAACATGCTAGCGGCCCGTTCGGCAAATGTCCCTTGGTCTTCCATCCTCGACTTTGACAGAAAGTCCACTTGGGGTAGGGTCTACGATTTGCTCACATCTTTGGTCGCTTTGATTGGCTGGGAGAACTTGGTTGCCATTAAAAAGAAGGTATTCCGATCACCCAACGACCTGGCTCAAAGCAAAGAGTTTGTGGTCTCAAACTCCTCCAGCGCTCAAAAGGAAGAATGTGCGCCATGGCTCGATCAACTTTTTTTGGTTGTCTATGACGATATTCACACAATGATGACTGTCTCTGGTGGAAACGATATAGATCAACACCGCAGCGCCTTGGCCTGGGGCATGATTGGTCTCGTGAGCTGGGGCTGCAAGTATAATTTGAAGGACAGCATCTCCTCGTTAGCTACTTGTGCCGCTGGCGTGACCTCTGACGGTGGATTTGATTACTACGCTACAGTGAAACTCCTAGAGATTTACAATGAGTTTGTCCTCAGTGATGTGGAGGCCTCCACTATCGATCTGCTAAGTTGTGTCTACGACAATCGCTCCTATACCAATAAGCTCATTGTGCGGAGTATCCTGACAAAAATGTTCCGTGATTTTGTCTACCAGCTTGTCAATGGCTACATGGCACTTGAGACGATGCTCGTACATATCATGAAGCTTGTGGCTTGGGAGTTGCGTTGGTATAACTACGTCCCATCATACTTGGTAATCCAATCATTGATCAAGCTCTGTCAGCAGAGAGACCCTGTCGAGGTAAGAACCAACTTTCGGGTTGTTTTTGAGAAATTCAAGCTTCAGGCAGTTGACAGCAAGCAGGGCAAGTTCTCGTTGCTGGCTTGGTTTGGCGGGTCCAAAAAGAAAGCGTCCCAGCCCCACGACTTTGTTGACGGCGATACCGTGATAGACTACATTGACCACCTCTTAGTGTGGGTTGAACTGTTGGGATAGATAATGTAACGAAAGCATGTTTATAATAAACGATTCCCTTAAGCTATGCATACGAATCCACGATTACTCCGTCTTCTTGGTTTCTTTGCCCTCCGACGTCTTCTTGGCACCACCCAATACCTTCTTTCTCTGCTTGATCATGTAGGTGTACAAACTGTACAAACCTGGTGGATATGTGAAGAGAATCGCCGTAAGGAAGTAGCGATACCAGATACCAACAGCTCTCTCGGCCTCGCCAAGACTGAGGTAGATGATGGACACCTCCGAGGCCACACCAGCCGGGTACAACACGTAGAAAAGGGTGTATCTGAGCCACGTGAGCACGTAAGGCACGTTCTCTGGATCTCTCAAGTTCAGAGCGTAGTAGGAGTATCTCACGATCTCCGTCACTGCCCAGGCGGTGTTCAATGAGACGTAGACCCAGTGGTAGTTGGCTGGAGAGTAAGGCAACACAAGGAAAATGCCCAACACGATCAACAATCTCGAGGCCACCTGAGACGCCGTGGTGAAAAGAGGCGATCTGACCACACCAGTAGCAGAATTGACCACCTCAACTAAGGCAAGCGACTGGACAAAGATGAGGAAGATGCGCAGCTTCTCAAACAACAAGATGGGACCGAGGAAGCGATGGAGGAAGAAGGTGTTGAAAAGCACGAGTGTCCATAAAGAGGACGAGATGGAATTGTAGGCAATCAACCATCTCTTGGGGTGCTTGGATTCCTGTGTCGTGAATTGGCTTTCGTCGAGAGCAGACATGAGTAGTTGAAATTAGTGAATTTCGCGTTCGCTCCGTGACTATAGTAGTACAATTGAGTCGCACTGACCCAAGATTCTGGAGGATGAGAAGAACGGCAATAGGTGAATTGAGCAAGATTGTACAAGAAGAATTTAAATAAAGTTTAGCATAAGAGCTATTCCACGTAGACGTTGGCCGGTTATGGAATTTGTGTGGGGTCTGATAGAAATGCCCTTTGGAAAATGAAGGCTGGTTAAGACGGTAGGTTGGTGTCTCAGCATGCCACATTCATAATTGACTTCCGTGGATTTCACCATAGCTGACCCAACGCATCCTCGACAAACCATCCAAGTTTCCACAATATTCAGGCAACGCTCCTACTCGACCTTCTTCACACCGAGGTTCTTCCTCCGCTGCACCAACATATAAGTGTACAACTTCACGAACCCAGGGATGTACAAAAACATTCCCAAGGCCAAGAACCAGTAGTAGAAGCCCAGCACGTAATCCAAGGTTAAGTGCACCACCCAGGGCTCACTGATAACGCCCACAACACGATAAAGGCCAGATAACGAAGCCATTGAAGAGTTTCTGGGACCTGCCCTTGTTGCTTGGCAAAGTAAAAGCTGTATCTAATGACCTCAGTCACAGACCAGGCCACAGAAAGCGCCACGTATCCTGGAAGAGAAAAGTTTCCTGCTGACTCGGGAACGTACCAAGAAATACCCACCGTGATGATAAGTCTAGCGAAAAACTGAAGCAATAACGACGAAAGGGGTGACGGCACAAGACCTGTAAGCGCATGGGTGATCTCGAAGACGGCATTGACCACCTGGACATGGACAAGAAGTTTATGTGGATAATCCGTGTAAGCATGGGTCTCGTAGAATCCGCCAGGAAGCACGTCAAGGAAAGTCTGGCCGAGAATTGCCGCCCAGGCAATGGCGGAGATGGCGTTATACGCCGATAAGTATAGCTTGAGCATGTGTAGTCTGGATGAAAAAGGTGTAGTAAGTGGTGATGTTTAGATTGGCTGCGAAAACATGTGCGAGGTAGATTTCCATTTTGCGCTTGCTTGTTGTAGGCTGAAAGGGGGTGAATTGAAACGATGAGCAAATAATTTATTATTCTTTTTGAAGGTAGAGGAGTTAATTAGAAGATGATTTTAAAAATTGCTCAAGGAGGGCTTCCGAGTACACAAGAGTACGAGACTACCTCTGCATCAGTGCTTACTCGGAACCTCATTCTCCAGATTGAGCTACTACTTGTCCACTTTAGTTTAAATATACTTGGGTCTTCTTCAATTCCTGGGGAGTTCCCAATTGAACGGGGCAGAAAGTTTCAAAGTGGTCCAAGTGCTCCATCATCACCAAATGATACTTCAAGCTGAGAACCAATAAGGACATCCGTGAACTAATCTACAAGTTTTCAAAAGCTCATTCTTATAGTCTATCTCAAGGGAAGTTGCCCTTTCTTGGGCCAAAGTAGCCATCAGGTGCTTCGAGAGTCACATTACGAAGCGGAAGACCCTTGGCATCAAAATTCTGGTTGTTAACATTATTGCCCCACCAGCTAATGTCCTTCTCGTGGTATTGCACCGAAAAGAAAATGATGATGGAACTGAAAGCAATGCCACCGGTGAGGCCTCCAGAAAGAATATAATTGTACTTCTCCCACCAGGCTGTGAACTTCTTTCTGATCACATACATGAAGAAGAAGGACAAGATCATACCAGGAGTGTAGTACGACAAGTTATAAGGGGCATAAATCATAATGCCGAAGGAAAACACAATGGGGTGGAAGTACTTACCGACGATAGTTCTTCCATAGTACTTCTTGAGAGCCCAACATGGGAAGGCAAGAAGGAAGCCGATCAAGAAGCACCACTGCAAAATAGGATAAAGACCTCCAAACACCTTTTTGGGTCCAATAACACCCCACAACACCGACGCAGAATATACAGTTGTAGACCCGGGACAGGTGAATTTCTGAGGCTGGTGTGGGTGACAGAAGTCTTGCACCTCGTTGATAGCAAGGTTCAACACTCCCACAGACATGAGACTGTTGAGAATCACAGACAACAACTGTGCTCTGAAAAGGGATCTGGGTGGGATTCTCAAGTAGTGAGCTTGCTTCTGGTTTGTGATATAGTTCTCGGCCTGAACATCAATGTTGGTTCCCAAAGTCTTGACGTAGTTCAAGGCTGTACCATTACCGGGGACGGCGTAACCCATGATTAATTCAAGAAGAACGTTGATTGACATTTCTGTACCTGTAGCAGCGTAAACCACAGCAAATGGCAACAAGAACACGAAGTTCATGGCAATAGCAAAGAAGATAGTCCAAACTGGTGTTTGCAACTTGTAGACTTCAACGGTGATAATGGACAACACAACAGTGATGACAAGGATAATGGTGAACCACCACTCTGGAACCTCGGGGTATTTCTTCATGGAAGCCGAGAAAGGATCATCAAAGTCTTGGTAGGTGGAGCGGGCTTTTTTGAAGTTCAACGACTTTACGAGACCCAAGACGGCGATCTTGATCTGCTTGAACTGTGTAAGCAAGACGTAGACAAAGTTCATCGGATACAAGGCGAAGAATGTACCGTAAACTACCAAATTAGCAGCAGTGTAGAATGGAGGACCGATTTCTTCGTACTTGGCCTGGTCAAGCTTCTGCTCACTGTTCAACACTTCTCTAACAGCGTAAGGTTCACCGGTGTTGGTGAAAACTTGGTTAGAGTTGATAGGCAAGTAAGCAGTCCACTTGTAATTTGTCCACCAAACAGCGACAATACAGATGAACCCGACCAAGGAACCGATGTAAGAATTAAGCTGGGCGAAGAAAGGAATGGCTAATGGGGTGTTTAAAATTGTATTCCAGTCGAAAGTGGTGATGGGGTTAAAACCAAGACCCGTCTGAGAGCCTGTAATGGCAGCCACATTCAAGTTATTTGGAGCAGCCCAGGAAATCCAGTTGAAAGTAGACAATGCTGTGAAAAGATAGTCGGGAATCCAGAAATAAAAGAAAGATGCTGCGAAGACAATCAAAAAGAAGGAGTATCTTGAAATGGTCCAGCCGTTGATCTTCTCCTTCTTTTCTGGTTGCACCAACGCCTTGTTAATGGCAAGGGTTGGAAGGATGGTGGGCCAGATTGCAGTCACGGGATAAACAACGAATTTACGGAAAAGGCCAGCCAATCCAAAACCCATAAAATTGGAAGTCAAGACAAGAAGGAACTGGGTACCAATCGTGAAGGCTGGGTTGCCGTAAAAGATGTCCAACTTCTCCAAGATAATGAAGTATGAAGCGTAGGCAGCACTTCCACTGACACTGTAGAACAAAGTAGCAAGCAACTGCTCCTTGTGACTCCAGGGGCCCGGGTTAAGATTGACGTTGTACTTCCAAACCTTGAATGATACGGCTGGAAGTGCCCACTCCACAAGCTTTCCACTAGGGTAAACAAAAAGCTGGACCGCAGCGGTACCCAACGTAATTGCAGGCTGTCTCTCCATGAAGTACTCATTGATAAAAGTGCCTAGGACAACCCAGACAATTCCCACGAGGTACGCTCTGAAGGTCTCGCATGGAATGGAGGGATCATCGAAGGGATCAGTCACAGCTCTCACCTCTGGGTATGGCGACCAGTATGCCACCAAAGCAGCCTCCGTCTTGAGTTGAAGGTCTCTGTCAAAAACCTTCTTGAGATCATTCGACTCAAGCAGAGTGATGGAGTGTTCCTGAACATACGCTTCCTGCTTTTCGTCTCCAGAAGAGTGGTCGAGAGCCTGGTTGAGTCCCGCGGTTTTCCCGTTGGAGCCTGTTTCAGTAAGGAGCTCGATGAAGTCGTAGTCCTCCATGGGAACATTGACATCACCGAGGTGGTCCTTCAAGAACTCCGTCAAGATGTTCTCTGCGTCGTGAAGATCCAATTCCTGGATTTTCTCCATCATGAACACCGCAGATGGGGCATGTCATCCAAACTCTCAAGATGGCCAAACTCCAATCTCTTGAGAATGTAGAATTTCTGTTCCAGTGTAAGCTCTCCAGCAACCTCGTTCAACGAGAACTGCTGTGAGGTAACGGCAGCCAAGTCCACCTCATGAGCGGCAGCGTCAAGCCTGTCAGTATCATGGTGACTCGAGACACTAGTAACGTGGAAAGCCTTCTCCGACATATCTTACTGGTTTGCTTCAGAAATTGGCTGAACATCTCGGGCTATTTATCCTGGAGAGATAAGACTGGTCTGTGGTGTGGCTGCAAATCTGCACCTGCTTCGGCACGGCCTGCCGGACCAGCCTCGCGGGTATTTAGATGCGTCATTTCATGGCTGTGCCAAGAATATCCAACTTCGTATATATCCGTCACTCGATCGACCTAAAACTTTGTGTGCATTAACGAAATTCTGCTTGAATCTGTTGCGGTGTAGAGACCAAAAAAAAACTGTGTCCAAAAGCATGATTCTCGCTTGAGAGTCAAAGTGGGCTTACACTGCCTGCATGTTTTGACAGTGCCGTACGGCTTCGATTCTGTTGAAGCGGCTCCCATTTCGCTAATTAACGAAATCTGTCGCGGGGCTTAATCAACAGCCACAGATAGCCACGCCAGATTGTGTGCTTCAGTGAGCATTTACATGAGGTAAAACCAGGAACAAGCCAAACCAGAAGCAGGCCACTGTTCCCCGTCTTTATTTCATTTTTGCTTTAGGGAATCAGAAATGATGCTTTTTTCTCGGTCTCAAATTGAGCCCAAAATCAAGGTTGATGCGGGCATTTCGCGGCTCCAAAACTCCCGGACAACGTTATCTTCAGGAAAATGTGTCAGTGTCAAATTATGCTCCCGTGCAATTTATTCGTCTGTAAAATGGTCTCATTTTTCTCTTCATTTCTGAAAAAAGCCCAGTTGCAAAAGCGGCTCCTTGACCAGAACAGTCATCACACATCAGTCGACGAAGCAACCTAGTACCATGTCTTCTTTCTCTTCTCTAATCATGATCAATAGAGAATTTTGAAAAAGGGAGGACGGTGTCAATTTCCCCACGATCGGTCCCAGATTCTGCGATAAGCAATAATACCGCAGAGATACTCCTTATCGACATTTCCACTCGGCTCTGTGGCCCGTCTTTTTACCCTTGCGCATGACAATAAGGTCGGGATATCGATATACTTTGCCGATCCAGGAAACGCCTCGCATTTGACATGAACGTCAGGCCTTGTCTTGTGCAATAAAAGGGTATTCGGCAAAAGTTGACTCTTTGAACTCAGGTTTCCCAAATCAGGGATCATGCAATGATGCAATGCTGCCATTTGGGATATAGCTAGTGAGCGGCACAAGGGTTTTGTGGAAATTCTCTCAAATTTGGGATAGCCAAATGAATTGCCCGGAGTGCTGCCTTCGAAAACCAATGAAATAGAGGTCATATTGTAATTCTATTTGTTCTTTTAGAACCCCTCTTGTTCTTTTTAATTGCACTGAAGCCGATAACTCATATCTGATGGCCGAAAGCTCAAGTCTATGTGTTCCCTTCTCCTGATTACCTAGCGCTTCTAGGCATATCCAAATTGATGATGATCTTGCTTTTCACGATATATTCTAATTGATGATGTTTTTCACGATAAATATTATTTAATATATGGGGTCGTTAACGTCTAAGTTCATTATTATTGCAGCGAAATCAGCTGCGTGCCACTGAGCCAAAGCTCCGTCACTTCTCCTTAGCTGCCTCCTTGTACTTTTTCAAAATCAATTTCAACCCGTCCATGTCATTGGCAATGATGTTCTGGTCCCAGTCAATGAGCAATGGAGCTTGGAAAAGCTCATTGGGGTCTATCTCGGGATTTTGCTCATCGATAAGCTTCTCGAAAGCCTCGTGGATGTGTGTGTACTCATTCTGAGAGAAAATTTTGAAGCCCCTGTCATTTCTGATACCAAGGCTCTTCACTGTGACTGAGGAGTGCTCCGACTGTGTGAATTTATCATTAAGCAAGGGGAAGCACTCCTTCAAGACAGTCTGACAGCGGTCTCCTCTTACGCAATTGGAGTAGATGGTCTTAAACTGATCGTAAGTGGGCATCTTCTTAGCATTCATGTCCAATTGAAAGAGGTTCTTATCATCGTTCAATTGATAGTAAGCTTTCTCCAAATGAGCAAACAAGCTGGCCAGGGCGGGAACACGAGCATTGTGGAAGATAGAGATTGTAGCGGGTGTGTTTTGCAAGGATCTGAAAAGGGACATTGGTTAATTTTGTTGTGATTTAGTTTGTGGAGCAAGGGTTATTTATATGGTTCGAGGCAACCCCGGACTAGCCACTTGACTCAAATGTCGCGCAGCCGTTACATCCGTTGTTCCGAGACTTTTGGATGGCCGTATATCTGCGCAAAAACACTCAATTGGGTGGGAAAAAATTCAAATGGCTACAAAATCAGTCTCGGTACCGTTTTTATTTTCTATATGGGAAAATTCGGGTAGATCCCCACTGTTGTGTGGAGCTGTAACGACCTTAAGAGCTACGACATTGTCGCGTAGAAACATTATCTCGTGTATTTACTGCGAAGTGTGACGTCGCTAATCCGGACCTATAGCACCGTCCCGGAGTTTTTCCGAGGTATCATCAGATCTTGTTGAAGAGGTCAGTTACTCCTTGGCATTTCGAAATGGAGACACGAGCTTTGTTACTCTCGATTGCTTAAGCCACTCGTTCAAAGTAGTATGAAGAAGCGTTGTTGCATGTAGTGGAACTTCAAGGATAGGCATGACCTTTCAGCCAGTTTTGGCAGGAGAGTTTTGTAATTGAGGGCCTTTTTTGGCTTCACTATCTCTTTGACAAAGCAATATAGCTTTTTTGGGTCTTTTGATGAAGAACTGGATTTTTAGTTGCATTCTGAAGTTTTCGTATTTCCATGTCAAGGCTGCGAAAAAGTAAGAATTGTTTGTGGATCTGAACTCTTGGAACCGTCGCCTTGCAATTTCCAACGATTTTGATTACGGTTGTGCCAATTTCATTTTTCCAGAAGAAAGGGCAAGCTTGAGCTGAACCAGTCAGATTTAACAAAAGGAAGACAGACATGTACTTTGGGTCTGTAAGCACGGCGAGACGTTCGGGAAACTGACCTGAGGGTCTCGTGAAATTGAGAATATCAAGATCTTATTGGAGGTTGTTTCTATAGAGATCTAGTTTTTTGTACTCTAATAAATAGAGATCAGTTAAATATAAAAAAAATATGGCCCCTTTAAAGGATATAACAAGCCCTGAAATACAGGGTAGCCGCGTCATAAGATAATTAGCTTCGTGCATTGGAAAAGTCCCTCAAGTAGGATTGTTTTTCATCTACCTTCCAGAATTGAGTCTGAGAGATTACTTTGCGTTTTTTGTGATTCACATTCCAAAGAGAAGCGATCTGCAACATACAAAGTACTGCAAGGAGATGCCCTGTTGATAAACAGGAGACCAATTCAAAATCTAGTCCATCATGTTTTCTGTAAATGTTGATACTTCTAGACTATTCTGTATGATAAAGTCCACGATGATCAGTAGCCGAGCATTCTCATTGTTCGGAGTAATCTAGAACTTATCGAGTTCCACACAAGATCTTTTCATCTATACGGGCCTGAATCGCTGGCTTCACAGCAGCTGCAAAATACAAAGAATTTAACAAAAGAGGCCATCAAAAATTAAAGCAAAAGGCACCATGAAACCTCTTCAGGATCAGGCCCAGAGGAACCAGCCAAGGCGGAATCCATTACCGTGGCAGAGATTGCAAAAGTAGGGAGATCCGAGATCAAAAGGGGCATGTAAACCAACAATGTTCCATCTACTTAACCCGAATGACGAGTGGTCTTGAAGAGGTATCTCCAGTACCGCCAGTATACACTTGGTCCCTGCGACCAAGTGAGAAAAGAGGTAAAACTCTACAGTAGCTTTGTGAAACTTATACCACTTTACAATTTCAAGGTGATGACCTGCTAAGCCTGGAGGGTACTGTAGGAGCCGAGTGCAGCAGCCAAGAATCACTTACATAATCATACCACGGCTTAGAGCCACTTAATGCAATGGGACTCTAGATGCACTTGCTCCATGCCTATATGTCCTTAGACCTGCGTTGTAAACTACAGTTTCTCATGAAACTCACGAATCTCCCAGAACGTAGTGACGTAATCGACACCCGCCTTTATCGATTTAAACAATCCACAAAAGCAGATTCTACCGCCATCTCAGTCCTCAGCACGGAAAGTCATGACTTGGATCTGCCCTGCTAAATTTAACCATGGACCCCTGGTGAGACCTTGGCAGGTGCGCCATTCCCGCCTGCTACACAGTGTGAAACATGGGAACGAGGAGCGGATTTGTCAGCGCAGGTGTCGAAAGATCAGAAAAAAATAAAAAGTCTTCTTCTTCAACCAAAACAGTTTACCTTACGAGGCTACGTTTCCCAATTTTTTTGCAGCACCTTGAGTTCCCCTTACCACCTGCCTGAGAAGCCTCTAACACCGGTTTTTTTTTTCGTGCCTTATTCCTGCGCCCGGGCCCTGGCAATTTTAACCCATCTTCTTCATCCACACCCACTTGGATCTGCCTCAAGAACACGGCCGGCTGGTCGAAAAAGCTATATAATTCCTATCACGCCTCGAGGTCTTTGAACGTGTCCTTTAATTCAACGCAAAACGCGCCATACACCACAGACCGACCCGTTGCAGGCAGATCATAGATCAGATCCAGGAACGTCCTTTCCAGTTCCTCCCGTTGTCGGAATCCCAGCAATCAACTGACTGATAATTGAGTACCGTTTGCGGATTCACATCGAGCCAATCTCTTGCGTGTGTCACATTCGCCAAGATCCCGTGTCACGTTGTGGTACTTCTCAATTCTGGCTTGAAATTCCGTGCAGCGTTCGTCGAAGGGATTTGAATCTTTCAGAAACCAGCACTTCCTTGAATTAGCAGCCTAAACTCTTGCTACTGGCTACATTGATACCGTCACCTTCGGCTTTCCGAATCCACTGACTTGATCACACACCGCTGGGAGGCTACTAAGCTAGATTGCAGGTTTGCAACGTCAGTTCCACCTCGCCCAAAATCATCACACTCGAAATGGCCTACCCGGACCCGGAAAGGTCCAGACTTGGCCCCGCTTCCACAATGAACTACTCACCTCGGCATTCCCGCAAACCGAGCCTGTTGTCAACCCTGCGAAACATCAATATGAAACAACTCCTGCTCAATTTGAGCTCACCGCCTCAACCCGTCAGCGATTCTGTACAGCTGCCACTGCGAAATGGGCTCAAGAAGCCCCCAGCATTGTCGATTCCACCAGGCCTGGCCTCTGCATTGATAACTCCCGTTGTCGCCCTGACACCATTGATACCGCCGGCTCCGCCTCCACAGAAACCAAGCGTCGCATCACTACGCCTGCTGCCTGTGATGCCCCTGTCCGAATTCTCCCTTGGAGACTCTCCACCTCACTTTGAACCAAGCAGTCCTGATATCGCGTTGCTGAGCCCCTTTGGTCTTGAAGCAGGTCTTGTGGACAATGTCAACGATAAAATCATGCCCGCTACGACGAAGGAGCCCTTTCTCCCGCCCGAGGAGCTTCAGGAACAATCAAATCTTGACGCATATCCCTTTGGACCCGCCAGAGTCTTGGATACAACGTTATTCTTGTACCTGGACCCAAAGAATTCCAAACGCCCAGTGGACATCAACGACTATGACCTTGTGGTAAATGTGGCCCGTGATTGTGACGACTTGCTGGCTGAGTACGACGACAGAGACGGGCACCGCACCTATCTTCATGTGCCATGGTCTCATACGTCCCTGATTCTGAAGGAGCTCCTTAACATCACGTCCACCATCGCCCGCTATGATAAGCCCGAATCTCGAATCCTCGTCCACTGCCAATGTGGTGTGCTGCGCTCGGCTTGCGTGGTCGTAGCGTATTTCATGGTGAAGTTTGATCTTCTGGTGAATGAGGCATACGAACTCTTGAAGTCCGGCACTGCTAACACCGCTGAGCCATGCAATTGGCGCATTGCTCGTGAAGGTCACCACGTTGATGCATGTGAACGTATTTGTCCCAATATGAGCTTGATTTTTGAGTTGATGGACTTCGATGACCTCAGGAAGGCCAAAGTTACCACAGAATAGAGTGGCCTTCCGAATCAACTGCGTCATTTACGAACGAAGAAACGATACTGCAATATACAGCAATGATGAATGAATTGTAGAATGGGATGGTCTCATAGATTCTAAGCTGCCGTAGAGGATGAAAGGTTATGAAACTCGCTCCTGCCAAGATGATGACTTTTGGAGTCGAAAGAAAATTCTTGTTTGTGATTGTTATTGTTCTCTCCTACAAAAATTCCTCCTAAACGTTGATCCACTTATACGGCTGGAGTACACAGTCACTCTTGAGAGCAGAAAACCACTGGCTGCTAAACCCGCCAGTCACACACGTGAGAGGTATCACGTGCAACAATCAATACCTTGACCGTTTGAACCTTTGGGGTCTGTAACTGCAACAACCATTATTCGAGCAGTAATAGGTGATACTTAGTTTTCTTCAACACTGTTGAATACCTCCCAAAAGATCCAGAACCTGCAAACATTCACTACATCCTGCATATTGAAGATGAGCTTCAACCTCAACTCATCCACCACACCGCACAATCTTTCTTGTAAATAATTGAAAACTTAATCGATAAAACAATCCGTGATCTTTTTTATTGAGCACTTCCTTATCCATGTCTTATAACTCACAAGGAAATCGCATTCCTGGTCGTGATCGAGATAGGGAAAGACCAAGACAAGGCTCCTCCAAACCTTCATCTCGTGACAGAGAGAGGGACAGAGGCATTCGTCCTCCTTCCTCCTCTTTCGGTCATCCAGATGATTCATACCGTCGCCAGGAACAACGCGATTATTTTGGTTACCGAAGCAACTATCGAAAGCCTGGATATCAGGGAAATAGGAAAAGAGAGAGCTACGACAAATACCGTCCAGGCAATAAGAACAAACCTTCGCGTCCATGGAACGACAAACGAAAACCAGGGCCAAATGATAGATCCAGAGAGCGCTCAGAGTATAAGCCTGAAGAAAGGAGACCGTCTCAAGATGGCAAAGAGAGATTTGAGCTGAAGAACCTGGCCTTTCGAGATCGTACCGAGAAAGCGAGTCACCGCAACTCAGACCCTGCTCCTAGAGTAGCCACTGAGAGATCTGAAACGCGAGTGGGCTCTCTGACAAGCGACAGCAAGGTTAATCAACTTACTAAAACAGCTCGCATGCCTGAGATCAAGGACGAAAAGCTCCTTCATCTTTTTGATGATGATGTCAAGGAAGAGCCAACCCAGACGAGCCTGGCCGTTGATACTAAGAAGAGCGAGCCAGAGGGTAAAAAGAAGCATGATGAGAGCAATCCAAAGGAGAACTCAAAGTCTGAAGTGAAAGTTCCTGAGAAGCTGGTCTCTCTAGAAAAACGGGAGTTTCCTGAGAAAAAGGGTTCCTTTGAAAGATCAAATTCGATGGAGGAGAAAAGTTCACTTGAAAAGAAGGAATCTGTTGAAAAGCAGGAGTCTTCTACGCAGAAGGAGACCGTTTCCAAGCAGACAGTTCCTGACAAGCCGGATTTGATAAATAAGAAAACACCTGATAATCAAGATGGTGACCATCAGAAGAAAGATAATAGAAAGGGGGTTGACGTTGTGGGCCGTGAAGAGACGAATTCTAAGCCTGACCAAAAAAGCCAAATCGATGGGAGCGTTGAAAGTGAGGTGGAGTCAGAGGCTGAGACGGTGATAACGAACGATCCTATCTCCACTGAAGTTGCCAAGCTGTTGGTCCGCAAACGTGGAGTGGATGAAGAACGCAGACGACTCAAACGCAAAATAATATACTCAGATGAGAGTGATGAAGAAAGTGACGAAGGAAATAATGACAACGATGATTCATACCGCCCTTCGTCTTCTCAAAGGCCGACAGAGGAGCAGACAGCCTCATTGGATAGCAATACTACCCCTTCTTTGACTCATCCAGGTCTGAGACGTCGAAGAAGCTCCAACGATTCGAGGAAGTCCGCCAATCGTTCAGGCCTCGACTCTTCAGATGAATCAGAAAAGGAAGAAATCCAACAACGGCAAAAATCGAAACAAGAGTCCAAACCATCAACATCCTACAAGATGAAGAGAGACTCTACAGGGCGCTCCTTACTACAACGAGCATGCAAAAAAGGAGACCTTGAGGCAGTGAAAAACCTCATTGCTAGAGGGGCGGATGCTAATGAGAGCGATTTTGGTGGTTTCACCTGCTTACACGAGGCTGCATTGGCGGGTAATACTAAAATTGTGGAGTTTTTAATCAAAAAGGGTGCCGATGTCAACAAGCAGGCTTTGGAGGCAGGCGACTCAGAAACACCTCTCATGGATGCGTCCGAAAACAAACATGTCGAGACCGTCAAAGTCTTGCTTGCTCATGGTGCTGATCCTAATATCACAAATGTTGATGGATTTTCAGCTTTGACGAAGCTCTATCATCTTCAGACTGAAGAAGATAATTATGACGAGGTGATTAGCCTCCTTAGTGCAGCAGCAGATGAGAAGCAGTCGCTGAAGGCCATTTCACAGTCACCAAGAAAAGTTATCGAGGATCCCAATGAGAACTATTTCAATGATTTGACAAAAAAGAAGTCGTCTGCGATTTACAAGTATGTTGCCCAAGGCCTTAAGGAAGCTGCTGCAGAGGACTTCATTCTTCACGGATATTCATTGCTGAAAAAGCCCGATATTTTGATCCTTGCGGCTCGTCATGGCCATACTGAATTGGTTGATATTCTTCTCGGCCTCAACCCTGGTTCATTCGACATTAATACCAAGAACAAGGCTGGCGTGTCCATTCTATTAGCAAGTGTGGGAAGGGGCAACTATGATGTTGTGAAACTTCTTCTAACAAGAGGAGCAGATCCTCTGCTTAAGAGAGAGAAGGACAGCTTAAACGCACTTCAAATCGCAAAACACTCTGCGCAACATGATCCAAGGGAAGTGTTCCTCATTGAAAAGCATATGTCTGGGGAGAGCGAGAAACCGTCTATACAACATCCTCCATCGAGTCCCACTCCTGATGGTAAAAACTTACCTAATCCATCGCTTGTCAAGAAGGAATCGGCGGAGAACCATGAAGGACACACCTTCGAAGCAAGTGATGTTAAGCCAAAAGCGAAGCCCCAGTGGAAAATGAAGTTGCATCCAAGAAGCGTAAAAACCTGGAGGACAGTGACGCAAAAGGAGTAAAAAAGAGAAAGGATGCTGTGAAGGCTACAATCGAGGAAACTCAGGCTACTGGAGAGGAAGCGAAAGAGCTTGAGAAAGCGCTTCTCGGATCTCCATCGGGAGAATCAAAGGATAAGTCGGCAGAGGAACATCGTGCCAAGATCCACCACACCGCTAGCAACATATCGTTATCACCAGGCCCTACAACTAAAGCACAAGAGGAGCAGAAACAGAAGGCTTTGGAAGAAGCCAAGATTTGGCAAGAGAAGGTACAAGCTAAGAAGCGGGCACGTAAAGAAATGTTTTTGCAAGCCGAAAAGGAGAAGGAACGAAAGCGTAAGGAAGACGAGGAGAGAAGAGCGGAGCTTGAGAAGCAAGAAAGATTGAAAGCCAAGGAGGATGAGATCAAGAAAGCACAAGAGGCAGAGAAACTTGCGAAGGATTTGGAAGTCAAGCGCAAGAAGCTTGAGACTGATCTTATTTTGCAAAAGTACCCCATTGGTCTCAGGCAATTTGTTTTCGGCCTGAAGGTGAGTGAAGTCGAGCGCCTCAAGTACAGCCCTCTCTACGTCTTTGATGTTGGGGGAGGCAGCGCTGTGATTGATTTGCAAATCTCCCTCCTTCTTGCTAAGCCAGTGTCTGACTTGCATGAGCAGTGCGGCAAAAAAGACGGCGATGTTAGGATTCTAGATCAAGAAGCGAAAACCAAGGTATGGCCCTTGTTTTTCCCCATGGTTGGTGTTGGCAAGAACCACCAAGTTGAAGCAGACGGACTTGCAAAGTTCGTGGGACTCCAGCTTTCTTTCTTACCGTACGAGGCAGCAGCAGAGTATGTCAAAGCAAACGACGCAGGTCTTCACGAGAAAGTTTGGTCGGTCAAGAAAGAAACAAGAGTGAGCTTGGCTCTGTTGCCTGTGGTAGCGAGCCCCAGTACTGCAGCACCGGTCCACCCCCACCGTGGTCTGGAAAATGGCGTAAGTCCAAAAGCGGGCTTTGTTCCGCCTAGATGGAAGCTTCGCCAGGATGTGGTTAAAACCATCTGTTCGGCACACACGCCGTTGTGGTGATCGCATCCACACCATAATGAGTTACGACGTGTATATTAGTAAATGTATATCAGAGATGCGCATCGCAGTAGTTGGAGAGCATCACCATGGTGGATCAGAAAAGGTACGAAACCGAGAGTCTGAAAGGTAGATCTAGTACTAACGTCAGAACCAACAGAAAGGATCTTTATGATCTGGAGGTGGAAAGTGACCACGAGCCCGTGGTATTGCCCGACATGGAGTTTGAGCTCATAGATGTGGAAGAGAAACAAGATATTCAAGAACCTCTGGAAGCTCCTCCTGACGAGCCCGAAGAATTTGCTTTCCCTCTTTTTTCAGCTCCATCCACCGAGGTCATGACGGTGACGATGAGAGAGGATGAGGACGAGGAGGAGATCAATAATGAAAGACCAGAGTCCTACTACCGAGCGGTTTATACCACCGAGGAAAAGGAGCAAATAAAGTTTGCCGCCGTAGATGCCTCGTTTGTGATCGAATGGTCACAGGCAGTTTTTCCTGATCCAGATGCGCCCAAGATGGTGAATCTCAGACAGCACAACGAGGACGTAGCCAGAGAGCTACAACGTAACCGCAAGCGCAGACCTGGAAAGAAGAAGCGTGAAAGTGCCATAGTGTGTCGTGAGAGAAGGAAGGCCAGAGAGCAGGAGGTCCGCAAGCTTCGAAAGGAACAAGAAGCTCGTGAGAAGAAGAAGAAGTTCAAGAAGTGGGTTCCTGGAAAGAGCAATGTGAAGGCTCCTTCGAAGCCAAAGTACAGAACGGAGTAAGCCTTTTCATCAAGTGGAGGGTACTCAGAAGAGCTGAATGTGGTAAAGTCTGCTTGGCACTGAGAAGAAATTGGAGGTTGAAAGTGTGCTCTGTCTCCCAATTCTCAGAGTCCGGTAGGTCGGAATTTGATAATCGGTGATTCCATTTCCACACGATGCTTTTTGCGTGAGCTATAAGCTCCAATGTCAGACCTCGATGGTTCCACTTGATCTGAAGGCTTCAGCAAATACTACAGCATTTGAGGAATGGCTCGATCGGATTCTGCTAACCGGGCATGTTTCTGATTATAGATTTACATGACACACGAGAACACATGAACCACATGAAGACGAGTACAGCATAAGAGGGAAGCTTCAAAATCAAGTTGACCCATAATTGCGCCTCAGTTAGCCGACATGCATCAAGCTTATCATGTCAAGAAATGGGATGTTTTTCCAGCCAAATAGATAAGCGACGGTGGAAGATGATTATATATCAGCCCAGATAGTCAATACCGACGATGAGTGAATGTCAAGCTGATTGCTTTTTGGTTTTTTCTTATCAAAAACAGGGTTGTCTCCAATTGCGCACAACACCCACCTCATCATGCGGCATCCTAGCGGAAGTGCCCGGGATAAGGGCCCATTTGCATGAATGTACTGGAATATCTGCTTCAAAATTTCACGTTTTTGATTCATTTTGTCGACTCACAGGCTTATGGGGGTAGGCTATCTGGAAGCCTCAAATTCAGAGGACAATTGTGTCAAATAGCAACCGCCACCTGCAAAATTAGACTTGAATGATAACCGCCTGCTTGAGTACACTGCGTTGTACTGCAGTTTTCAATGACGAAAACCAATTCTGTACGTGTAGTATATAGTGGACCCCATCTGCATTTCGAGTCGTTTATCAAGATATGCGGCTTTTTATCCACCTACCGTTTTATGCCTTCTACGTTGCTAGTATCGTGCTTCCGTTGCTCGAAGACATTGGCGTCAAATCTCCTCTCAAAAATATTGGACTTGACCAACAGAACAACATTGAGTTACCAGGGACAGATGTGCATTCAGGACTTGCACCTTTATTTGTACTGAAAAATTCGATTCAAGGAAAGTTTATCGTTGTGCTAAATGATGGGATCTCCGACGATGATTATTCGTCTCATACCGCCTGGATCAAAGAAATCACTGGTCTAGTGCAAGAAGAGAGCGTTAATGAAGTCAAATCATTCAAAAACTTAAACTTTGCTGGATACATTGGCTATTTTAGTGAGGAGGTGCTGCTAAAGATTCGGGAAAACCCGCAGTCAAGTACGTTGAGCAAGATGGGCAATTTGAATTTCAAGAGACGAAAGCTCAGGAAAACGCAACCTGGGATCTTTCAAGAATTTCATCCCGTAAAAGAGTACCTGGACTGAGTTCATACATTCACGATCCAAAAGGCGGTGAGGGAGTCACTGCGTACTTGATAGATAGTGGGCTCAAACTTGACGAAGATTTTGAAGGTCGGGCTTCACATGGCAAGGCTATATCGTTCCCTCCTACCTCTGAGGATTTGTTAGGACATGGTACACATGTCGGTGGTATCATTGGCTCCAAAACTTGGGGAGTAGCCAAGCAAGTCCATATTGTATCAGTGTCGGTGGCCAACTTCTATGGTGGGGTTTTTGAGTCCGATTTAATTAGAGCCGTTGACTGAGTGGTCCAGGATCACAAAAGAAAGGTAAGGCAGGCACCTAAGGGATTCAAAGGCTCTACTATCAATTTTTCTATCGCAGGTTACGCATCGAGCGCTGTGGACGATGCCGTTAATGCTGCTTCCAATGCTGGGTTGCACGTTGTGATTGGTGCTGGAAACAATGATGACGATGCTTGCAAGACCTCGCCTGCAAGAGCTAGCAAGCCCATAACAGTTGGTGCGATTGATGGCAAAGACGTGAAAGCCAGCTTTTCAAACTTTGGTGAGTGCGTTGACATTTACGCTCCAGGTTATAACATCGAGTCCGATGGTCTCATTTCGAGTCCCTTCAAGATGTCAGGAACTTCTATGGCCACGCCACATGTCACTGGTCTAGTTTCGTACTTCCTCTCTTTGCAGCCAGGCATAAACTCTGAGTTTTTCAGCTCTCTTGCCGAGCCTTCGGAGGTGAAGAAAAGGATTCTTGAATTTGCTACAAATGGTACAATTACGAAGTTACCACAAGGATCCAATAATCTTCTTGCTTTCAACGGTGCCGAGAAGCGCACACTGTTTTGGGAGGAATGATTTTTAGAGAAATTGCTTTGAACCATTGATTCTTGGTAAACGTATCAATTGAAAGAAAATATTGGCCTCTCTATCTCGCCTGATCTGAGAGCGCATAATAGTACGCTAGAAACGTAGGTAATTCACTGTTTCACTTGAATGCACGACTGAGGTCTTCAAATCACGTTTATGGCTTCAAAGTCAATTTATTTTTAAATTGTGAAATCCGTCTTGAAAATTCGATCGGGCCATCTAAAAACTTCGGGGTCCACTCCAGAGTGAGTTTTTCCTGCACACCTCGGCATCAACACCAGCTACTTACAACCACGTCTTCATGACAGCTCAAGCCATTGAGGACTTTGAGGCCTTTCTAGAGGACAATTTTGAGCCTACAAAGTTCGCCTCCTCACTACTACTAGCTACCAATGTTGCCGACGACTCAGAGCTTGATTTGGCGACACCAATCAAAAAGCTACAGTTTGATGCCAACGAGTGTGAATCTAGAATGGAGCAGATAGCACGCACACATACCGAGGAGCTCGTTGCCAGCTTCACGAAGATAGAACTGACGAAAAACGTCATGGAGCTGTCGGTGACACCGCTGGTGGAGAGAGTTAAGAAGCTGTATGCTCGAATTCAGCGTGAGATCGTCGATCCATACAAAGAAGCCAGTCAGCTCAACGAAGCGCTTCAGAGGATTCACACCACATCAACGCTTCTTCGAGGGGCCAGTTTCCTCATTATGTTCATCCAACAACTACAAGACTGCGAGGCCGCAGGGTCTGATTCTGTGAGAATGGCCAAACTCTATAGTTTGATGAGCCGGTTCTACAAGGGGCGCTTGCTCCTGAACCTGCCAGATTTTGGCGATGTTTTTTCATTGAAGTTTGTGAAGGAGTACAGGACCATATTCCAGGCTCGCTCGACTGAGTTCTTGAGCTCACTCTCTGAAAAGATCTCCAACGACATAGCACACCATAACTCATTCAAGGAGTCAAACGACTCTTTGCGAAGCAATATCATGGCCTTGCATATTTTGGACAGTGCAGAGCTTTTCCAGGTATTGGATAAGGGTGCCCTTTCGAAATCAGTTCAAATTGCATCCACACAGCTTTCCAGAGCATTGCAATCTCCACGTAGCTTTGGCGCTGCTTTGGAGGATACGAAACGATTTGCTCTGCAGTTCACCACCACACTCGAGTCTTTACTTCGTGCTTGTGTGTCAGAGGATCATCTGTTATACACTGAGTTTATCGAACATCTTCAGGCTTCCTCGCTCAAAACCGTGTATTGGGAAAGGCTTGTATCAAAATTCAAAAGAAACATTGCCACGACAATGGCGAGAGGAGGTCCAATCGCCAAATCACTCGTTACCAACTACCCCAATATGGCGAATGCTGTGAAGAAGATTTTTGATGACGAGACAGCACGCCTTTTGCTAGACGCTATTGTCATCATCGACAACGCTCCTAAATAGAAATGACTAATGAGTTTACAAGCATGCATTTTATTTATATCTTTTATCGCTCGGCGACATGCATCTTTAAGCAGTAATTTTGCTTTTGAGATCAGTGAGGAATTCTCTGTAGCCCTTGGAGGTGGCAGACTTGTCTTCAACCAAGTTGCTCCAAACCCAGAAACGTAAGGCCACCAACAGTCTCTCCTGAGCCATGTCCATTGGCTCGTTAGAGCCGCTGCCAATGATGACATACAAGCTCTTCCAAACAATCGAATCCTTTTGTTCTCTAAGCTTGCCGATAATCTGTCTAACCTTATAGTTGAACTCGGATTCCTCGTATGAAAACTCTGGTAACTCTGTTTTACCAGCCTCAACCTCGTATAAGTTATTAGTTCCAAATAAGTCACCAACGAGATCAGGCACAACATCTCCCGACACCCACAAGAAAAGTTCACTTCCGTTGTCCACCAAGTATAATCCGTAGTTTTCCCAATTAGTCTTGGTAGCATTCTGAGGCTCCGGCATCATGATATCGGACGAGATGATCTCGCGTTCCTCGCCAGTCTCTGGGTCGGTTTCGATGTATGTTTCTGGCAAGCCACATGGGTCTGGCATGCTATGCAAGGCGTAAACTGTTGGGTATATGGTCTTGATCAAATGATTAAGAGGGAGAGAGCCCAAATTGTTCAATGCGATGGCTCTATGATCCGCTGGAAGCCTCTCGTCTCTGAAACCCATATTCTTCGTCAAGGCGAAGAGCAAGAGCGGCAACATACGCAAATTGGTAGAGATTTGCAAAGGTGAAGAGCCAGTCATGTTGCCAGGGATCAAATCCTTTTTGTAGACATTCAATATGTCAACGACCGACCTAAACAAGAAGTCTCTACCGTCACCCAAGGAGCTTGACAATGCTTTCTCGATTGCCCTGTGAGTCAAGTAGCTGGTGATGGCAAGTTGATCAGCAGAAGCGTAGATGTCGTCCAACTTGTTTGAGGTTGGGACAGCCAAATTAATGACTCTAACCCTCCTCTCACCGAAGCAAGTGGTATGTAGAACCGCAGCCTGGAAATAAACGACAGGCTTTGTGATTGTCTCTTCGATAGACACCTCGATAACGTAACTTTGGTCTCTAGGGAAGGATGGGAATGAGCACAAGTCTGAAGATCTGTTGAAAAAGTTACCAAAGAAACCACTCATCCTGAAACCGGTGGAACATCTAACTCTCAAGACAGCCTCCAAAGCAATTTCCATCGACAAATGCTCGCTAATTTCCTTAGACAACTTGGTAACATCTTCCACCTTTGTGCATGACCAAGATGGGTAAAAGTGAGTTTGACCAGCTGTGAAGCGAGGCAAATTTGACAAGGATGCCACATCTTGATACTTGTTACCAGCCAAAAATAAGTCGATAGAGACTTGCGCAGAATTACACTCCACCGCAAATGCTTTGTAGAATTTGTCAGCAGCATTCAACAACGTCTGCGCTTCCTTTGGTTTACCCGACTGTGATTCATCTCTAGGCAGTAATTTACCTTCACCAATATTTGGCAATGTAGCAGAGAAAACAACCAACTTACCACCAATATTGCTGGTTAGCCTGTGACCAGATCTCAAGGCGGGTCCCAAGGCAAAATGAGGGTTGGCGGTGCCCTCGAAATATGATGGGAATTCCATCAACAATTTCTCAAGAGCCTTCCTATTCTCATCCAAATTAATCAACAAGCCTTCTGGAGATGGCAAAAATGGCTCGTCAAGATCAGAGACAATCAACATCTCTGGGGCCTCGTCCAATCCCTCGCGGAAGCGGAAGAAGTGCAAGTTGGAGTCGACACCGAGAATAGCGATACGAGCAGTCTTATGCGTGTTCGGGATACGGTCCAAACTTTCCAATATGGTTCTGGCAACGGTTGAGGTCATACCAGAAGCCACGGCATCAGCAGAAACATCGATGATGAACGTGTACACAACGGGCTGAGGAGCTCTGGCCATGTACTCTTTAGGAGCGATGAATTCCACACACGAGTGGTTCAACTCAACACGATCGTATCTGTTAAGAGACTTTTGAGACAACTCATCGTAGTCGAAAGCCGCGGGAACATCATTTTGCAAGCCACAGAAGTTACATCTCCATCTCTTGCCGCCCTCGGTCCACGAGACGAACGGATTGATGTAACCTCTACAACGACGACAACGCGAGATGATGGTATCACGGGTGACCGGCGCCTGCTCGACAGACTCATGCAAGGCTGTGTAAGGACGAACCACAAGTGCCAAGGGCAACTTGGACTTCTTCAAAAGAGACGAGTTCACAGGAATCACGTTCAATGTTGAGCGGAGGTAATCGGACGACGCGTTAGCAGTCTCAGATCCAGGGACAATCGTGGCGCTTGGGGGAACGATCAAAGGAGGTGGGGGCAACGTCAAGTCAGAGATGGAAGGAGGCAACTCTTTCGATAAGTCCGTCGTGTACAACTGATTCAATGGCAAGGTTCCCGCCGCGCCTGCGCCCACCGTGGGAGCAGCGCCACCATAGTACAGCGATTGAGCCTGTTGGCCGTAAGGATCGGCAACGCCGTAGTTGTTTTGGTACTGGTTCTGGTATTGATTCTGTGCTGGAGCCTGATACTGAGCCTGTTGGGGTTGCTGCACCTGTGGCTGCGCGTATGGGTCGGCCTGGTAGCCATAGCCGGGTATTTGCTGACTTGGGTAGACTGGGCCGTTGCCATTGGCGGGGAATTGGGCCTGTTGTTGCTGGTTTTGTTGAATGTTCATATTCTGGAAGCCCTGCGTAGCCTGGTCCACGCCGTAGCCGCCGTACGATGGTTGAGCTGACGGCTGCTGAACAGCATACTGGGGCTGTGGGTATGCTCTTCTTCTTGACATAGTACTACGCCGAGAAAGAGGGTGTCGTAAAAGTTTTGAGACGTGGTCAAAGTGCGACGAGATTAGTTGATGTTGGACGCCCACTGTGCAGGACCACCCTAAATAGTGCCCGGGAAGATTCTGCTTTGGAAGTCACTAGTTGGTGAATTTATGCTGTTAGGACTTGAGTTATTGTATATTAGTGTCAAATCAATTGGCCGGTAAATTTTGCTCCGGTCACGTTGGTGCACTCATGGTTGGTGCTTCGCAGCGTGCTCAGGTACAGTTAGTCGTTTTATCCACTTGTTAAATTGGAAAATGTAGATTCAGATGAGAAAATGATAAAAAATTGCGACAAAGAGGAGAGCCCAAACTCGAATTGCTGTTGATTTTTCGTGCTGTTTAACCAATGGCTCCCTACTAACCATGTGCTCCGTTCTCAATTGAGATTATTTAAGCTTTGTCTAAAGAAACGCCTCTTCCAACTTCTTTATCTTTGATCCAATTAATCCATCTCAGAAATCACATGTGGAGACCAATTGTCTAGAATGTCTTTCTTGTAAGCATCAACCAAGACCCGGTTACCTTTGAGGGTGACAAGAGATACGTCCGAGGCGCTCGTCAACCAGGTTGGTCGGTTGGGTAGGCCGTCTTTCCTGACAATGTGTGGCTTTACGCCATATTCGAAACGATCAATGACCCGAGAATCATAGCTTATAGCAGGCACCACCCGAGACGGTACTTCTATAACTTCGGTACATATCCCCTGTTCTTCCTCACTCTGCAAAATCAGTTTCACAAGAGCGACGGTTTTTTCGACCCTTTCATTTGTGCCAAACAAAGTTATCTTGTCCTTACAATACCTCACTCCGTCGTGACGGAAAAAGATTTTGCATTCAAAAGGATCACCATTAATGGCAGCCATGACAAAGTTGAGTTCGAGAAGTGCTTGATATTTTAATGGCACATCTAGAACAACTTTTGACCTAGCACCTGCCCACTGCCTCAACGACTCAAAAGCCTTTTCACGCTCAATATTTGAAGGCAACTGGGATGCATGTCCACATGATAAATGCTTCCCATAAAGTAGCAAGGTACCATTTGACACAACAGCAGTCATCGTATCATCTGAAAGCGCTCTGTTGAAGAGGTTCCATTTTACTTGTAATTTCCAGATAAGCTTTTCGTCTGAGCAGAAGTAAAAGTCACTTGGCTTCATTCTTTTTAGGATGGACTGTAATTGACGGATCGCTAATGTCACATCGAGCTTTATAGGTCCAAATACCTCGATAAACTCAACGTCATACAAATCGCCACTACTTGGCAACTCTCCTACAACGTTATTATCGAGACAGCAGCAGGAGAATTTGTATCTTACATCATCGAGCGACAATAACATTTTAACATGCTCGATATTTCCACCATGAAGGTCTGCCAACACTAATCTCTGAGAGAAATACGTAGCAATGCATTTGGAAATCTTTTCTCGAGTCAGGATAACATCTGATTCATGACCCTTGATAAAGATCCTCTTCTCAGTTCCATTTTCATGAACGGAGCAAATGTCGACATTCTGAGTACAGCTCTGAAAGTCCCTCTCTCTAAATGCATACGGAACAATCACCGAATCACAAAAGAGGTTTGCATACGAGCGGAGGGTTCTCATCGCCTCAGAAACTAAATCCTTGTCGCCTTGCACTGCTACTTTGTTGGAGCACCCAAAATAACGACCAAGACGAATCGAATCCCCAAGACACTCTTTAACCTTTTCCATCGCCATATCAGCACAAAGTCCAATTCCGTGTGGGAAATAACACCAATCCTCAACCTCTAGCAACACTATCTCCGAGATCAGGGCCTTTGCTCCTAAACAATCTGTCTCGTTGCCTGTCACGTTCACTTGTACTGTAGGGGCAAAGTTAATGCCATTCATACGCCTCCAAACTAAATCATCGTATCTTATTTCCTCAGGGATACTGTATGAATAGTGTGGTTGAAAGCGCTTGCGAGCAATTGTGATCTCCACATTGTGCTTTCTTTTGATGGACCTCGCTGTGCTCCCTTTTGGTCCCACCACGGCGCTACGTCTTCTCGTGGGGATTTCGAATGTGATTGTGGTAACGGGACGTTTACGTTCAAACTGTGTTCGTATAAGGTTTCTAGCTCTCTTCATTTCCTGTGGGCTTCCATGAATCAAGAAGTTGGCCTCATCCTTTGACCTTGACATCTTAACGACGGCTCTGCTTGAAAGACGAACTTTACTTAAAGCCTTCTCTATCTCGTCCGTAGACATATTCTTGAGCTCATCCTCTGCCACAGTCAAGTGTTCGTAGGTGGAACGTGTAAAAGGATCGAGTGGGCCACTCATGTTTGCTCAATAAAGTCAATGGACGGGCGCCCTTGCTGATATATGTATGCGAATGATTTGGAAATGTTTTTGGTGACTCACGTTACTTGTCACCGGTGCTCATTGTAGTGATAATATCTCGCCACTCTCTATATCAAAGTGACTCAAGTAAATCGCGACCTCAACTTGAGACATGCATCCCACAGCATGAAACAACCAAAATGGTAAAGAGCACTTTGTGGCCAAGATGACTTTTTTTATGTCGCCTTACTTTTCTGTCCAATAACGATGGCCTCAATCGCCACGGCACCAACAAGACTTCAACGTCGTTTCATCCGACACTTTGCAACAAGTATTGGAGTGGGGCGTATACCTGGCAGAAGAAAGAGCTAGGATGAATTCGAAGAAGCTAAACGTGATCTTATTATTGCTTCACGAGAGGATTCCACCAGATTTCACACGCAGAGATCCACTTTGGGGAGACATCTTTTGTACTGCTTCCTCGTACCGTGCCCTGGAATTCGAGTATCTAAGCTGGAATTTCAAGTAAACAACGCCACGAAGAATTCTGCACGGCCTAAGGTTGATTCCGCATACCACTCGCCTCGAACCAATGAGAACTTAGTTTAACATGAGTTAAAGTCTGTTTTTGCAGCAACGAGGCTTTCAAAAGTTCCACGACTGTTGTGAATATTTCTCTGGCATCGCTGATTGGCGGTGTGAGCGCAATGAAGGCTTTGCAACGTATTTTGCATAACCGTGTCCGGGTTCTGCGTGACAAGATGTCCAGTCTTTTATAGCCTGGAAGGATACTGAATATTGAGTTCCCCGGAAAACGCTTGCCGGCTAACTTTAAGTGATTCGGTTTGACTCAAAAACCACACCACCCAAACCCGGATTATCCAGCCCACCTAAGATCGTCAAAAAGCCTACCTTATTTGTGCATTACCTAATCCGTAACCGTGTATGTTTACGGTCGCAAAATCGTCGAGAATATACATACCCCGGGGACCCTTCCCGTTTTTGGTACCTGGGTTTCCATTGTTCTGATTTCGTTTTCCCTTGTTTATGTCAGCATTCAGGACTTGGCGTTGCGTTCAACACGTTCACTGCTGAGCCCCGCCAGACTATACAACTTATATAGCCATTGGTATTTGCAGCCATGCCGTAGTTAACTGGAAACCCGTCTTTGATACCCAAAAATGCACATTCGCTTGATTCTCTCGCTTGTGCTAATCCAGCACGCAGCCTCCATGGTGATTCCCCTGCTTGATGAAATCGGCCTCGGCTCTCTCTTCAACAGGGACGGCTCTTCTTCCAATAAGCCGGAAAACTTGAAACCCAGAAATGGCCCAGCTCCTTTATTCAGAGTAAGCAACGCCGTGACCAACAGATACATTGTCGTGTACAACGACGAGGTGACCGATGAGGACGTTAGTTCCCACAACAGCTGGATCTCGTCTGTGGCTGAAAAACGAGACCAGACGGACGAACAAGACGACGAGCGCAAACTTGAGTTTTTTGGCTTGCCCCGTTTCCGGGGATACCTGGGCTGGTTCCCAGAAAATATCTTAAAATCCATCCAAGACAGCCCTCAGATCAAGTACGTTGAACAGGATGCCCGTGTGCACATGTACGACACCTCGTACCAGGACGACGCCACATGGGGCCTTACACGTCTTTCCGAACGTGGTGATAACGGTTCTTCTGACGCTTTTGTGTACGATTCCAAAGCAGGAAGCGGTGTAGTTGCGTATGTGCTTGATACTGGAGTGAGAGCGTGGGATGGAGACTTTGAAGGACGGGCAAAGTACCGCAAGTCATTGGCATTCCCAGGCATTCCTGTGGACATGCACGGTCATGGCACACACGTTGCTGGCACGGTGGGTTCCAAAACGTGGGGTGTAGCGAAAAAAGTGGAAATCGTGGGTGTAGGTGTTTTGGGGCCTCTTGGCACGGGCAAGAACTCCGACATTATTCGTGGCATCGAGCATGCGGTGAAGGGCCACGAAGAAAACGTTAAAAAAGGCACCAAAGGATTTAGAGGCTCGGCCATCAACTTGTCCGTTGGCGGAAGTGCCCTGGGAGCCTTGGACGCTGCGGTGAACGCTGCCATTGATGCTGGAGTCCACGTTGTTGCAGCCGCTGGAAACGACAACCTTGATGCCTGTGATTTTTCACCCAGCAGAGCCGAAAGAGTCATCACTGTAGGAGCTGTGGATGAAAACGACCAGAAAGCGAATTTCTCCAACTACGGCAAGTGCGTGGACATCCATGCTCCTGGTGTTGATATCGAGTCGGTGGGGCTCTCCACCAGCCCTACGCTCATGTCTGGCACCTCCATGGCAGCACCGCATGTCACCGGGTTGGTTGCGTATTTTTTGTCGTTGCAGCCGGGTTTGGGGTCCGAGTTTAGCGGCGACCTTGTGGATCCAGCGGAAATGAAAAGCAGGCTTCTTGACTACGGCACCAAAAACGTGCTCAAGGGTCTTAGCTCGGATACAGTGAATCTCATGGCGTACAACGGAGCCGAGAACGCCACGGGGATCTGGGCATAGCCGAATTTTGTCCGGTATCGATTGGAGAATTTCTTGCCAGTGGAGGGTTGCAAAATCCTCAGGGTCTGGCTGCTCGCACATCGAGACCATTAAATTGTGAAACACAAAACGTCATGTAGCGTCGTAGACGGACAAAATCGTCAACTTAGTGCCGTCAAGCCCTCGCCAACTGGACCGCCACCTCTCAGGCGCCAATCTCGAAAACACGCACGGCGATCGCCAAAACGCTTTTCCAGACGAAGCACAAAGCCATGGCTGAACGGAAGTGGCTGAGTAGCCCATGCCACCGTCGTCAAGCGACAAACAAATTTTTTCTACTTTGTATTTCTGGTGTTTCAAGAAGTTGAGGACTTGTGGCCCCGGAATGTCTTATCGCTTAATGCCCCTCCACCCAAGTCATCCGCCCATTTCCCCCAGAGATGAATTTTTTTCTTCCCGGCGTGACCCGTTGTGGATTTGCACGGCTGGCAATCCCAGCCATCGACAGATCTACAGCACGCGGACGCCCGATCCCGTAGAATGAAACCGCTTCAGCCTTCCTTGCAGCTTCCACGATGGCAGGGCTTCTCCATTGCCTAAGCGAACGGGTTCGCTGCGTCCAAGCCTCGGCCACGGGCCACGGGATCTTGTCATCCGGGCAAATTCCACCTGACACAACATTTCAGAAAATAGCGTTTTGGTGATTTTCACGGTGGCAGCTTTAGGGCGGCACCTTTGGTGGCTGCGAAAATCACCAAGCTTCTACCTCCTCCTCCCACACACCACCCTCCGACCGTTGCCAGAAATATCAGCTGAGCCCGAATCCAGGCCGTTCCGAGATCCAGAACCCACAGTGCAAAAGCCCCGATCCCGCCCGCAAGCCGACATACCGTCCTGATACCCCTGGAAGCAGACCCACCAGAGCCACTAAGGTGCGGAGAATACCACCCTCCAGCTACCCAATACGGCAGCAGATACGGCACACCTCTGCCTCCCGGGAGCAGTTCGACACCAACCGTCCAGCACACAGGGTGATTGGCTGGTGTCGGTGAGCAAGGGTGGGAATTGGGAAAGATCACCCGGTGAGAGCCACAAAGTCGGCAATTTCGCCATCTTCTGACACACGGTGCTCTTGGCAAACCTGAACCCTGACGTCAAGATAGCCTTTGTGCGTCATGGGGAGGTGGGGCAGGCTTTCCTGGGGAGATTGAAATGAAGGGCCCTGTTTTCTCTCAATTGTGCTATTTGCAGCAATGGGACTTACGCCAGATCGACGATATTTTTTCGCCCTGACGTCCGCGGACATGAGACGGCATGGGCCCCGCAGGGCGGTTGCAAAAAAACAACCACACCAGATCCTCAAGCCCCTATAGCCGCTTCACCTCTCCAAGCCCCAATAGCCGCTTCACCTTGGCGACTTGCGCGGCTTGGCAAAATCGTTGCCTTATCGCTTCCGCTCCGAACTCGCCTAGCTCCCAGGTACAATTCGTCCATGAAACATGGAAAAGCGACCTTCGGTCGTGGTTAGGAACCAGGCACAGCCGGCAACGCAATGCCAAACAATGGGCATATGGCGTTGGCGAACAATGCACCGGCTGTCGCCGATGCACCCGGTTCTGGTATCTCTGCATCGAAGCCAAATGTTCGACCGCTTGCGGGATGGAGATCTTCACTATATAAGAAGCCCGGCTGGTCCGCTGTTTGGGCTTGTTCATCACCATGAAATTCAACTTCTCTCTTTTACTTCTTGCTGGCTACTCTGCTGCCGCCGTGATCCCCTTGTCGGGCCAGCCCGAGCCTGCTGCTGAGGCCGCCGTGGAAAAGAAGGACCTTGTCTCGCTGATTGCACCCTTGTTCCGTGTTTCCAACCCGGCCAAGTCCCGCTACATTGTGGTGTACAAGGACGACGCCTCGGAGGAGTCCAAGAACGAGCTCAGCGACTGGATCTCTCAGAGAATCTCCGCCAAAAGAGACGGCTCCATCGACAGCTTGAACTTCTTTGGTTTCAACAGTCTCAGCGGCTACCTGGGTATTTTTGACGACGACATCTTGGGCTCCATCAGAAACAGCTCCGCCGTCAAGTACGTCGAAGAGGACGCCAAGGTGTCGGCGCTGAGCCTCACCAGACAGTCCAACTCCGAATATGGTCTTGTCAGAATCAGCCACCGCAAAAACGCCGCCAATGGCAACTACCTCCATGACGACGAGGGCGGTAAGGGTGTCACTGCCTACGTGGTGGACACCGGAGTCAAGTACGACGACAATGAGTTTGAAGACCGTGCGTCTTTCGGTACTTCCATCGCCTTGCCTAATGAAAAGAAAGATCCTTCGGGTCACGGAACCCATGTGGCTGGTACAATCGGTTCCAAGACCTTCGGTGTGGCCAAGAAGGTCAAAATTGTCTCGGTGAATGTGTTTGACTCCAACGACAACGCTTACGTTTCAGACATGTTGAAGGGCTTCGACTGGGTCATCAAGGACCACAACAAAAACAAGGACAAGAGTGGCTTCAAGGGCTCCACTTTGAACATGTCCATTGGTGCTGCCAAGTCCAGTGCTTGGACTGACGGAATCAACGCTTTGCTCAAGGCTGGTATCCATGCTGTCGTTGCTGCTGGAAACGAAAACACCGATGCCTGCAACTACAGTCCTGGTTTGTCCGATGCTATCACCGTAGCTGGTTCTGATGAAGACGACAACAACTACAGCAGCTCCAACTACGGAAAATGCGTGGATATCATTGCCCCTGGTGTCAACATCGGCTCTGTTGGAGTGAGCCTGTCTCCTTATTACATGACCGGTACCTCCATGGCTTCTCCTCACGTTTGCGGAACCGTCTCCTACCTTTTGTCCTTGTACCCAGGCAAGGGTTCTGAGTACAGCTCTTCTTCATCGCCATCCGATATAAAGAAGATGTTGATTAGCTACGGAACCAAGGACAAGATCTCTGGCTTTAACAGCGACACCCCCAACGTGCTTGTGTATCAGGGTGGAATGAACCCCACTTCTTTCTGGAAGTAGGAGACTTTGGTCCTTCCCTGAACGGATTTCCACTTTCAATTTGATTATTCCTTCGTTTGCTTTTATCTGGCTAGCCCAGTACAAAAATACCCTTTGTAACAATGAATGGAGGGTTCTTTTGGCCCATTCGCTGAACAGCAGTTTGTAGTCATTGAGAGTAGGTTGGCGTTCTAGTGTTAACTAGGTACTACCGTGGTTTTACTATGCCCCTGTGTATTCGCTATGACGGTTTCTTCAATCGGTCTCCTCAATAAGCGGGTCGAGAATATGAAGGTAGTGACCCATTACTTCCCTTTCTGACACTCTTTTCCACATCTTATGCTGGTTCCTAAACACCTCAAGGAAGAGTCCTCTTAAAAGGCGATTTTGGAACGCTGCATCGAGTTCTGGACCATTGGTACACTCCTTCTGAACCTGTCGCTCTTCTAGAGAGGCCATCTGGACATAGAAATGGAAGGATTTTTGGTCTTTGGTTGAAAAGTGGTCTTCAGGAGGCTGGTTTTCGTGCTCTTCTGCATCGATAGCACCGTATTCCGGGGTGGGAGGTCGATAGACGAGGTACGGGTTGGCGAAGACGGGATCATCACGGTGAGTATGGAGAGATCTTGAGCTACTTATGGAGAGACTTTTGGCCGTTTCGAAGATCGAAACCAAATCAGGCAGAAGCATAGTGGTGTGTTTGGGAATACTTCGCAGCTCTTTTTTGCAGCCATGGTCTGAGAAAGCACCATGCTCTGGAGAGTTCAAAAAAAAAAAAAACCATTTAAAGCAGCTTGAGCTCCAATAAAATATATTTAGGATCTATTTGTATTGGAAGATTAAGATTTAGCCTATTTTCTTCTTCCTATTCCGTTTGCCTGTCTATTAAGCTGTCAAGTAGTCGATAACTCACTGACTAGTAAAGGGCACACTTGCATTGGGGAAATAAGCCTAGATTGACGTATTATTATGCAGACTATGTTTACAGACGACAAAATATCTTAGAACCATTTCTTGGGCATTTCATTACAACCAGATGTTTCCCACTCTATCTTCAGAGCTATCGGCCAAGCATAGTCACGTAACCAACTCCCACTTTATACATGCTACTCGGCTTAAACTCAATTGACTTTAGCCATCAAACCCGATTTATTTTCATTTTTAAGGCAATTAAAGATACTACAATGAAACCTAATTTGTCACGTGACCATTTTCATATCAAAATAATCTAAATTCCACCCTTAGAGCAAGCCCACAGGGGTTATTCAAGGATGATTTCTTGAATCAAATGTCTACCTGACTTCTTAATCTTTTGTTGCTCGACAACTTGACCTAACTCATCTGAGGGCGGGTAATGTATTCATCACGACCTGCATATGCTCACACGCTCCCACTATAAATGGAAGAGCATCGCACCTAAATTTTTTCCATAAACCATTATTTGATCTCTTTACATGAATACTCCTAATTTCATGCAGACTTTTTGTTGCGGGCTTGTGGCTTTCAGCCATGGCATCGCCGCTTCGAAGCGATCGAGAAATCAACGAAGATGAGGAAACTAAGTCTCTTCTTTCCCAGTCCGATTCGACTATGACGACAGGGTTGAAAAGCGCCTGCAGTGAGTTTACGGCATTGGGTTTAACCTGGTGTTTCATTGTGGGCTTATACTTGCCAGTATTTAACAGTTCTGATTCAAACAATTTCTCAGTGGCTTCGAAGCAGCGATGCTTGGTTGATACCTGGAAGCACGCAACAAAGAGTTTGCTCGATTACAAGACAAGGCTTGTGTGATTCCGGTGATGAAATATCCCATAACATTCGCAGTTTCCACGGTAGCATACGTCTAGAACCCAATCTAGTATGCCGGTGACCGCCAATCGACCTTCCATGGATGTCTGATGGAATCACTACAAGTTTGTCTTCTTTTGGTTTATGGATCGTAAAAATTTACTACGTAACACACCGTTAGATCTTACCCTTGACGTTAGGGCGTGTCAATGGCCACTGGTAGGAGCCTGCCTCCGAGAATACGTAGCCATGGTCAGTCAAAAACTTTCTCAAGTTCTTAGGACCCTTTGAGCCGTATGGGTAGATTTCAGGCTTAGGAGCCTTGTCCGACTCAATGTACTCCAACAATGGTGTGAACAACTTCCAAGACACATCCAACTCGTCATCTCTAACGAAGTTGGCATGGTTGCCCAAGTAGCAGTCTCTGATCAAAGCCTCGTATGCCTCAGGAATCCAGAAGTCATCAGAGTATCTGGTGGAGTATGTCAAGTCCAAGTCCGTCAAGGAAGTCTGTGTGGAGATACCGGGAATCTTGGAATTGATCTTGGTGTAAACAGCCTCGTTGGGTTGGACTCTGATGACCAACTCGTTTCTGTGGATCTCCTGGAAAATACCCTTGGCCACCTGCTTGAACTGGATTCTGATCTCCACCTTGGACTCGTCCAAAGCCTTACCGGCTCTCAAAACGAAAGGCACACCGTCCCATCTTTCGTTGTGAATGTTCACAGCAAGGGCAGCGTAAGTGCTGCATCTGGAATCCTTGTTGACAGTATCGTCGTCAACGTAGGAAGGCTTAGAACCATCTTCAGACTTACCATATTGACCGAGCAAGATGTCGTTGGGGTCGAAGTCGTCAAAGGCTTTGAGCACCTTCACTTTTTCATCTCTCACAGCCTCTGGGTCGAACGACACAGGTCTCTCCATCGTCAAAAGGGTCAACACCTGCAATAAGTGGTTCTGCATGACGTCTCTGATTATGCCGATCAGGTCAAAGTAACCGCCTCTTCCCTCTGTTCCGAAAGCCTCCTTGAAGGAAATCTGAACCGAGGAGATATGCCTGTTGTTCCACACACCAGACCACAACTCATTACCGAAACGCAACACCAACAAGTTCTTCACCATTTCCTTGCCCAAGTAGTGGTCAATTCTGTACAATTCCTCCTCGGTGAAAAGAGGAGCCAAATCTTTCTGCAATTGTCTGGAAGACTCCAAATCGTGGCCGAATGGCTTCTCGACAATGACTCTCACTCTTCCGCCCTCGGGATAGACGAATTGCTTAATGTGAGAAGCAACAGTGGTGAAAACAGATGGAGGCAATGCTAAGTAGAACAAACGCTCAGACTTGGAGACCTTGTTTTTGGTGTCGTACTCTTGAATCGCCTTCTCGAGCTTTTCGAAGCCCTCAGGCTTGTCGTATGGACCAGAAATGTATGAGATCAACTGCAAGAAACCGTCGACTTTGCTCTTTGCCTTCTCATCGTGCAATTTCAAGTTCTCCTTCACACGCTCTCTCAACTCCTCGGTGGTCAAACCCGAACGGGCGTAACCAATGATGTTGACAGTGTGAGGCAACTGATTTTCTCTGTAAAGCCCAAAGAGAGCAGGGAAGGTCTTCTTTTTGGCAAGATCGCCTGAGGCGCCAAAGACGACAATTGACACGTGCTCACCGAAACTGTCTACTGACATGCTTTTATTTGTGGTGATTGGAAAAGGTAGTTAAAGGGGGGATTTCAAGAAGCAATTGTTGCTAGGAAACAAAAGTCAAAAGAAAAAATCCCGGCCTTGCGGTTATATATGATGAGGTCGCACCAACCGCCATGCGAGATATAAAGGGCGGCCTGCACGCAACCATAACGCTACCACCTCCCAGCCGGCCATGTCTGACCGATAATCGCACTATGACTTTAGTTGCTGGGACTTGAATAATACAATTTTCAGTCAATTGAGTTGAAGTTACTCGGAGTATAGTAATTTCAATGTCGAAAGTCACATGCTGATCAACCTTTTTAGCTCCGGCCCGGTACCGGTCATATTCCTCCGCTGGCCCTGCCCCCGTCGTTCGGTGCAATGTCTTGCGGATTCTCAACCTTCACGTGCGGTGATTACAAATTCGCAGTGAAAGAGCGTTGTACGCTTGCCCTGCAGGACCCATGGTTATCATTGACAAATAGCTGCAAATTCTAGGTGTTAGGTCCTCGAGGTCGTGGCGGATGCAAGAAACAATAGAGGGCTCGAATGCCTTAGTTTGCGATGCTGTATAAGTACCTCGAAATTCACACGCCAAGTGCCTTTTGAGAGAGTTTCACAGCATACTGATCCGGAAAAACTACCCAATTTGGCTGCCGTCGAGGCGAGATAGCCCTATCTCCGTTTGTCCTGGCTTTCCTCCCCCACGTCCCATTGTGCGAGCCGGGCAAAAGGAGGCAATCCTCGGAGGTTGTGGTATACTGCATAACGCTTATAAACAACGCCTTATCGTCTTTCACCTTCTTCAACTAGGTGCTCCTGACTGCCATTTTCACCATGATAGCTTTCAGGAGTCTCAGTAGTCAGTGAATCCTCCTTTCCAGTAGGCGCCTTCCCTTCAGGTTCACGCGCTTCGGCGTGATCTTCGTGTTCATCACCGATTTGAAACATGTCATCGTCGTAGTCTGGTAACGTTTCGGCATTGAATTCGTCAAAAAGATTCTCCTGCTCGCGTTGGCGACTGCCATCCAAGTCAAGCAGGTCTCTTTCTTCCTCATCACTGTCGCTGTAGTCTTCGCCAGGTATGATGTCAAATTCATAATCGTCTCTTCTACGACGTCTAGTACTGCCTGGAGACTTGTGGCACCTCATGGTGATGATGGCGATAAGGAATCCAAGTACCGCTAATGCCATGAAATACTGGCCCGCGTGGTCAGCAGCATAATGCTTGTTGTTGTCCTGCTTGCCGTCCTCGGGCTTATCCTCGTCATCCGACTCCTCGTCAGAACTGTCATCTGGTTTCTCAGGTTTTCCGGTTTCTGGCTTCTTCTTATGGGCATCAGTAGTAGTTGCGGTCTTCGTCGTCTCCGTTGATGTTTGACTGGTGCTGCTTGTGGTAATGAGCGAAGTACTCAGGGCAGCTGCCGTGGTCAGTGTCAGTGTCAGTGTCAGTGTCAGGGTCTCTGAGGTGGAAGTTGGTCTATTTTTGCTCAACTCACGACGCTCCGCAGCATAATCCCTGCTAAGGTCGTACTTTTCGGCTTTGTCTGCGTCGATGACCTCACCAAAGAGACGAAGCTGCCAGTTTTTAAGGGTCACCTCGTTTTGTCCACGAGAACTGGAAACTTCAAGCTTCCATTCGCCCACACCACTCTCACCGAAGTGAGCGACAGACATGAAAGTCCAGTCCCTGAGTCCGCGAGTGGACTGGTCGAATGGACGAGGATCAGCGAGCTTGCTAACGATACCATTTGGAGAGGTCAATTTCACCTGAATTTGGCCACGGAAAGTCGACTCAATGTTGACGGTAACAGTGATGTGCTCCACACGCTCAAAGTTGACTAACTTCAAGTCATCCTCGGTGAGATTGACGCTGCTCGAGATCCAGTCGCTAGCAGTCGTTTCACCAGACTTGACAGCTTCATTCACCTCGAGTAAGTCGGCGTAGTACCATGCCTGAGGCTTTACACCCTTCCACTTTTTGGCTTCCTCCACAAGCTTCTCGGCATCAATCTTACCGTAACCGTACTTATGAGAGTATTTGAGCCCAAGGGCTGTTTCTTGGTATTCACCGTCGTGTTCATTCACGGTGACAGCTGCCCGGGCAGCAACATGTTGCACATCACGCCAATTAAGCTTTGGATTGGCGTCAAGCACCAAGGCAAAAACACCTGCCGCCAAGGGGCAGCTGCCGATGTTCCACCGTGGCCCAGAGAACATCTCTTTCTAATGTCCGTTGTTTGAATGTGTTCGCCGGAGCCTGAACTATAAGTGACAACCATAACGGCTGAGCAGGCCTCGGCATACGTAGGATGCAAGTCCTTGTGATCGATGGCGCCCACAGTGATGGAATATATGGAGTTGGTGTAGCCGTCAAAGTTGCACTGGTCGAAAGCACGACCACCGTTGCCACTTGCGAACACATAGACTGAACCTTTGTTTTGGCGGCCCTCTTGGACGCCTTTTATCATGGCTTTGCGCACAATCATATCGGGAGCCGCAACGGTCTTGCCGTTGTCTGTGGGGCCCCATGAGCATGAATAAATATCGTTGGTTTCAAGGCCATAGATCATGGCGGCGGCCTCCTCCTCGGACGAAATTGCCCCGAAAGGATACGTACTCCGCTAACCTGACCTTCGTAGGCCACACCTATACCGCAAACGTCGTTCTTGACGGCAGCGATCTCGCCCGCACAACGAGTGCCGTGATAGTCGTCGAAAAGACGAGGAGTAGGCAAGTTTGTATTGTCGTTGAAATCCCACGAGCCCTTGGCGTTGAAGTTGGCCTTCAAGTCGTCCAGGTCGTGGTCCAAGCCGTCATCCACAACCGCTACTGTGACATTATGGCCACGGATACCATTATACCAGACATTCTTGACATTGATGTCATTTCCTGGATACCTGGTGTTCACCAAATGCCACTGACGAAGGAAAAGGGGGTCGTTGATGCCGAGCTTCTCGCTCACCTCTTTCAACACTTCTTGCAGAGAATCCGTGATTTGAAGATCCCGAGCAGCCATTTCCTCGGCAGCCTCGAAGTCCACAGGCACGGGCCTCCGGCGCTCAAGCTTTTTGGGGTATAGCATGTGGACCAGCTTCAAGCCTGGGTGGGTAATCAAGGCGTCGTGTGCATCCTCATATCCTGGAGCTCTTTTCATGAGTTTGTGGTTGTTGGAGTTGTGGTTGCCCAAAAACTGCAAATGCTCGTGATCTTTTTCGACGCTGAACACGAAATGATCGTCCATACCCCTGACTGGGTGCTCAAAGTGGTAGTCTGAGTGTTTGTTGATGAACGTGTGTAGGTTTTCACCCAGTTGGGAATGGTCGATTTCGACGATAAAGTATTGTCTGGCAGAGTAGTCCTTTTTGGGGACGGAGAACGCCGCCACTAGTGCCACGAAGCACTGGAGCAATACTAATGGCAGAAGCTTCATCTAGTATTAGTAGTTGTTGAAGAACAGCTGTGTCGCGAAAATAGAAATGGTGGGGAGTCTGAAACAAGACTATGAAGGAAAAAAAAAAAACGTAAAAAAAGAAACGCCCTGACACATCCAGGAAGGTTTGGTCCACTCAGAATGCAAATTTTTGCAATCAGGCGATATCAAAAAAATAATCGTTGAATTTTCTTGTTAGGGGGCCAAATGACACAAAACGTTGTGGGGGACCCTGTAATGGCTGCAAACAGTCCGCGAATATACCGTGAATCAGAAGGGGAATATGGACTGGAGATTTTAAAAATGTATTGAAGGTTGACTGTTTCGCTGGGTAAGTGTAGTCGAGATGGTACAGATTCTCAGATTGTTCAAATCGCCAAAAGCTCTTTATGCTTTTTCGATGACAGTAACACAGCCTGGATGCCATTGAAGGCATGGAATGTCTGGAGTTTTACTACGAGGTTTGTGGGCGATTTTCGTCCGTCTCACTCGTATAATGAATGTAGGAGTCCCGATTAGTTCAATCTTGAAAGGCACAGCCTTAGCACTTCATCTGGTATTCTCGAACTTCCAGGATAAGTGCAGCCCAGAAGAGGTTTCGTATTCCATTCTCTATATATATTGTAGTTGCTTCCCCGTTTTCCCCTGAAAGTGGTGCTCAACCTAAGAAGTGCTGACTTTGACTCTGATCGGCATTCTCCGAAAGTCTACTGTGATCGTCACATCGCGATACTACAGCTTCTGATCCGTCCGTTCTATTAATTCCTATTACCATTTTGCTCCAAAAAGTACAGCATTGGGGTCTGTGGGCTTCTCCACTTCGTTGAAGTGTGTGATGTAGAGGCGCTCCGAAGGAATGTTGGTTTCCTCACAGAACCCTATGGCCCACTTCTCTATCTCTTCGGCCATTTTCGTATTGTCCATGCTTGAGAGGTCCACTGCCCGATGCTTTGATAAATATCCTTGACTTGAGAAAGCCACTCTTTCTCCGTCACGTCCTGTGGCCTGGTTATTTGGCCACCTCCATTAATACACCCATCAGGACATGCCATAACCTCGACATAGTCACACTTGGAGGCATCTGAAATTTCAGACGGTGCCTCCAGTCCTGAGGTGCCATTCTTCCCTCCCATCCTGGCTCTTCTCCGAGCTGCAAGGGGTTAACCTTGCCTTGTTTGGCAGCTCCGCCAGGAGTTGGCTTGAGCTTTCTGACCAAATTTTGAATGTTTTTAAAGCCGTTGACTACCGCCGCGGATGCAATCTTGTCCCCAGACGGCTTGTGCATCAACCTCATCTCATACGTGTCCAGGTTACGGCCCTCGACGTTCACCACCTCGAAATCCTCCTCGCGGTAGACATCTGGCTGAGTACACATCATGTGGTTTCTTGTAAGCATCAAGTAGTTGTAGCTGTAGCCACCCGACTGAGATCCTGAGTCGTTGGCCCAAGAAAGCTCTTTGTAAGGCCACGAAGGTGGGGCCATTTGGTGATAGATATTGGAGCTCTGAGTTGCAACCTTGGCAGCGTTTGGCGGCAAAAGTTGGTACTTCAGTGTCTCTAGAAGGTTCACAAGCTCCTTCGCTGTCAAAACACAGTCCACGTCAGGAGCAGACGTTTCCACCGGGGTGTTCTCCGGTCTGGCACTCTCCAACTTCTTGTCAAAACAAGGCATGATTGAGAGATGATAAATGTCACTTCGAGAAATACCCAAATCACGGGCCACGAGGGTTTTGAGAAGGCAACCGGTGATTTGCTGAGGTGATTTTGTTGCCGAAAGCATGGGCAAGACGTAAGGGTGTGTCTTCTCCGCGTATAGCACCCATCCGGGGCAGATCGACAGCAAGACTGGCCCTTTTTGGCCACCTTGTTTTCTCGCAAACATCTCGTGAGCTTCTTGGAGCAATGAGAGCTTTCTTCCCAAGGCAGTACCCACGACATACTGGAAACCCATTTGGTTGGCAAACAAGTTGACCAATAAACGATCCATCTGCGCCACCGTGTATCCATATGCCTGGGCCAAGGAGGCCCTTGACTGGTGGCTTATGCTGGCCACAAACACCTTGTTCGATGTCTGATTCTCTTCAATCGCTCGTAAGAGTTGTTCATGTGAATGCTGGGCCACAAGCACTTCCTCGGCTGATGTAATACAGCCAGAGCATGCTAGGCAATCTGCCAAAGAAATTTGTGCTGGAGAAAGCTCAGCGGCCTTGCCATCGATCTTGGATATTTCTAAAGGATTTCCCTTCTCATCTATTTGTATCTCGACCTCTCCCGCTTCCTGGTTTTCCGGATTAGTCAGCTCTACTGGCTTGATGCAGGCGACACCAGGGGATATGAAGTCATTTAGGTCGTCCGCTGATAGGATGGCACTCATATGTTGAAGGAAGAAGTAGGTGTTGATGGATGACTAAGATGAGATATACTGCTGATAGAGATCGCGAGCACCAATGATAGACGGCAGGTTGTCAGCACACCCTTTGGAGAGAAATTTACTCCATGTGCACATTTAGAGAGCGTTTGGAGCATGGAATACAGATAATGGAAAATACGGTAATTTGATGGGTGGAATGGGATCAATATAAGGTTAGGGGATTGCACGTGATCGAGCACGTGAACGGCCCGACGGCGAATGGGTTTTAGACGGATTCTCCGTCGATCAGATTAACATTAAGCTCTGATTATGTTTAGTTTTTGTCAACGGGTCACTTTTTTCCGGTGCCGCCAATTTTGAAGAAGTGGTGTTTCAGAATTACAAAAACACAGCCGCTGGAAGGGTTCACCAGTGGAGGAAAGAATCCTGGAATTTCCGATGATCACTTTGAGTCAATATAGCTTTAAGCTCAATGTTTCGTTAGCTAGCTCTTCCTGTTCGGGCTGTGCATCGGGATCCTTCACCTACTCTTCGCTCACTCAAAGTACACCATAATGAACGTATCAAAATGGACTCAAAGCTGAAACGGAACACAAGTACTTGAAACAGGTGATATGATTCTTGAGAAGCTATTGAACCCTGGGTGTTACGGGCGTCGCACACTATCACGTCTTAAGCGGAAATGGTCTCAGCCGCATGACTAGGTCAATCGCTCACAACAACCAATATGGTATGTCTCATCGTGAATCCACCGAACTTATAACTTTTGAACGGTTAATCTTTGAAAGGCGTTTTGCAAATCAGAATCCGCAAGTGGTACAATTGTCACGATCTCTCAATAAGTAACACCTCCCCTTCAGTAAACCTTAAAGGCATCTTCCAAAACTCAACTCATCTGAGGGGAGCGAACGGTCTGATTAAGTAAAGCCCGAGCGGAAAACAATGGATTTCTCAAAAAGCATGGGGTTTGATAAGCAAGGCGGAGAAGGGTAATGACCGAGGTCTTGGCGATGTTTGTTCTAAGCTGGGGAATAGCGGAAGAAGACCGAAGCGTCAAGCGACAGCGAGAGGAATTGGAGAATGCTTCAGGGCTCAAACGGCATTTTGCCCCACAGACGGGGGTTTCGTTTCCTTGTGTTGAAATCTACAGAGGTGTTCTGAAGAAGTGGCTGCGAATTCATAGGGCGCAATACAACGAAGATTATTCTCGGACTTTTTCTAACTCTGTGAGGCCATTGTTTTGGTATTTCAAGCCCGGCTGAAGAGCCCTTAAACGAAGCGATCGCCCGGTGTTGCCCTAATCAAGCGCTGTCTCTTGGCACCCCATCCTTTGTTGATAAGCCGCTAGCTTAAGGTGAACCAGGGTGAAAAACTCTCTTGGACTCGAGAATACCGTCATGTTAGCCTCCCCGTTGGTTTTCTTGGCCAATTGATAAGACTGAGTATTTAATGGCTGCTTCGTCGCCATGGGAAGACAACTGCCTTCATGAGATCCGATCTGAAGGATTACGAAAAACAAATTGAAAGCGACGATGCGGTTTCGGGCCTTACCGGAGAGGCTTTGAACATTTCAACTCGTCATCAAGAGTCTCAAGCTGCCGAGGACCACAGATTGAAGCGGGTTTTGGATGCAAGGCATCTTTCTATGATCGCCATTGGAGGTGCCCTTGGTACTGGCTTGTTGATTGGAACCGGCTCTGCTTTGAGATCGGCTGGACCTGCTGCCATATTTCTTAGCTACTCGATCGTTGGCTTTGTAGTTTACATGGTGCTCAATGGTCTAGGCGAGGTTGCAACACACATTCCTCTAGCTGATGGATTCGCTGGTTATTGTCACAGATACGTTGACGAAGCACTTGGATTCGCCTGTGGATGGACATACTTGTTTTTGTGTTTGTTGGTAGCGGCAAACCAGTTGGTTGCAGGTGCCTTGACAATACAATACTGGATTTCTCCTGAAACGGCTAACCCGGGTATCTGGGTAGCGGTGCTTTTGGTATTCATCACCACCGTCAACGTCCTCGGAGTCCGTTTCTTTGGTGAGGTGGAGTTCTGGTTCTCTGTGACCAAAGTCTGCACTTGTCTTGGTCTTATCATCTTATTGCTTGTCATTGCTTTAGGAGGTGGACCTACTGGCGATCGCCTTGGTTTCCGTTACTGGCAGAATCCTGGTGCATTTAGAGAGTACGCAGAGCCTCTGAGAGATCTTCACATTGACGGCGATCTCGGCAGATTTGTGTCTTTTATTTCTGTGCTTGTTACTAGTGTCTTTGCGTACTCTGGCTGTGAGTTGGTGGGTATCACATTTCCTGAATGCGCTAGACCAAGAAAGGCCATTCCCAAAGCAATCAGGTTGACATTCTACCGTATTGTCATCTTTTACGTCCTCAATGTGTTGGTCTTGGGTATGTGTGTTCCCTATGACGATGAACGGCTTTTGGGTGCCAGTGGACTCACAGCTTCAGCGTCCCCTTTTGTGATTGCCATTTTCAATGCCCAGATTCAAGGTTTGGATCATGTCATCAACGCCTGTATTTTGATCTTCGTTTCTTCCGCTGCCGTTGCTGACATGTACATTTCCTCCAGAACGATATATGGACTCTCGGTTTCGGGATACGCTCCTTCATTTTTTTCAAAAACAGACAGGAGAGGCGTGCCATACTACGGTATAATGCTCTCCTTCTCATTTGCATTGTTGGCATTCATGGTGACCTCTTCAGAAGCGGCTGAAGTTTTTGATCATTTTGTAAACGTCGTTTCTCTCGCAGGTTTGCTTGCCTGGGCATGCATTCTCGTTGTTCACATGAGGTTTATGAGTGCCGTGAAAGTACAGGGCATCAGTCGAAAAAAGGACTTGGCCTTTCGCTCTCCACTCCAGCCTTTTGGCACATACTTTTCCCTTGGTATCTGTGTTTTCGTGATCTTCGCAAAGAACTTCACCGTTTTCCTTGGAAGTCCCTTTGACTACGAGACCTTCATCACAGGCTACATTATGCTTCCCGTATTTCTCATAATGTACTTTGGTTGGAAGTTCTGGAAGAAGACTAGGATTATCCCAGCCAGTGAGATCAATCTCGTGTCATTCCGTGAGGCTTTTGACTACCAGGAAGAGCTATTCCAGGCAAAAGACGCTGAAGAGCGGGAGGCAAGGGAGGCAAACGGAAACCCCATCAATTTCCGCTGGCTTTACAACAAGATATTTGGCTGGATTTTCTGATCCGCCTAAGTCACGAATAGTTAAAAATACCGTATGAAAACTATAGGCTGTGTAGAATGGTTCAAATTGCGAGATTATTTACTTTTACAAGCAATTCCTTGGAGGTGGATCTTGGGTTTATTACCATCGGATCAGCCTTTGGCAGGTGTATTTCAGGGGCCATATAGACACAAACAATGTATGCTGCAATTCGTGAGGAGATGATCAAATTAGATGTTGATCCTCTCTTGCTACACCTGCTTATGCATCGCCCTATGATTTTATTGAAGACTATCCGAGCCTAGAAGGGCTGTGAGTATGGCGTATGCCTCCATCCAGCGGAAGCTTTGCATTGTGGCCATTTGTCTCTGTGTTCCGATCCTTTTCTTTATAATGCTGTTGCGGGACCACCGTTTGGTAGATTCTCAAAACTTGGATGACCACAAAGCTGGCTCTGAGGATCCTGAGAAAGCGGTCGAGATTGCTGGGTGTGAAAAGTCACAAATTGTATTCAAGGACGGTGAGGATCATATTTTGAACTGGCTCAAGAAACTCCTTGGGTTGCGAAGGACGGGATCGGCGTTCAATTCCTACTCATCTCAAAAATTTCGTACTCGCCAATAAACAAGATTCAAGGATTGTTCGTAAGACCGACAAACATTTCAAAAGCACCGTATACCACAGCTTCAGTTATGTAAACTAAGGTCATCCCTCCATGTTATGGCCGCTTTCCGATGCCTTCGCCAATCCATAATGCTTGAAACAACATGAATCGATCAGGATATCTCGCAACCTCTCTCGAAAGGCATGATTTCTTTTTTTGTTTTTCTCTACAATTGATTCTTTTATTTTGGATTACACAACTTTTTTTTTTTTTTCCTTGATTTTACAAGTTGAGCTTATTTGAAAATTGATTAATACTTTTTTTGTGTACTCGCGAATTTACAGGCGAGTCATAAATGATGAAATCGAACCGGCCACCAAAAATCCAAACGGAGTCCTTTTTATTTTAAAGTCCTAGAGGTCGAACAATAAGGTGCAAAATACATGGTTCTGCAATTTTTCCCCAATCTCTTACCTCAACTCTGTCTTCAGTGTGGGTACCTCTAATGCGGTGCCATACATTTGCGAGACCTTCTAAACAGGCGCAAGTGAATAAATAAAATGATCAGACAAAGATGTCCTAAACATCACTCATTTGAAAATTGTAAAATTCGTAAGAGCTGCACCGTGACTCTTCATCTTTATAGTAGGGAGTTGCACCTCTACACGAGACTCAACCCCAACTTGTCGAGGAAGTTCTATATCATACCATCATTGATTATCTATACCAGGCTATACTTGTAGCATTCACAGGCGAGCTCCTTTAGTCCAGCTTGTCCGTGTCATCGAAACTATACGCAATGCTACCCGCAAATGGACCCCACTCAAAGGAGTGACGAGTCATTCTTGGGTCTCTTTGAACGACAACTTCTGAATTGTCCAGGTTTTCTTGAGAGGTTGAGATTTGACGAATGTCCGGTATTCTTCGATTGATACGATTTGCATCGTCATACCTGCCCTGGGAGTTCAAAAATTCAGCCATATCGGCTTGACCGCCCTTGACGCAATCGATTTGAAGAAGTCCAAAAATGTTTTTTGAAAATGGCATTTGGAGAATCATGGAAGAAAAACTTTATGTTTTCCGGCGTGGCAAAGATCCTATACCCCAAAGGTCTGAGGCTGCCACCTGCATCCTTTATTGGTGCGGCGCCATAGCTGAAACAGGCATGTCACAGATAAGCTCCAATTGGCTTGTTTAATTGAGTGATGCATTGTCTTTTTTCGAAGAATTTAATCAATCACTCCAATCTTAGCGAACATAAATTGAATCAAGCAGGGGTAACTAGATCCCGATTGCAACACAAAGCCGCGACGCAAGATAAGGAGCCACATAGTTGAGTGGAATAAGGCTCTAACGTCTGAAATTAGGTATTTGACCTGCAGGCCGAAATGCCTTCAGCAGGGAAGTCTATTTAAAACGATCCCGCTTACAAGACAGGGGGTCTAGGATTACTTTTTTGATACTCAATTTGCGATCATGTTTAGCATTTTGAATGTGGAGTAACTCAAAGCTTACGGGAAAGCATTGCCTTCCAAATCACTTTTCCTAAATGCAAGCGTGCAGTAAAGAGTCTATAGTGGGTGGTTACTGGACAAGTTCTTTAGTAGTATGAGAACTTTCTTAATTGGTAGCACGATTGGCGGCATGCTTATTCTTCTGGTTCTGACGACGTCTTCCATCACTGCCCTTTTTCTTCTTCTCATCTCGAATTCCTAAAGTCTGGTGCACCATCCTTATAAATTCTTCCACAACATTGTCGTAGTCAGGAAAGAGACGGGACTCATAAGCTTTTTCGAACTCCTGATCCGTGTACGATCCATGGTCTCAAAAGGGTAGCATCATACCCTTCATTAAGCTGACTCACATAATCATACTGAAAATCAGCATCTAAGAAACGAAACCTATGTTCCTGACCATTCTGACAACTTCAATGGGGGGAGAAGCTTGGTAATGACCTTGAGAGAAGCAGCAAACGCCATCTCGCAGGTGTTCACTGAAAACTCCTTCAAAAACCAGCCAATAGGAAATGGCTTTTGCTTGATAGGTCATACAATGAGACATGACTTAAATTACTTACTGGAAATGGGTGTCTCTTACGGAAACTGCACGTTAATCGATACTGCTTCATTACTCAACCTCACCCATGGACAGCAACAGCCCAGCTTGAAGGATTCTTTGAGATTGGTTCGCCAGCCATTCGCTTTCTTGCATAATGCCGGTAATGATGCTTACTACACGTTATTGCTTTGTCTTGCGTTGGCAGACCCTTTTTATCGGATGGCATCAGAAATCGACACAGACACTAGAATGGCCAATTGGAAGTGCCGCAACTTGAAAAACGAGATAACTAACGAAAGTCGGAGATACTACGGAGACGAAGAGAGGTTCTCTCACTTTTTGCATCACCAGCCTTTGTGATCCCTGAAAGCTGACCAGGCAGGCCATCCTGTTGAAAAGTTGAGTGGTTTGCACGATATCATTTAATTTACCCTTGAGCTCCTTTTATCAAAGTTTATAAAGGTCTCAGTGGTGCTTCAGTGACTACAATGCATAGGCCGCAAGAACTGGAAGCTGTGAAATGGGCTGTGATGAACCCTGGCTGCGCTTTGTGGTGGGAAAGACTAGAGAGAGAAAACATACGACAATACTGTCAGGACGATAATATATGACTAGAAGAAAAAAGCTTCTATAGGAAGTAAACTTAGATAAAACTGTTTTACCTTTTCCCTCTCGTACTACAAGTTGTTTTTCTTTTCTTCTATTCGTAAATCAATCACTCGGCCGACGGAGACATCAATGCATGTATCTGATGAATTATGATCGAGTCCACAACAAGTACTCTTTCAACTCACTTCATCAACAACAAACAAGATATCTCCATTGCCATAAATCAAAATCTTGGGGTGAGATCTTTCACATCACCCTCTTGGTATACTCATAGTATACAAAATTGCGAGTGTCCGAATCTAAACTGATTCAGCAGAAACAGTTTCATCAGAGAGCGTCTTTTCGGATGGCTCCTCAACTTTGCCCTTTTCTAAGTCGTTATCATCCGTAACAGAAACACCAAGGACGTACTCGATTTCCCCGGATCCGAATCTGAATCCAGAGTACTTGTCCTTGTTAAGGTATCCAATCAAAATAGCCATGTTTGTATAATAGTATAGATGATCAATGAAATCTGGGAAAGCTGTCTATTTATATACCAACTTGGGGCGCCAGCTCTATACAGAATTAGGGGGCAAAGCTCAAACAGAGCTTATCGAAGCCGCATATCTGACGGCAATGCGGCCACACTTTGCGCCGACTATTTTGCGTTTTTGGAAAAGCATTTGGCTACAAACGCGGGAGATAAACCACTCGTGCAACTATTCTGCTGGCTCAAAAGACCTTCAGTCTTATTCGGTCATGACTATTTAGAATCTTTGATCACAAATCTATATCTTGTCCAAAGATTTATGAGAATCACTGAATAGTACCATGTCGCACCCCTTATCATAAGTCGTGCCGTATGGAGCCGCCTCTCGAAAGTTGTAAGGGGCGTAGCTAAGGCGCGCATGAGATACAAATCTAATGCCTCTTTTTGTTCTAGCATTTGGATTATTTTATTGATTACGATAAGGAATTGGTTTCCTACGAAAATGACCCTGGAAACGCTGAACAATATTGTCTCGCTCGCTTCAAGCCACGCTCGCTTGGAGCCGCACGCCAGTGAAAAGTTACTATGTCGGAATCGATAATGACAGGCTTTTGACAGGCGATATCGAACTCAATTTCAGCGCAGCAACGATATTGCAGGCGGGGATTTTCAGCCCCTATACCATGAATTTGACAATAGGGGTAAACCCAATGAGGTCACTGCCTTCACAAGCGATGAAGCTAAATTGTGCTTATCAATAGGGCCCGCGGCTTAGATAGTATCAATGTGGCTCAAGGGATTACGATACTTCATACATGGGAGATTGAGAGCCCCATGAAATTTGATCAAGATCTTCTATGCTTTGTAGCCTAAAACAGATCAACATTTGGAGTAATCTTCCAAAAGCCTGATCGTCCGATATATTCGTTGCTATATATGACTCCAGGTCGACTTATGTTTCACGGGGTTTGTTGGCACTTAGTGATTGCAGCTAACACCCTAGAGGTCATGAAAACACTCAATCAGAAGTGATGAATTCTCATCGCCATCCGCCTCTCTACCATCGCTTTTTGAATTACTTTATTCATGACTGATACGAGCATTCAAAGACTTTCCCCAACTTGAATCCCCTCTGCCTAGTATTATCAGAATTCGATCTATCTGTTTCATACTTCTTCTGGGCAGCCTGAAACAGTTCCATTTCGGACTCGCCACCTTTGGTAAAACTAAGCGAAAAAAAATTGAGGATTTTGATAGCAACGCCCATCCTAAAAATCTATATCATTTCAAGATAACGCGAGGGAAAACAGCCTTAATTTATATCCCCTACCTCGCACTAATGCCACAGCTGAAACGATAACACAAAATGCAGTACTGGTGGTGGAGTTATCTGTGGATGGGGCAGCTGAGGCCTCCAAAAGTTCAGGACATTTTCTTCATTTTTAAGGTCTATTACAACTCAAAGGTGGTGTATTTCTGAGAGCGGGACCACATTGCTGAGTCACTATGAGAAGGTTGCAAAAAAGTGGAATCTCCAGCCAAGAGGAGGGAGAGAAAGCAATAAGTCATGATTTGAGGGAAGACCACGTTTGACTGAGAAAGGGCTTTTCACAAGAGGTCAGATTTTGATAAACAGAGTTTTTAAATTTTCACTTTCATGCTTTTCCAATATTACGTGAAACGCAAAAGGTAAAGCTCATTCTGTATATGCCGCGCCAATCTCACACGGTGACGGAAATGTTGCTTTACAAGTTGCCCCCAAAAATCAAATTCGAGTTCAATAGCGCTAAGAAAAACTCAGGACTCTATTCTAAGGCTTCTGCCTTAAGTCACACAATTTTAAGAAAATTGAACAAGTAGGAAATAGAAGAAGTTTATCCCCACCAAATGCAGATGCTAACCTAGAACGCTACGCCCCGCTTGTTACCTACATTGCATGATAATAGATAATGTATTACTTCGGCCGAAAGAACATTTCTGACTCGGCCGAAAATTGAGCAGTAGCGGATGTAGATATTTTGAGAGTGGGTTTGCAGACCACTTTCTGATGGTGATGAGGTTAAATACGAGATAGTGTTCATTGATAGTTGATCATATAAGAGGTATGGAAATGCTTCTTCGTCCCATAGGATTGACAAGCCACGCCTTACAGTTTTTTAGGTGGAATTGGTTTTTGTGAAGTGCGGGAATTTGCACCTGTAGAACAAAAAGAGCATACAATGTACTTTTTGTACTGCAACTGTGAAATCGTGAAGGGAAAATCAAATTATTGAGAGAAGAGCAGACAATCAATTTTTTGGTTCAAAAGTCTCAAATCTATCGTTGAAGGACTCAATTGAATGTCACTGGGTTGGGACAGAAGGTGTTGCACTGCGCGCATAAACGGTAACATGACGTGGAACAACGAACAGAAGTTCGTTTGATCTCTTTTTTTTTTCAGGCCTTACTTATTAATTTTCGTAAGATGAATGATCTGTCGTCACACTACCCTACAAGTAGAACGAACAACACATGGAAGGAAATGACTCAAAAGGGCTTACAGGCCGTGGTTTTATGACACTTGCATATTTTGTCACATAATAAATAAGTATTGTTGAAAGAAGCAAGCCTACAGGAAGAGTAATTTATTATCTGATAAAAAAGAGAAGTGCGTGACTGCTCCATTTCCAGTTTCCCTGAATGGAAGAAAGGCACCATGACATTAGTCGCATTTCCCATTGAACTTTTTGCCGTTTGACGTAAGCCATATCTTTCATTTAAATACCAGACTTCAGCATCCAGTTGGATTCTCTTCTATCCTCATTAGCACAATGGAGAAGGCAACAGATTCAGGGTCGCAAACCCCACCACCCGAGATAGATGAAGCTCGTAAACAGTGTAATGCTTTCCAAGTGGTCATTGCAAAGATGAAGACTATTTTTGAAAGAATTTACGGAATTGAAATCAAGAAACGACATATTCCATATTTGATATATCAGGTGTGGGTTTTCTTTTACATTATATACATTTTCAAGCTCATCTTTGGAACACACATGTTCTACAAAGAGTCTGAGTACAGTTCGTCACTCACTGAGACAATGAAAACAGATGTGACTGCCATGGAAAGTGTCATGGAGGATTCAACAAGAAAAATCTCCAGCTACCTACCCGATGAATGGCCTCATGGAAAATACTTGGTAGGTTACTATGGAATTTGCAGGAAAAACAATGACTCCAAAGAGGTATGCTACAGAGGAAACAAAGTGGAGGAGCTCATTCTTCAGGATATTGGTATACAAATTGCTGAAAGCCATGGGATGGAAGATACAGATCAGTTCGGTAAACACTTTATGACATCTTATCGTGATTTGCAGAAAAATTTGGAAAGCGAGATGAGTAGAAGAAGAATCTGCAACGATTTTGTCTGTACCTACGAGGGCTTAACAACTGAGGATATCATTAAATTTCCCAGCACGCAAATGCCGGAAGACCTGCCATTTTATTTTATCTGTGTGAACCTGGTGCTCGCCGTCTTATCATTCACTGCCATAATCCTTGAATTGCGATCAAATGTTCTTCTTTTGAAGTGTGCGATTATTATCTGTACCACTCTTCAGGCGATTTTTGCATTATTCGCTATAGTATTGACGTCTGACGCGATGAATCTGCTCGAAAAATACTTTATGGATCGATATTTTGCATTCAACATAATATTCTTTGTGATTGAAGTAATCATAACGGGAAGTATACCGCTACTGTGCTATTGATGGTGAATGACAAATCTAGCTTGATCTTCACAACAGGAAACATGAGCGAAACTCGCAAAACTCCACACATGAAGAGGAGTAATTGAAATGCCAATGATGTCACTAGTCACCCTACACAGACTTTGCTCGATACAAACAGATAATCTGAAACGGATATTTTTCGGGAGATAGATAATTATCATGCAGGCGTTCAAAATGGAACGTCTTGCGTCAAAAGGAGGATCATCTTTTAGTCGTTAATTTGCTTTTTACTCATAAAGAGGCATTCATAAGGCAATTCCTGGTTTCATTGGGTCTAGGAGCAAGGCTGGGTCCCAGGTTCGGTAGGTGCTTGCAAACAGCACCAAGAGGTCAAGGCGCGCTTTGTGTCAGGTTGTCGATCAAACATGACATGCATGTTTCAGAATCTGCAGCACGTGATAGTTTCAAACACTTGCCCTAGTTAGCACTGCCTATCGAAGCAAAATAAATCCTACTCAGCTGCGCAAGGACTAAAATTTGTCAAAAACAACAGCGAAAAATTATAGGTGCATGCCAACCTACTAGCTTGAGCCACCACAGAGCGAAAGTGATCCTTCCTTCAGTACCCACACAGTTTCCTGTACGACTTCATCTCCTCAAGGCTAAACTGATGTGTAAAGAACAAAACCATGAGCGTCCTGAATAATGATGTACGCTGGTTTCAGGTTGTTGTTGAAACATGTCGCACCTGCGTAGTCAATCTTCAAATGATATCTAGAACAGGATAATTTGGACAGATACGGTGCATGCGGTAATATTTGCTGTTTTGCAGTTGTCCGAGACGATTAATCAGGCGATTTGATATGATAATTAATTTAAGCCACGCAAAACTTGCAGCTTTTGAAACTCTTAGCGCTCAAAAACTAAGCCTCTTGTTTCAGGAAGTTATTGCTCGCTTGATATTCACAAGTATATAAGTACAACCTTTCTTAACATAATTGTAGTTTCTGTTGAGTACGAAAGATAAGGAGATCCATTTTGATCAATGAGTAACACGCGCGGATCCTCTCGAGCGCGTCCTCCAAACACATCTCAGGGATGTCTGGGTTTATTTCTTAGGGATGGCTGAACGGCACGGAAGCGAAGCTTACGTGACGTAAAACACGAATGTATTGACAGTACTAGACAGACTCTAAATTTGAATAATTCCCCTATTAGTGGATAGGGTCTCAGACAAAAAATTCCACTATTCGATCAACAAAGATCTCTTCAGTAGGTTGAATCGACGCTCACAAGTTACCAGGACTAGAGCGGGAACGAAAGAAAGAAACTTCGAGGGAGGCGGCCTCACGCTGGAATATTTATACCTTTCCCGTGGGAATCTGGTTTTTCCTTTTCGAGAAAATAGCAATGTTGAGGTAGCCTCAATTCTCCCTATTCGGTGTGTCATTAGACCGAATTCGGAAAGGACCATTGTTTCACGGCTTGTGACGCAGGTTCTCGGGTATGCATGCTGCAAGACGCATGTGAACCGATGCTGCAATGTGCATGTGCTTAGATGACAGGCATGTGCATGCGCATGATTCCGTGGGAAGGGTAAAAATATGAGAGGGGAAGACAACCGAGTCCACGGACTAATGATAGGTGCCATTCCTGCGAAGACGGTCGGGGAAGACGCGTCAACCAAGTCACTATCGAGATCAACTAAGTCCCGCAAATGTGGCCACGTCTCAGGATGAGGGTTTATTTTCTTAGGGATGTCTGGGTTTATTTTTCTTAGGGATGTCTGGGTTTTTTCTTAGGGATGTCTGGGTTTTTTCTTAGGGCGACAAAGTGTGAAACACTTTGACGAGTCTGGGCAAAAGCACTTGATTACTATATAAGCCAAAAAAGTTGATGTCCTACTTTAGGGAAAGTCTTCAGATGCTCCTAAATTCGATCAGCAAAGATCTCCTCAGTAGGTTATTTATCAACGTTCTCTGTTCCAACACTGGGAAAAACAGAGTATTTGCCGTGAAAATTTGCACTTCCAAATGCGCAGCACACTCGCTCAATCTCCTACCCAGTCACATCATTCACGTGAATGCAATCAAAGAGGCAGCCTCTTTTCACGTGTGACTGAAAATTGTGTCAAGTGATGGGTAAGACGGAAGAGTTTTTTTCGCTAGCCTCAAGATGCAGGGGCCGCAGCTGCCCGCAGGGCATCTAAGGCACATGGTGCGGCGCTTATCAGACATAAGCGACACACAATTGAGTGGCAGGTGCATATTGCATACAATGGGGGACGAATACGTTCCATAAATCAAACAAGTGGCTTGCACAGACCCTAGTGTTACGCTTGGTTTTCGACATTGACACTTTGTAACCTCTGTCAAAACGTAGAGTTTTGGTTTGATTTCGCAAATTATGGAAACTTTCATGACCTTCGGTCATGGAGTTATACGTAACGTGGTCGCTTCAGGCCTCGAGATGGTCGATCAGACGAAGCTCTGATTCGCCTTCGGGAGCGGACGGAATGACATGCCCTCTTACTTTTGTAAGCCCGTTGGCGCCCTTGTTGAACCCTTTTGGCAGTGTATTGTCCGAGACGACGAACTAACTCAGTTCGTTTGCGATTAAGCCCAGCCTTGTACCGGGCTTCCTCGCGTGGGTCAGGGTCAAAGGAAGTGAAAAATTGGGACCATGGACTGGTATGGTGTGTGTCTAGCACCCGCTTCAGGTTTGAACTCGTGTAATCGAGAATATTCCTGACACGTCCCTTGGAGAGAAGGACGCGCACCTTCAGGTGCCGAGGGTATTTCCCCATCTGGACGAGACCCTCTTCTCGTAGGATAAATTCCATTCGTTGCTTAAGTATACCGCCTTGTACGTCCCAAACTGGGTTGTACTTGACCTTAAGGTAGAACGTTTTGAGCCTTCTGGATAAGGCGGTCTCCTTAGACCGTCTAGTGTCTGACAATGGCTGGTTCTGAATAGAAAGTATCGTACCTTGAATCCACTTTTCGGTTAATTTCGGAGGGTAACCTCGTAGACGAATCTTTGATCTGAAAAAGTCGACATGCTTTAACGCCGTATCATGGTCGGAACAATTCCGGAAGATTCGAACAATTTCACCGATAACGAAACCTTTTTTGGTTGCAAGTGGATGTCCACTATCCCATTCAAGATATTGGTACGTATTAATTGGTTTGCGATAAAGCTCATACACGATGGTGCGATCGCGGAGCGAGAGCAGAAGATCCAAAAACGGAACGTCCTGCGTCAGCGGCTCCAGCCAATTAACTGTCAAAGGGAGATTCAAGAACTGTTGTTGCAGAACAATTCGATCTAACTGGCTGCGTTGACCGATGAGCAAAATGTCATCGATGTACCGAAGGTACAAGCATCCTTCAACGTCGTACATTGTTTTCAAAAGATTGTGCTCAGCCATTCCCATGTAGATGTTGGCGAATTCGGGCGCCATGTTGGTGCCCATTGCGGTGCCTTGAATCTGGGTTTTTTCTTAGGGATGTCTGGGTTTTATTTTTTCTTAGGGATGTCTGGGTGTTTTTCTTAGGGATGTCTGGGTTTTTGCTTAGGGATGTCTGGGTTTTTTCTTAGGGATTTATTAGGGATGTCTGGGTTTTTTCTTAGGGATGTCTGGGTTTTTTCTTAGGGATGTCTGGGTTTTTTCTTAGGGATGTCTGGGTTTATCTTAGGGATGTCTGGGTTTTTTTCTTAGGGATGTCTGGGTTTTTTTCTTAGGGATGTCTGGGTTTTTTTCTTCTTAGGGATGTCTGGGTTTTTTCTTAGGGATGTCTGGGTTTTTTCTTAGGGATGTCTGGGTTTTTTCTTAGGGATGTCTGGGTTTTATCTTAGGGATGTCTGGGTTTTTTCTTAGGGATGTCTGGGTTTTCTTAGGGATGTCTGGG